CCCAGACATGAGTCGGTTGATGATAGTGAGGATTCTACTAGATATTATGTCTAGTGATGATCTCTCACCATCCGATGCCACGTTTATGAACATCTTCATTGCACGGAACGTCCCGAAGTACCCCCACCACATTGAAGTCGCACCGAGTGTCCTTCATAACATTCTTATTGCACTCGCTACCCAGCCTGAAGCGGAAACGCGAGAGGATCGCCAGCTCGCGGCAGAGTATCTGCTGTCGGTTTACACCCCCCATGATGGAGACCGAATTCTTCAGCTCTTTGAAGATGCTGGGTTTTATCGCATCTTACGTAGTCGGTATCACCACGAGCATCGCTGGGGTCCCCTCCTCACTGCGTTCCTTCATGATCCCGAACTCCGCACTTCAGAAATATTCAGCGGCTTGGAAGAAGCTATTGCTAGTTCGGCAAGAGATAACAAAAAGCAGATTCCTGACGATGTCATTAATACTCTCACCATTTCACTGGATCAACTTTTACAAGCCGACGTTCTTGCAACTGCGTCTCTTCTAGACAAGCATATCCCACAGCTTCACGAGATTGCACTTGAGAGACCCCCCTTGTCGGATGATCGTGACCAATTCATCTACCTCAACCATTTGGTCCCTGACAGCGAATATGATCGGTATTCCACCACTCCCAGTTTCCCGACTCGTATCAATAGCCGACTTCGCCACCGCTTCGTCAGCTTGCAGTGCCGTTTCTCTCCTTCTAATGTCATCCCCGTGCTTAAACGTTTGCAAGACGGCATTGACTGGCCGACGGCTTTGAGTATATGCGAGGAGGCAGGAGCGTATGATGCTGTCATATGGGCCTTGAATTCCAATGGACAGCCACAGGAAGCCCTTTCAAAGGCCGACATATTTGAAAAGCAACTCACGCTAGATCTCGCGCGTGCGCTAGCCTCGCCAGTTCCTGGTTCTACGGACTCGGTCAACAAATACTTGAATGACCTGCAAGCTATCGGACGACGCGGTATATCAGTATGCATGGAACATTCCAGTTCGTCTTCTCCTGCAGAAGTTCCTCTCGAGGACATTTGGTACCAGCTTCTGGGCAGCCAGATTCATACTGTTCAAACCCTCTCGGCCTGCTGCTCCACTGGCAAAGGTAGCGACGCAGAGCTCGAGGGTGAAGTATTGTCGACTTTGCGGGCTATCGTCCAAGAGACGTTTGCGTCTTTGGTTTCTGTAAGCTCGACCCAGGCAGTGTCGTTTCCTCGACTGTTCAAGCGTTTGGTGGATCCTGCCATTCACTCTGGCACAACAGGCATGCTCTATACGGAGTTCCGTGCGATTCTGACTGGCATGCTGGAATCGTACCGAACCGATGGAGATATGTTAATCATCTCGAAACATCTCATTGACCGGGATGTCTTTGATTCCGTAGAACTATACACAAAGGAGAAAATGCACGGCTGGGCCCCATCTTGCGGTGTATGTTCATTATGCGGTCGGACTTTACTTCTTTCTCGAGCAGATGTCGAGAGCGGTCAGATTAGACTTTCACGGACAGGGACTATATACCATCTCAAATGCTCAGCTTTGGATTCCTAATCGCATGTTTTGTATCTAATCTATAATCTTGCTACTGCGATCGAATAGTAATCGAAAACATTGTCCCCAGCCAAGGGTATAGTGTCAGAGATCGCCATCAACCAACTCAGCTCGAACCATCTGATCCAAAACTATAAAACTGTTCATAGACTGCATGTCGACCCCTAGGGTTTCTCCTTCTGTCTTGAACGCTTCGACGTCCAGTATCATCTGCACACGGATGCGTTCTTCGTCCTTTCCGTCATCTTTTCCAGCAGTAGCAGATCCGAAGAGAGACAATGTCGACTTTTTCCCCTTCTTCAGTCGTCGTAGAGATTCCTCAGTCTTCTTCATCGCAGTCAAGTACTGTATGTACCTTTGATACCAAGTCAGACTCATGTCCATCGCACCGAAAGAACATACGAACCGCTGGCAAACACTTTCGACTACATCATTTGAGACATTCCTCAACAATTCCTCCTTCAGTCGTTCCCCAGGACCACCGACAGTACCGATTCCAAAGAAGATTTTTACCGGGCGAAGGATGGTGGGTGCAAAGTAACTTGGTTCAGAGGGTAGTCGCTTGTTGGACATTGCTCTAAATTGCGAAGGGATAGATCGAACAGGCAACAAGGCATCGCAGCACCGCCTGGATAATATGGCTGTGGCCTGGCTGCACAATGATGTAGAAAGGGCACTGAGCTGCTCCAGTTGACTTCTCAAAGCGACTGCAGATGTTGAATTAAGCAATGTGAAGACAGACGGGATTTAGGCTAACCTCCTAGCATCTCCTCCGCTCTACCATCTTCTATCGACATGTCAGGGAAGCATCACGCTAATCTCTTCTCTCCACAAGTGTAAGACTTGGCTCGTCATCGCCCGAATGTCTACGAGAGCCGTTGCAAACTGCCTTAGTAAGATCTCGTCAGCAGCCGTGCTTTCGATAGTCACTTCTGGTGTGAGCCCAGGTGTTGAAGATCTTGAAGGGTTGACAATTGCTGAGGCCTATAAAAAGATCAAACAATGCTCTGGCATTCATCAACATACATGCCTTCTCATTCGTGATGTTGGCAGCAGGTTTTACTGGAGATCCTGCTGCAGGTGGCAGCGAGTTTTCCAACCATTCCCGATATCGGCTGAGGAGCTAGAAACGTGTTCGTCTCAACGCCTGACAGCTGATACAGAGAAAGTACCTGAAGAGTAAATTTCCAGAAGCGATGCGCAAGGTCGGGGATGTACACTTCCGCACTCCAGCACGAAGCAATTGCAGTGAAAACGTCGGCAGCCTGTGCCGTTACAAATACATTACGCCCTTGAGAACGGTTAGCTAGGGACGTCTACTGAAGCCACGTCGATGGTGATTCACCGGGAGTAAAGTTTGGTGCGTCAGGATCTAGGATTCTCGATGACAACGTTTCTTCCAGCTTAGGGACGACTTCTTTCCACCGCAGCTGGAAATATACATCAAGCTGCCAACGTCGCTGAAATGCAGTGAAAACTGGATGAGAACGCATGTTTTGCACAGAATGCGTGGAAGGAGCCAAAAACTCGAGAGAACGGATAAAGGCCTGCGTTGTAGAATGATGCTACAACCAAGAATTAACATTCAATGAATCAAAAAACTTCCTATAGAACCTTACCTTGCGGAACTCATTTGGGTTTCCTGGCGCAAATATAACAGTGCCAAGTTCGTCCATTATCGCCCTACCAATCTCTACCCATACCACATTGGTCATAATTTCGAAGCTATCCGCAGAAACCTGTTGTGCATCTCCCAGGTCATAGTCTCCCAATGCTATACCTGATTGAGATTTAGTTGAGCCCGCCTTAAGAGAAACTCGTTCGGCAATCTCCATGATGCGCCCAAAATCTCGCTCAATGAAGCGAAGAATCTGGTTATACAATTTCGCAAGCGCATCATTAGATTCATCAAGCAAGTGAACCGGTCCAGAAGCGTGTGAAGCTTCAAAAGGATTTTGTTTAGTGGCGAATGCAGTAAATGGGGTATATGGGGTACGGGGTAACAGCGCGCTCCCGCGTGATTCTGTGCGGGTAGAGAGCGCGGCAGGAAGTGGAGTGTGTGGTAACACTGGTGAGAGTGATGCAGCTAGTGCATCAGGAAAGATAGTCTAGATGCAAATATGAGCAACTTCTTTCTGAAGAAGTGGTGATACGTATCCCATACTTTCTTGATAAAGGCCTGCATTACGTCTCTCCGCATGATCTCTTCAGCAACTCTCCAAAGGTGTAATGAGTCGTAGATCCTTAGACATTCAGTTAAATCAACGTATAGTTTAGCTCGTTCGAGGTCTATAACTTTTCCTGCTTCGATGTTGGTCAGGGAGGTCAGGATCGCTGAGAAAATATGGTCTAGATCAGATGTGAGAGTTGACTGTATGCGGTCAATGCGCTAACCCAAATCGAAATAAACTTCTATCAGAATCGCATCATGAAAGAGAGGTCGCAACAAACCCATCGTATTTCATCCACAAAGGCACAGTTTTCTTCTTTTGCCTTCTCGATGTGATACAGAAGTTGAGCGTATTCAGCAGTGACTCTGGAAAGGTGCTTGGCGCGGTTGCCTTGGCTCCTAGAATTCCATCAGATCGTTCATAGCAGCAAAATGAATATGAATACTTGTCATCGATAGGTTGTCCTGCAGAGGCCGGAAGATGGAACTGATAATTGCTGTTGTGACTTTCGAGTGGCGACGTGGTAACTTGAGAGATTAGAAGAAGACTTTCAAGTCTGGTCACAGACTCTGATATCTTAAGCAAGAGATGTAGAAGTGCCTGAAGGCCAACGTTTCAGTCAGAATTTGGACCTCAAAGATCGAGCGTGAACCTTCTCTTCGCGTAATTTGGTGCGGGCATCGAGTGTCTCTTGAATGCTATCTTGCGTAGCCTGGAGGCCAGCTCGCGACTCCTTGCATGGCGAATCAGCGGGATGATAATAACATATGGAGCAATGGCAATGCTCACCGATATACGTTTCCGTAAGTCGCCAAGCGGGAGCTTGAGCTTCTCCAATCTCGAGCCTTCGCCTCTCAGGTCTGTGCTCAGACTGATGAACGCCTCGTAGTCATCATTGATGAGCAACACCAACTCCTCTTTCAACGAAGTAAGGTAGTCTCTAAGCTCTGAGCGCAAGTCGTGTAAAGATGTGTGTGATCGGGAGAGCAAAAACTCTTCAACGTTAAACACTTCCGCAGTTATATGAGGGTTGCCATGCGATAGCGGGACATAAATTGGTAGCTCTGTCGAGGCAGTCGTTCGAGGAGTATAGCTAGACCCTGCAAGCTCACGCGCAACGAGTTCTTCTGCTAACCGTTCCAACTCATAAGGGTCGGGAGATTTGGCAGCGGCTTGGGAGACGCGCGAAGACATGTATCGTGTCGGTCAACGCGTACTACAACGCGATTCCACCGGAGTGGTCATAAGGTATAGTATTGTGGAATAGAGTTGTACTAGTACTGCTAGTGTAATTGCGATAACTTATGGTCAATAATGGTAAACATGCTTACAGCAGTGCAGCAGTGTCAGTGTAATTTGTACCTCCGTATGCAATGAGTATCCAGAGAATAATTCCATAGTGTAAGTGTAATGTCTGTTGATCACAAACCCAGTCGTGGCAGCAGGCCGTGAATTTATCATTTCTCCTCCAATTCGCTAAGAAATGCTAGCCATGTCTTCTTGTTGATTACGCCTTCATCTGAAAAGTGCAACATCAGCAACACAAACGGGAGTGAATGAATATTCGTACAGTAACCATCCGTATCCGTCACTATGACATAACGTGCGCCAAGCTTCACGAAGAATTGGTGAAGGAGCTGCAAAGGCGAGTTGGACTGGATCATCAATGGCGCCTACATCCATTTGAGTGTCTGTACACCATAAACTTAAACGAGTATACCTGGTCCATGTATACGCTGAAGTCGACTGGATCATTTTTACTCTGCCCTAACTCTTCCACCCAAGACGAATATGAAGTACCCAGTTCCTCATATGTGGTAGTGTGGAACCGAACCTCCTCGGTTGCTCCATCCGCTACGACGGCTAGATTTTTGGTCAGATAATGTTTGTATGGGAAAACGGGGGTATCTACCGAGAGCATGCTCCAGTTCGCTAGCGCCAATGTAGCCAACCATGCGCATACCACCTTCGTTATGACTTGGCCTGAGAATGGGAAAACCACCATCATCGTGTTCACCATTCAGAAGTGATTGCAATTGGTCCCGAAGACTTTCAACGGTATTGCGTTGGTCAATCCTGATCACATCCACATCTCGATCGGTCTAGAAGTGATACTAAGTCAGATCTCAACAGTGAGTACTGGTGCCCTTACCACTTCCTTGATGGATAAATTTGACCATAGATATTCGTGTTTAGCATCTAGGTATGGAAGTTGAGATAGTCTGTAAAAAGTGTCAGGAGGATAGTTGGCGTTTGGACTATGTTCTCACTCAATGACCAGGTCATAAATTCCCTTAGGCTCCAGGGCATCGGCTACAGTCTTGGCAACGAGAACGGAGAGCATGACAGGAACAGCATACGTAAGGGTATCGGTCAGCTCGAACATGATGACCGCTAATGACACGGTCGTTCTCTGAAGGCCTACAGTCAGCTTCATGATACCGAAGACTTGAAGCCAATTACTCACAGTGACGCCAGACAAAGCTGCTGCAGCTCCCACCATTGCATAAAGGCCAGGCACGACACAATCCAGGTCACCCTCGCATACATCAAATACAGTGCTGTCCGGGTAATGGTACTGGAGCCATTGCACAGCAATGCCAACAATCCGTCCAGCACATGCACCTACTCCGAGGGTGGGTATAAAAATCCCAGCCGGCAATTTGATGCCGAATGTAATTATGGTCAGGAAACCCTTGACCATCATAGTAACAAGGATCGCTCGCACAACGGACCAGACATGATCGAAATTACTTGGATCCAGGACGCACAAATGAAAATGTGTGTTTTTACTACCTGTGCGGCATTCTGAGAAGAGATTATAAACAAGATCTGTGCCCCCCATGCGCGCATAGGGACTTAAAAAGCATAAGACGGTGGTTATGAGAGTCACCTGCATCATTAAGAAGCTTGAATAACGGACAAACAAGGTGATGCTCACAGGCATAACTTCAACAACTGGATGCGCCTTTAGCCATGTTCCACCACGAACGTCACGACTCCAGCGGTAGTTCAGCTTGGAAAAATATGCGCCGTATACTCCCTGAAACTTCGTTAAATGAGCTGTCCCTCAAGAGAACCGAGGTACACACTCCAAGAACTCCAAGTAAGATGAAAAATATCAGTTCGTATGCATGCCAATCCTTTCAAATATAATAAGCGAGTGACCAGTCAAATACTGCGTGACAAACCTTGTCATAAGTGACCTGGAATAATACAACTTTACCAGTTCCGAAAGGATCGAGGAACCGGAGGGTTACGGCTGCTATCATCGCGCAGAAAAAGCTAGAAAATTGAATTCAATACGAAGTCATCTTGAAATGTATGGTAACTACCTTCTCCACATAACCTTAAAATATCCAACATGAGATTTAGAAACTGATTTACGCACGATGGAAGATATTACCTTTGGCGGGAAGAAGTAAGAGACTTCTTCCAAGCTAAAAAGGGTGCCACCAATAGGTGCCCCAAATGCAACAGCAACACCCGCCGCGCATGCTGCACTAAGTATCTCACGACGTTTGGCTAAAGAAAGAATATGAGCATGGAAAGAAACTTGGACGTTGGGAATTGACCTTCGTTATTTTCATACTTGCTATGACAACGACTGACGATGTTGCCTATGCAACTAGCGATGTGGACGAAAGGTCCCTCCTTGCCTGAATTTTAGGCTCATCAGTGCTTGTGTACCAAAAGTATTTTGCGAAAGCAATCACCAAGAGACAATCCTGAACTCACTGAGAAAGCCAGTCCAAGCGCTTTAGTAAATAGCACGCGCCCACCGAGATAACCATGGATGACGAAGCCTAATAGAAAAATTTGAAATTGAGAGACGGCAGTTGATCGTTGACTGTCACAAACCAGATAAAATGGTCTTGATCTCCGGAATTCCACTCCCTGCAGCCTGTTATTGCAGATTATAATCAGTGTGGACGCTCTGTAGAAAGACTTGTGCTTACGTAGTAGATCACACCACGCTTGGGCTGCGAAGAACTCGAAGCGGTATGTGCACCACTCTTGTTAAAAGCCGGAGACAGAACACCGGATTCTTTACGAGTAATGAAGGACGTTGACGCCGTGAGATAGATTGTGAGGAGCGATGAAATACTGGCCAATACAACCTGCACGATATGTTGTATAACCATAACTCAGCGGCAACACAGCTGAGAAACCTACCGCAATGATTGTATACGCAAGATACTGCACAACACTATCTTCATCTCCCGATTCACTGCCCGTCCATGATGCAAATACATCCGACCAAGTCCTCCAAGCGGGACAATGGCCATCCAAAGACCTATATTCATCAGGCAGACTCGGAGGACAGCAAATGTCCCGTGCGCGCCACAATGCAGTCTTGCAGTAGCCTTGCTTCACATCAAATAGCCATTTTTCTGCACGGATGACAAGAAATGCAACTACGGCAGTGAGGAACCCGACGACCGTGACGATGATCCATCCAAGGCTCTTGTCGAACACAAGCCGGACTCTGGAGCGGATGGACTTGCCGCGCCGGAGCCGAGCAAACCGGACCGAGTCTTTGATCGCATCGTGAAGCCAGTCGATTGATGAGAACGAGGAGTACCATACGCGGAATCCGTTAGTTCGGACGTCGATGTCAGTGTCCGCGGCATTGGTATTGGCGTTTACGAGCTGGGCATCGTAGGCAGATATAGGCCGCTGTTGGGAAATCCGACTGCGGAGTGAGTCCCGCGTAAATATTGGCGAGAAGGCCGATGGAGAGGCCGGAACAGAGACGGCTACGCTTCGCGTTATTGGAAGGTCTGAGAGAGTGGGTCGACGAGGAGAGACCCAAAGACCAGGTTGTGTGCATGCGCGACATGGGCGTCGAACAACAGGCAATGTCCCGTAACTGGTGCCGCTGGGAGCTGCACGTAACGCAGTTGTCTCATCGTCTGCTTGATTCTGTGCGATTGGTGTTGGACAGCTACCAATTTGTTGCAGGCGTTGCCTGCGGTAATCGGTATCAGATGGGTCACTCAGAAGTCCAGCTGAGGGAGGATCAGAGTGAATAGTCGCGCGAGGCGAATTTGACATCGTACGTTACGATATTTCTAGTATTGTATTAGCATTATGGAAGCGCATTACATTGCATGGATTCATACACAGTTACCGATTACCGATGTTGACCGCGTTGGAGAGAGAATACAGAGCCTGAGCCTGAGTTGTCACGGTGACAAAACAAGACTCTCGGTTGTATTTCTTCAATAAGTTTCTTCTCTCCGCGAGGCCCGCTGTCGCTAAAGGAGTACTGACCATTTAGGGAACAAATTTATTTGTTGCCACAAAATAAGACCAAACAAGACAGTCAAGAATTCAAACTCTTACACTGACAACCACTCGGCAGAAATGGCAAACACGGGGCTTGGTGTGCCAGTCAAGCTACTCCACGAGTCCTTAGGACACATTGTTACCGTGGAACTTAAGACGGGCCAACTTTATCGTGGAAAACTCGCCGAGGGTACGTCTATTTTCGAGCATCACTGTCATAGATCCTTTCTGATTCATCTACGCTGCTAGCCGAAGATAACTTGAACATCTCACTCAAAGATATAACAGTGACAGGACGAGATGGCCGTGTATCACAACTAGACCAGGTGTATATCAGGGGAAGTATGGTCAGATTCTTCATTGTACCAGATATGCTGCAGAATGCCCCCATGTAAGTTTCATACGATCGGATTTCGAGATCACACTGAAATTATCACTTAGGTTCAAGAGAGTCGGTCCTAATGCCATGCGCGGAAGAGGTATTGGTACTGCGCGTGGTCGTGCAACTATTATGAGAGGTCCGTTGTATTGTTTTTCTGTGTTGTATGATTTACTGACTGAACAAACTCTTTAGCTAACGGTATGGTTATTTTTTTCATCTGGAACGCGTGATCTGATTGAAATGACAGCTCGTCGGGGACGTGGCGTCCCTGCCCCAAGAGGAATCAGGAGGTGATCTGATGATGTTCCTGCGACTGCGGTAAAAATGTACATATTTCCATAATTCTGTAACTTGTGCGACGCCAAACTGTTTTTTTGACTGCAAGGGTTCCTTCGCGCAACTTTTGTTCGCAAGCTAGGGGCTTGTACTAAAAATTCACATTTGCGTCAGCTTACTTATGTTGACGCTCAATGTTGTCTTGAGCACAGAAGCGAACTCACTCCAGAAAATAAATGTAGAATTTTCTGAAATGCTCGTTTACGAATCTCGAGTTTCGACTTGAATATAGTTGAAATCATGCAATGCAGGATCTAGAAAGGCGTAGATTCTGTTAGTCTCCATCGGTCAAGATTTCAGAAGGGACGACGCTTCGGGCAACCCAAGATGCCATCATGTTTTTGGTTTTAATATAAGATCTAGTCGTAAGTGATCTGACTAGAAGTCAGAGACACGCCCTTTGAAACTCCAGTCACCACCATCATCACTCCACTTTCCGACGGGCTCCCTTTTCGGACCTCCTTGTTCGCCAGTTCTGGGATTGACATCACCATCAAACTCAGGCGCTAACGGTTTACGAGCGTCTGGGTGTAATGACATTTGTGCCTCTATTTCAGCGTGGGAGACGGTTGGAGATGAGAGGGGCATTTGGGCAATACGCTGGAGGTCTTCGAACTCCCGTTGAAGTTCGCGTGGAAGGGGAGGAGGTGAAGGTCTGTTTAAGTTGGATGAACTCATTCCCTGTGTCCTGATGACCAGGAGCTGTTGCGGAGGTGATTTGACGACCAGCGAACCGAGCCGAAGAAAAGGAAGAAAGGACATGCGGAATAGCATAAATGTCTCTTAAGGTTCAAAGCGGGCTATTACCACGTCAGGAAACCTTTTACTGAGTATTATCTAGTTGGAACAGTGACTCACCAAGAAAGTTCTGAATGTCCACGGTTATGAGCAGGGTCTGGCAGGACAACACCGCACGGAAGTCGTTTGTGATTCAGCGATCCTGTTTACCGGCGGCAAGACTTTTCACAAAAAGTTCGATCAGCGATCGCAGGTTCGATGACTTTACTTTAGAAGAATTTAGGCTGCTTTAGGGTGCACGGGAAGTCATTATTAATTTTTAATTGGATTTGTAAAACATCTTTCCGTAACGGCTTGCTTTACGGCACCGAAATTTTAAAGTCCGACTAGCAGCACGTGAGAGTGAATGCAATGAGCAGGGGGGAATAACGTTTGCTGACCAAAATATTTAACCTGGTTTGTCGTGAATTGTAATGCTATGTTTCCCTGTCTTGATCCCTTCTTCTTGACTTTCACACCTTTGAAGAAGACTCCCCTTCTGTGACTAGTATTCACTCTAGGTTTACCGGACATCAGGCCAGTTGTAATTGTCTTTCCATAACCGTTTCATTCTAGTTCCCCTCAAAGTGCTATCGTGGATCTTCCTGAATCATTCCTCTCTTAACCCTCCTTTTGATCATCGTATCCTTGCAATTGTAAATCCGTGCACACTTCCTCATATGCATCCTACTCGTCTCTACTACTCTTCAAACGTCTATTCGTCCAATGTCGTAGATATTGGTGACCCTTATACGATGTCCCAGCAGCCTATGGCCAGCACCTCTATGGTCACTCTGCAGCAGGCCCCATCGTACTCCAGTGACCAAAGCGCGTACAAGAAGCGAAAGATCGAACGGGCCTGCGATGCCTGTCGCCGCAGAAAGACTAAATGTGATGGCCCACGCATGCCTGGCAATATCTGTACCAACTGCATACAGAATCGCAAAACCTGTTCTTATGTGTACGTCCGAGGATATCATACAAGTCAAGTCGCTGAACGATTGTGATTCTTATAGCGAAGCGTCCAAGCCTAGAGGTCCTCCAAAGGCGTACGTGTTACCCCAGTTCTCTGATTAACTATGACAATAGAGCTGAGATCGTGTACAGATATATCACCGGTCTTGAGGACAGGTTGGAAAGAATGGAGGCACTTTTAAAGCGGGTGTGTAAATCTCACGTTTATTAATTCCACCCAGCATAGTGGGTGTTTCGAGAATATGTCAAGGTCTCAAATGCAACCAGACCCTCACGCTCCATCACATGTCTCTCTGAGAAATGATGGAAACTGCAGTCTATCTTCTGATATTTGGCTTGTCTTTCCTGTTGCTCCTGTCTGACTGATGATTATTCTACAGCTCCGCCCTGAGGCTGACTTCTCGGAAGATCTTGGTCCACCAGTTGTCCGTGATTCCTGGAAACAAGATGAAGAACCACAATACCGATATTCCCCAGATGAAAAATCGTCATCACCAGTCGGTCATTTGCGATCTCGTGGGTCACCTAGTGTACCCCCTGTTGGCAAATTTTTGCCTTCATCTAGTGTTAGTGTCAAGAGTCGGCGTTCCGTGGGCACCTCTCGCACTGACACGGACTTGTCATCTGATGGATGCACATCCTCGGAGAGTGAAGAAATCGGCGAATTGAGTCTTTCCCGGGGAATGAAGCGTTTAACTATTCGTGGGCTCGAGCCTGCCCAGGATCATGGCTCATTGGTGGATAATCAAGTTCGCTTCCATGGCAAGAGTAGCTGCTTCAAGCTCATCGAACCAACTCGAAAACTCCGCGAGAAACACATCAACCGCATATTCCAAGAATCAGGTTCAACTGATGCCGAGAGTGGGTCGGGTAGTCGCAGCTCACCGGAATCAACGAGTTCTGCCAGTTCTACACCGATGCGACGCCCAGAATTTTGGACCACGCCTTCAGTAAGCGTTCATTCTCACCGAGCATCAAATTGCTCATCGCTTATTCTAGTGGGAATTTGCTTTCGAAGGTTTCCAAGATAGGCTCAATACGCTCTGCCACTCGCTAACAACAGAATTCCCCCCACCTGACTTGGCTGACAGTTTGATTAATTTATTCTTCCTCCATATCAACCCTCAATGTCCGCTTTTCCACCGGCCAACATTTGAGCGCCAATGGCGGGAGGGTCTTCAAGAAACAGATCCTTGGTTTGGATGCCTGTGCTTGGCACTATTTGCTGTTGCTAGCCGCTGGTCCGATGATTCCCGCGTATTGGATTGTCATGTGTATGGCATACCCGAGGCAGAGATCCCCGATGAGGATTGCAAGTGGCAAAGAGCAGGATGGAGGTACTTCAGCGCAGCAGTTGGTATGTCAGAAACCTCGTTGATTTATCTCGTAGCTCTCATTATTTTCTGCAGATGTTCATCGCGATTCTCGCAGCTTGTTTCATCCCCCAGGCCTGTTTGAGGTACAGACTATGTCTGTGAGTAAACTTACACAGACAACAGTGATTTATAGTAACATCCTTTCTGGCATAGTTACTAGGCATGTTTCTACGCGGTACTGCCTTTCATCCAGTGGGATGGCTCTTCATCAGTATTGGCCTCCGCAAAGCTCAGGATGTTGGTGCACACCGCAAGAAGATTTACGGGGCAAAACCAAGTGTTGAGGATGAGCTGTGGAAAAGAGCATTTTGGGTACTTGTGCTATACGACCGCATAGGAAGTGCTGCTCTTGGACGACCATGCTGTTCTGGGGAGGAAGAGTAAGAGTCACACAATTTTTACGTGATTCTTCTGACTCATGCTTATCCAGCTTCGATGTCGACCTTCCCCTGGAAGTTGACGATGAATATTGGGAGACAGAGGATCCTGAGAAGGCATTCCAGCAACCACCAGGAAAGCCATCAAAGATAGCAGGGTTCAACTCCTACCTAAAATTGACTAAGATCTCCGCATATGCATTAAGGACTATTGTGCGTTTTCCCACCCCGCAGGTATCTTTTATCAGTGACTAAACTTTCATTGGCGTAGTATGCCCTTGACAGGTCCAAACTATTGGTTAGCGCCGCGCGTCCGCGGTGGCATGAAGTTTTGAATCACCTTAGTGCCGCAATGAATGAATGGGTTGACTCAGTGCCTCCTCATTGTCAGTAATCATTGGTTACCGGCGTCGATCCATCTCACGCTTTGATTGCAGTACAATGGTCGCCTCACATGGAAGATTCATTCTTCGCTAACCAATCGGTTACGCTGTACATCACCTATTACCTTATCCACATCCTCATTTACCGTCCTTTCTTGCCTGGTTCACTTGGCTCCCTTTCCAATGCTGTTCCACACGCAAATATGCCCGTCCCCTGTATCGCCATCTGTGTCAACGCAGGAAAATCTTGTGCGAAGATACTGCGGGCGCAGATTCAAAGGGGTATATCTAATATACCCACACTCATTTGCGGGTCACACATGTGCGCTGCGATTCTTCTCATGAACTTTTGGGATTTGAAGTGGCAGGAGCGCAATCAACTCCAGTCTGGTATGGAGGATGTGAAGCCGACATTTGCGATTGCAATGGCAGAGCTTCTTGAAGATGTCTCCTTTTTCATACAAGTGCTTGAACATTTGAAACCGCGATGGAGAAATGCCGACATGTATTTGTACGTTATGCAATCTATCGTTTGACTTTTACTGAGGTTCCCTGCTGTCTAGAAAGGACCTTAGTACTTCAATGCCACACAGCCTCAATGGCTCTGGAAGTGGTAGTCACAAAGGTAATCTGTTACTCCAGAGCTATGAAGGCAAAGGCGACGCACACACATTGTTGCCGCTACCAGAACACCACGCCCATCCTACGGAATATCGCCCTAATACCTCATCAGCATATCCTGCGCTGCAGCCGGCTGCATACCCATACGTTCCGCTGGCGGAGCCCGTCAACACCAATCCTCATTGGTTTGACTTCCCGCACCTTACCAGACATCCAGTTCCTGGAGTGCTACCCTTGTGGGCATCCCATGAGCTAGCGCAAAGCAGAGCCACCCCTTGGAACCAGATGCAAAGTCGTCGCTCATCCTTGCAATCTTCTCATTCTCACAAATACGACCATTCCGCCGTTCATTCCCTAGAAGCTCCGAAAGCTCCGCTCACCAGCCTCGACTCTGGAATAATGATACCTGCGAACCTTGTGCACGGATCTGATACAAGATTGCCATGTGACAACCCCTTGCCACGTCCGCATTTTGAATCTGCAACCTGTCCACAGTTCAATAATTATACCCAGCATAGTGTAAATGGCCAAATGCGTGCCGACGCGACGCATCAAACATACAACACTCATTCAGATTCAAGGTCTGTCTTTCATTTGGTCAAAACTCACTCTTCTCACGTTGACCTCTGTCGTAGGTACGGGTGGCCAGCAGCTGAGTGGGAGCAAACGTATGGACCTCGTTCATTGATTGCCGACCCTTCTCCACGTCGTCCCAGTAACACCATGCACCCCAAAGGGAGCGAATACTCGCAAGGACACATCATTTCATTTCCCGGGCGCTATTAACATGACTTCGCCGTTTTATATACATGACGATTTTTCATAATCAATTTCATGACACTTGATGTTGAAGATGATGTACTTGCTTTCTAGTTTACATACCATCCGTATTAGTGGTAGGCGTCTCTTAGATTTTACGGCGCTTTCTGCATGTCATGAAGAGCTCCACTCGTTTGATCATGGGACTATCCAAGCCTGACGAGAATACTTTCACCGTTTCGTATACATGGTGATATCTAAGTTCAGCTTATTGTGAATCGTCACGAGCACAAGGAGGTCACCTGGACCGGGGAATATTCGGGCCGGTATGGTAGGAGTCCCAGCAGTTGTGGCAATGATTATATTTATGGTATGAAGCCGTTATTCAATACCTCTGCGTAAGTACTAGTAGGGACTACAGTGAGGGAAGAATCAGCACGCCACTCTTCGATTTCTTTGCGGTGTGCCTTGTTCCTTGCACCCGTGACATAGACGGTGACGAGAATCTTCAATCTCTCTTGATGGAGTTATTCCCTGCAACCTGTGCCTATGCGTAATCGCCAGATGCATGGGATAAGATAGCTCTCGATACCATCTCGACAAGCAAGCGGGAGTGTAATGGGAAAGACGAAAGTATCGTGGTTTCTGATGGCGCAATTGCAAGGCACGGAAGATTAGGTTACAAACGAGACTCGACTCGTGACGCCAGTACACGTGCTCGATACTATGGCCGATGGGATGCACAAAGACACGTGATTTGGAGGCTAGAAATAAATGCTACGAGGGGGACTGTGGTAAAGGTTGCCTTTAACATGATTGCGCACTCAATGCGAGACAAGCGATGCTACGGCAGCGAGGTGGCGACTAGAGGCCGACAGGCCTGTCGGAAAGGAGTTCAGGCGGGAGAGTAGCCATGAACGTACTGCAGGCTAATGATTCAAGCACGTACTATTGATGGACGCCTACATACACAAAGGACTAGTGAAAGAAGAAAATATTCTGCAGAATCGCTCTATAGTAGACATAGTTTGCATGCTCCAGATCAACCAGAACTGAGAAGACGAGCTGAATGAAAATTCAATGAATGTGTCAAATTTCGCACGAGGTTAACTTGACGTTAACGGGGAGAAATAAGTTCACCGCCGTCTGGGGTGTTCACACAGGGTTAGCTGATAATGAATTCGACGGGGATTGATGGATTATGAGTGATGAGCGAGTGAAGATACAGAAAGTCATGGTAAGGACGTGCTTTGATATCTATGTGAGGGCTCGTACAAAGGGATTTTCATCGTCGGCGGAGTGCCACTCATTACACGCAACTATTCAAACGTTTCAACCGCATGCAAACAGTGTGCACGTCGAAATGCCCCCACAAACGTTTGAAGCACCAGCGCTCAAATTCGATGGCTCCCTAAAAATGCCGAAGACTCTATTATTGGTGAATCAGGCCATTGACTTTCCAAAGACCAGAAAAAACAGTTTGATGAGCAGGGTCGCTGAAGGTTGGCGTGTCTGCGAAAAGCTTTTCTGTGCCTTACAAACGCGCATTTTCGGATGCTGCACAGGTACCAAACATCGTGCATGATTTTGCATCCAGCTGACTTCTGTGACATTCATGTAAAGGATGAATCAAAAAAGGAGAGGGAAGCATCGGCAAGCTGAGTTAGAAGCCAAAGAAGCTGCACAAAGACCACGTTGGCCCGATGATGCTGTAGACGAAATACAGTGGAGTGCGAAGTAGATTTAATACCCATTTTTTTCAGTTTTTGGTAGTAAAGTTCAAACCGGTTCGCACCTGAAAGGCACCATATAAGACCGCTTGACCGAACCGTTGGTTAGTATTCAGGGTTTGTAGCCTTGAGATGTCATGCACAGGTTCGGGTGCGGGCTCGGGCAGTCCTACTCTCAAAATAGCTTGAACTGCACCTTGGCAACTTTTAGGATTCAGAAGCTTCCCAATATTCAATCATGATCTGGCGGGGAGATATCAAACATACGCACCTAAGTTGTTGGAAACACCTTGCTCGGCAATCCTTTAGCTGTCATACGACACAAGTGACCGGTAAGATTAGCGAGGCTACCATATACATGCACGTCACTGGTACTCACAAGAGATGAGCATGCTACTACGTCATCACCATTATGGCAAGATATAAATCTAAGATAACACTGCTAGGCCTGCGAAACATAACACGAAAAATATGATTTGTCGGTAAATGGGGATGACGGCTTGAGATCTAGAGTGGATGAGTTGAGAAACCTAGAATGGACTAATCGAAGAATGTCTGGCCTGGATACAGGCAGCACACTTGTATGAACCTTGTTGAGCATTCTGGCTTCATGTGAGCCGGACCTACAAAGGTTCATGATCGTAATTTAAAGTTATGATTATAATTGATCAGAGGGGAAGAAGCAGGAAGCAGGAGAATTTTGATTGTTGAAAGCATCTGGTGAGAATTGCTGACTCGGAGTAACTAGGTTGCCGGGGTTATTGGAAGTCCATGTTAGTGGCGTACTGAGGAACAAGAATTTGAGACAATGGGGTTCAACGACGTAGTGCCTTCTCCTGCCGATGCATATCACCGCAGGCATATGAAGACCAAGCAATGTACGATGATCCTCGGAGAAGCACATATTTTAACCTCGTGCCACGAAGACATCCGCAATCGGGATCCCGCAGAGACAAAAACAGTGCAGCGGAACGGGTCCTGATTTTCTTGATATGGGAGCATTCCACATGTTGCGAGGTAGTGAGATTACTTGGTGCAGTTGTTGCATCAAGGTGATGAGCACGCAATACCAACGAAATACGGCAATAAACCGGAAGTATACCACATAGTCATGAGAGATATTAATAACATAAAAAACATGCCGTAACGCGGATTCAAGACTTACACGGTCTAGATCTAAGAACCCATGTTGGAAAATCCAGTGCGTTGTGGTCGATTGAGATCGAGGCGTAAGGCTTGATATGTCTTCTGGAAGTGTCACTGCCTGTTGTTAGTACTGTTTGCTCCCACAGAGTACAACATTGGGTATGTAATACTCTCACCATCTAGATCCGATAACTGCTTCGCCCGTCTCATTCCAGCGCATACATGTGTTGTGTATTGTGATGTACTTGCCAATTGCCCAATATCCAAAATAACAAAAACCGTCACTTTTGTATCCATATCTGGGATGGCCTCTATCGCTTGCATGGCTAATTAATATGCCAGGTGTTGCTTTCCGAGGACCTCTATGCAACCGCGACGTGCGATTTGTCCTCATTCCTATCGCCCCCAACTATTTGCTCAACCCAAATAGAAAGCTGGCGTACGTAGGGGATACCAAGGAACGAATGTTATATCGTCCTTGTCCTGTCATTGTACGTTTGAACGGGATTGGCAGACTGATTGGGGTAACCGGGCACATCTAATGCAATGCATGGACTGTCGACAACCAATAAGTACATGTACGCAGGAGGCATCCGTCGTACACCGTGTCAATGGTCATTGATCAGAGTAATGGTGAAACGAAGGATAATGCGATAGTCAACGCCTGCCGCGTAGACCGTGACCTCCCTGGCTGCAGTCAAGGTCGCCTTCTAGCGATCCATCCTCGTGGTCTGCAGTGAGAGCACCATCGTCATTCCCTGACTTTTTACTTGGATGGGAAGGCCATCCATGACTTGACATTTGTGCAATGGCCTGCTGGCGAGTCCAACTGGTCTGTGCGACAAATGCAACTAAGGCCTAGAACAAATTGGTGATGGGCCATCGTAAATCTGTTCGAGTAAAAACATCAGAACACTTACCAGTAATACGGTACCCATGATTATTCTCTCTTTCCACCGCTCATCACTAGCTGTATCGTCGAAATGAGGACGACGCGACCTAGCTGACCATCGTATCGGATCCACTTTGTGAGTAGCTTCCACCAGTTCACCAGAAGCAGATACCTTTCCTCGAAGTATGTCGTACGCTCGAGAGATAGCTTGAAATCGTGCCTGCGACTCCTCCGAGGGATAATGACGAGCGACAGCTGAGTCCGGGTGGTAAATTCGGACAAGTTCATAATCTGCCTTGTGTTATTATTAAAGGTCGTACAAGGATAGTGGTATAAGATACGTGCATCTCCGTTTCACATCCTCCTGGTTTGCACTTCGCGGTAAATGGAAAATCTGGTGCGGCTGAGGGTTTATTTGTGTTGGATAGGGATATGGATTGGCACTTTTGGACGCGTACGAACGAGAGCTTTGCAGTAAGATGAAGAGGGTGTGGACTCGAGAGCGAAAAGTGGGCGTTCGCTGCATCAGTGCGCAGTAGGTGTCAGAAGATTGGATGATATGTGCTAGTCAGTTAGCCAGCCAGCATGTCTGTCTTGAGCTGAACAATAGGTGGTTCCTTTTGGTCCCGTTCCGATCCGGTCGAATCATATAAATTGGACTTAATACTACACCACATCAGTATGTACATTGTCATACACTACACCAGAACCCACACTCGAGTATGAAAAGAGGAAGAACAACACAAAAAAGGCACGTGTGGATACATCATGATGATGATCGCAAAAATATCCATTCACGTTAGCTGGTATCAAGACTCACAAACTCACAATAAGGCGGCCATCATTGAAAGGATCCTCTTCGACGATGAGACCCAACCTGCATGACATGTGCGATGAGAACCAACTTATTGAGGTACATTCGCGATGCACATACCTTCTCCCATGTTTTCGAATTTCAGGTTTGATCCTCGGGATATTATACTCGGAGTGCTTTCCCCTTCCTGACCAATTTTGCGATCAATGAGAAACCTGTTGCTGGAGTTGAGGCCGTGACGTGTCTTACCTACGATCACACAAAGTGACGATTCTCCATTGTTCCGAATCATTTGAACAGCTTTGTCAAAGTGCAGCTTGGCTTCGGAGACACGAAGTCTATGAAGATCAATCTTGTCGGACCCGTATTCCTGGGGAAAGTGTTGGATAGCGGCATGTATCATAAGAACGACAACAAACTTGATTATTCTCTAGATGAGGCTGAAGGTAAGTTTGCGAGTCCTGCACGGTCTATCCATCAGTCTCATACCTTCGAATATCCTCGCGCTGGCTGCCTCGTTTAAGCACATCATGTTTTTTTTGTACGCCTTACGCTTCAAGGAAAGCTCTTTAGCGAGCCTTCCGTCGTTGTTAGCAAACGCTTCACGGCTCTTATTTAAACATTCTCTCATGCGATCTCCCTCGATTCTGGCTTTGTCACGAAGAGAATCGGCATCTTCATAGGGGTCAATCACAACAGGCGTCACAGCAACCTCTGGAGCTCTTGTAATTAATCCGGGTCTAGAAATACGACGTGGCCGCTGTGTCGAAAAGGTGATTAGACAGCACTGTCAGACGGATCATGCTATGACAGACCTGAGGGATATCACTTTGGCTAGGCTCGTTTACCGGAGCAACATCAGGAAATATGAGGGGCGTAGGTTGTGGAGGTAGTCGTACGCTCGTTTGGCGATGAGGCTGATGGGGTGTGTGCTGCGAAGGTGACTGATGAACAGAAGGGGACTGGTGAGCAGACTGGGATCGATGAACGGAAAGTTGATGAGCAGAAGAGGATTGAGAATATTCAGTCACTCGACGTGGTGGCGGGTATAGGTGGTAAGTTGATGTTTGCTGCTGCAACTCTGTGCGTTCATATGATTTCTGATGCTGCGAGTGAACACTCTTATATGGTGAATCAGATGGTGAGATTAACGCCGGGGATGATCTCGGCGGTGGCGAGGACTTTCTCCTGCTGAGGAATATGGAGATTGCTTTTTGTAGCAACCACATTGGGCCCTTCAATAGGGCCTTGAGGGCTGATATCACAGAGGGGATGAACATCTGCATGTTGCAGTGGAGGATGGAGGATGGAGGATGGAGACGGATAGAAGGCCTTGTTGATAGTTAGTCTCGGGAGCTGGCGCTACGCCAACATCAATATTTCACGATGAAAATTTATCGTGGCATACGTACAAATCAGCAAAGTGCCGTCCCACGCGGACAGCCTCTCGTCAGAAGTTATGTCATATGCATGAGATGGACATATGATCAATATTGATCGCACGCACATCGACAAATATTCTGATCAGATGTGAGCGCTAGGTGCCTACAGTACTCCGAATTAGAACGCCTGCAATTTTTGGGCCTACACGTACTATCGGACGAATACTAACCCTATTTTTGACAAATAGCTTAGTTAGCCTTAAGTGGGGATGCATTGACAAACCAGAAGCATAATGCATACCGTCTCATCAAATCCTCTACGCTCTAGAGCCGCTTTCATTCTAGTGAGATGGACTCGAATCATAATTCTTATCTGAATGTGACCCCTTTGCCACAATGCCTGTTGGTCAGTATGAAATCTGTACCGCATGCTCATAGCACGTACCAGCAATCAAGCAGATCTGTAAATCCCCACAATGACCACAGAGCTTCCTTGATAGTTGTATTGGAGTATCATATGGCTTCTTTGATGTAGAGTACGTGCAGAACCAATTCGCCTGGCTGGTTCGCATCAGTAAGTATCATAGAGGGAGCTCCGAGTCTTACATAAACTTCAAGAACCATCCAAGCTCCGAGTCATCACTAGTATGTAGTTTCCTCAGGCTAGCATCACTGCCGGCATCGGTGTGCAGTACTTATGATTCACAAAAAAAATGACATTCAGTGAGTTCACTTAAAACTTACAATAAGGCAGCCATCATTGCGAATCATTGCGTTAATTGTCAATCTCAAACTGCATGACGAGAAAAACTACAAAGACGCCGCATTCTGCGTACCTTTCCCCGTGAGCCTGAATTGCAGGCTTGATCTTCGGGATGTTTTTATCGGAATGATTTTCTTTCCCCGAACAGTTTCACTGTCGCTGAGCAAAGTTGAAAGGTGTTATTGTGCCTTGCCTGCGATCACACGAAGTGACGATTCTTCACGATCCCGAGCTCCTTGGAAGAGATGTCGAGATAGGACCTGGCTTCTGAAACGTAGGGTCTGTGGAGATCGACTTCATTTATGCAGTTCTGAAAAACGTCAGACAGTGCTGCTTTAGTAAAGAACACGACAAACTTGGTTATTCTCTGTACGGGGTAGGTGTAGGGTATGGGTAAACTTTCTGAATCCCACACTTTCCTTTGATTGATTTCATATCTTGAGCGGAATATTTTTGCGCCGGCTTCCTTGTCTACTCGGAGGAGCATCGTGTTTACCCCATGTGCTTCACCCTGGTGAGCTCTTCAGTATGCCGTTGGTCATCCCTAGCTTTCGCTTCGTCTCTCTTCTTGAACATGTGTTACGAAAAGTCGTATGAGGGCCACCTGGCAGTAGTACTTTGTAAAAGATTAGCACTTCGCAGTACTGAGTAAATGGAACATCTGGTGCGGCTGAGGGCTTATCTGTGTTGGATAGGGATAGGGATTGGTACTTTTGGACGCATATGAACAAGAGCGTCGCAGTAAGATAAGGAGGGTGCGCAACTCGAAAGTCGAGAACGAAAATTGGGCGCTTGCGGCATCAGCGCACGTAGGGCCATCAGAACTTGGAAGGCCGGATGAAATGTGCTGGGCCGCTGGCTAGCAGCCGCTGGGATTGAACAATAACCTGAGTGGTTCCTTTTTGTCCCGTTCCGATCCGGTCGATAAATTGAAGCTATGAGACATCACTACACTGTTATACATTACACGAAAACCAATCTCCTGTGGACAGAAAAGAATGAAATATACCAAAACAGTATTGTACACATTCGAGTGTGAAAAGAGGAATGATAACATAAAAAAGCATGTGTGGTACATCATGATGAGGATCGCAAAAACTGCCCTTCGAATTAGCTGGAATCAAGACTCACAAACTCACGACAAGGCAGCCTTCGTTGAGAGAATCCACTTCAACGCGCAGACCCAGACTACGTGACATCGATAATGAGAACCAACTTGTGGAGGCACATTCACGATGCACATACCTTCTCCCATATTCTTGAATTGCAGGTTTGATCTTCGGGACATTATTCTCGGAACGATTTCCCCTTCCTAAGCAATTTCGCAATGAAACCTGTTGCTGGAGTTGAGTGTGTGATGCGTCTCACCTACGATCACACGGAGTGACGATTCTCCACTGTTCCGAATCTCTTGAACAGCTTCGTCAAAGTGCAGCTTGGCTTCCGGGACAAACAGTCCGTGAAGATCAATCGTGTCGGACCTGCGTCCCTGGGAAAAGCATCGGATAGCGGCATGTATCATAAGAAAGGCAACAAACTTGATTATTCTCTAGATGAGGTTGGAGGTTAGTTGGCAAACCCTGCACGGTCTGTCCACCAGTCTCATACCTTCAAATATCTTCGTGCTGGCTGCCTTATTCAACCGCGTCATGTTGTCTTTGTGCGCCTCACCCTTCAAGGAAAGCTCTTTGGCGAGCCTTCGCTCGTTGCGAATAAACGCTTCACGACTCTGCTTGAAACATTCTCCCATGCGATCTCCCTCGATTCTGGCTTTATGACGAAGAGAATCGGCATCTTCATAGGGGTCAATCACAACAGGCGTCACAGCAATCTCTGGAGCGCTTGTAAGTAATTCAGGTCCAGAAACACGACGTGGCCGCTGTGTCGAAAAGGTGAGTAGACAGCATTGTCAGATGTATCATGCTATGACGGACCTGAGGGATATCACTTTGACTAGGCTCGTTCACCGGAGCAACATCAGGAAATATGAGGGGCGTAGGTTGTGGAGGTAATCGTACGCTCTGTTGGCGATGAGGCTGATAGGGTGTGTGCTGCGAAGGTGACTGGTGAGCAGATTGGGATCGATGAACGGAAGGTTGTTGAGCGGAAGGGGATTGAGAGTATTCAGTCACTCGACGCGGTGGCGGGTACAGGTTGTAGGTTGATGTTTGCTGCTGCGACTGTGTGCGTTCATATGATCTCTGAGGCTGCGAGTGAACACTCTTATACGGTGAATCAGATGGTGAGGTTAACGCCGGAGATGGTACTGGTGGTGGCGGGGACTCTCTCTTGCCAAAGAATATGGAGATTGCTTTTCGTAGCAACCACATTGGGCCCTTCAATAGGGCCTCGAGGGCCGATAGTACGGTGGGGATGAACATCTGCATCATTGATGCAGTGGGGGATGAAAACGAACGAAAGACCTGGAACTTGAGCGTGTGGCACAACGAGCGCTACGCCGACATCTATATTCCACGATGAAAACAACATGAGGCCTACATATACACGAATCAAGGAAGAACCCTGACACAAGCGCCGTCCCATGCGGACGGCTTATCATCAGAAGTTATGCATGAAAATGGATATAGGCACATTGCTTGCGCACACACATCAAGAGGCGAGCACTGAGTGTGCCCACAGTGTATCGCCTGTAGACCCACATCTGTAATTAGTACTGTCGTTGACAAATAGTTTAGCTAATAAGTGAGGAGCCCACATCAGTGTATACGTACTTACCGTCTCCTCAGCGCTCGGCTCTAGAGCTGCTTTGATTCTAGCGATATCCCGGATCATAATTCTGATTTGAATGTAAGCCTTTGCCGCAATGACCATACACATATCACGTACCAACAACCAAGCGGATCTGTGAACCCCCACAGTGACTGAAACTCTTTGATAAATTTAAGTCATAGAGTTCAATTTAAAACCTGACTAACTGGCATTCCATTATTATCATAGAGCCCTTAGCATCCTGGACCAAGCTGATGATCATTAGCACAGCGGAACCTCCATGGTAGGTTTGTGCTGCTGCCCTTCTCTCTGAGTGCCTTCAATTTAGCTAGCTCGCTGTCATGGCGCCGATGGGCCCCGTTGCTCTGCTAGAAGCATATAGGCTATACACTTGTGCAAAGTACTGTTTGAACGATGAATGATGTTCAATTGGCTGACTACGTATGGTACTTTAACGGCTGTCAGACTTTACATAATTTAGTTAATCGTAAAATTCTTAAGTCAATTGAGCAGAATTTGGCTATAGACGGTACATGCATTAGAAATCACCAAAAAAAATTCAACATTCAGTGAGTTCACTTAAAGGCTTACAATAAGGCAGCCATCATTGCGATGGTCTACTTCAATCGACAATCCCAAACTGTACATGATGAGAAAAACCTACAAAGACGCGTACTGCGAATTGCTTACCTTTCCCCGTAAGCCTGGATTGCAGGTTTGATCTTCGGAATGTTGTTATCGGAGTGATTTCCCTTTCCTGAACAGTTTAACTGTCACCAAGAAAAGTTGAAAGGTATTGTAGTGTCTTACCTACGATCACACGAAGCGACGATTCTCCGCGGTCCCGAGCCGCTTGAACAGAAATGTCGAAATAGGATTTTGCTTCTGAAACATACAGTCCATGGAGATCAACTTCATTTCTGCGGTTCTGAAAAACGTCACACAGTGCTGCCCTTTACAAAAACAAAACGAACTTGGTTATTTTCTAGACGAAGCAGGGATCCGAGTAAGCTTTCTGAATTCTGCACGTTCCTTTTATCGATTTCGTACCTTGAAATATCTTTGCGCTAGCTTCCTTATCGAGGAGCATCATGTTTGCCCTGTGTGTCTCACCCCTCTGGGTAAGCTCTTTAGTGCGCTGTTGGTGATTCCTAGCTTTCGCTTGTTTCCTCTCCTTGAAGCATTTCCCCATCCGATCACCTTCCTGTACAGCTTTGAGACGAAGAGACTTAGGGTCTTCGTGGGGGTCAATTACTACACACGCTACAGGTAACTCCGGCGCTCTTGCAGCAGGAGGTTCTACGCGCACTACTAGTGGCGCTCTTGCGACAGGACGACGTGGCTGCTACGTATCGAAGAGATGAGTAGACGGCAGATGTGACATGCTAGGACAGACCTGAGGGGTGTAATAGACGGGCTTGTGCACTGAAGCATCACGAGATAAAAGGGGGGTGGTGGCTGATGGTGGGTATTGTGCGCTCGGCAGGCAATGAGGCTGATACGGCGAGGGCTGCGAGCTCGAAGGCGCTTGAAGTGTAGAATATTTTGAAGGGGTCTCGGGATATCGGATTGCTGGAAGCGGTGGCGGGAGCTGGCGGTGGAATGGTTGGTGGTATGACCCTTGCTGCGACAAAGCGGGCGCGTAGGGTGAATCTGATGATGAGCATACACCCAAGGGTGGTGGCTGCAGTGGCCGGGAGACATTGATTAAGATAAAGCCAAGGGCTATTAGAGCCACCAAGATTGTTAGTCCACAGATGATGTATAAGATCTCCATGATGATGGTGTGGGGGACAGAGAAACAAAGGCCCTCCTGTGACGGTTGATAACTACTAAGGACCGTCAAAGCGCCGCCTCATGTCAACCTCATGCCCATAACATCAGAGGTTATGTCACAGTGGTATACATGGAAATAAATACATATTATACATACATCAATAGCATATATTTGCTCCATGAATCGCAGCTTTGTATCGGAAGCGAAAGTGTTATTGCGGCCGTAGCACATTGAATTAGGTCCGTCGTTTAATCCAGTGTTCACAAAAGGTATCACACTGGATGATCAAGCAAGCTGCACGATCAGAACGCCCGCATTCAGTGGATCCACCTCAAATGGAAGATTGAGCCTTTGACAAATAGTTTAGCTAACAGGCACAGAGGACCCACAAACCATACGTACCGTTTCATCAAGTCCTCTAGGGCAGGTTTGATTTTAGCAACATTGCCATTGGAATGCAAGCCTTTCCCTATACCATTGATGTATGAGTTCTGTACAGCAATCAAAGTTCAATATATCACGCACCAACAATAAGGCGGATCTGTGAATCCCTCCGCTGTCGAGCCTCCTTGATAGCTTTATCGGAGTATGTTATCGCTTCCTTGACGTATAGTCCGTGCAGATCCAATTCACCCGGCTTGCTGTCCTGTTTGGATTATAAACAAGTATTAGAAACCGGCCGAGCCAAGGCCGAGCTCAATGATCACAGTAGCACGTGGCGGACCAGATTGTTCTCTTTGCGATGCCAATGTCAAACTTCGAGCCAGACTGACACAAAGCAACTCAGCATACCTCGGAATATCCATGCACTGGCCTCCGCGTTCAGTGCTTCCATGGCACGTTCGTGTTTTTTTCCCTTCTCTGAGAGTTCCTTAGCTAGCGCGCCCTCACGGCGAGAATACGCTTCGTGGCTTTGCTGGAAGCATTTTGCCATAGCGTCTCCTTCCTGATTTGCTTTGGCACGTAAGGACGTATAGTGTTCATTGTGTTGATTGGCTTGGTTCTGGTCCTACAAACCAACCGTTAGATGACCTTTACGATATGCGAACCACTCCGAGTCGCAGGCTTACCTGGTATCTTAAACGATCTTGTTGAGTACTAGGCCAAGCGCCCGGAAGAGGAGATAATGGCTCCTGTGGTTGCGGTGGTCTAGGCTTTTCGCCTTGTGGCTGAGACGACTCTCCACAAAATGCTTTGACGATGGAGAAAAGAAAATCAAGCAATCCCATGTTGTGGTAATCGAAGAAAAATGCTGGTTACGATAAGCCCTGCAGCATGGCCCAGAGTTCCATAATAAGCTTTGGCAGACACCTCAAAGGCAATTCAGCCAACGTCCGTCTTCTGAATTATACTATTTGACAGGCCGGTCATGCCAGCGTACATTTGAACAGCCAGAAAGCAGTCATTTGATTGCATACAGTAATGAAGAAACAATTTGGTCGTGTCATTGTCCACTCCTACCACATAAGGTTGGTCCACATTCCCTTGACCGTCCACCTAAATCTCCACACCGACAAGAATATACGCAGGATCAACCTGGAATGGTGGTTTAGTAACGACGCTTCCCCCGACGTACATGAGTGAATGTAAAAGTTCGCTCAGACCGTGGGAAGCCTTGTTGAATGCGATGATCAAAGCTGAGCACTGGAGTTGTTCGTCGGCTAAATCGAGGAGAGCCACAATGCTACGGTGGTCATGTAAGCACCGGCATTAAATTCTGAATAGTAACGCACCTCTCGCGAAGAGAAACAGCTTGAGCGTTCTTGCCATCAACGTAAAGTGTTTTGGTCTTTCCAGGGAGTTCGAGCACCACACCATCGAAAGAAGCACCCATATTTGGGGCGGCGACGACGACGCTCTTAGCATAAGGCAAAAGGCTCAATCCATCACGAGGAAAGATAGCCAAAAGAATGTCCAAAGCATCTTTAGAATGCTTGGTAGTTATACCAGTGGCACAGCCATCTTCATCGTCATCTGGTGTCAAAGGCGGGGTGGCAATGTCGTAGGGTGAATCTGCTCTGATAGGAATGTCACGAGGCGGAACTGCAGATGAATAAGGCGAGTAGGATGGGTGCATAAGTGAAACATTGGATGTGTTGGGAGACGATGAGTAATTCGAGAAAGAAGAAATGGAAGACGCCGGACTGCCTGTCACACAGTCTGACGACCCTCTGTCAGGAGGGCATTTAGCGTTAGGGATGTCAAACGCGCCACTGGAAAGGTCTCAGTACTTGAGATCAATGGTATTGCAAGAATGACTTACCCCGGGTCCACCAGAGAAAGTAGTAGAGTAGTAGTACATGTCGCCGGTGCCCTGCATGTGGCAGACGGCAAGTACACTAGGAGTAATGTCAGCAGAGAAAGCCCCATCTCCAACGGCTTGACAGCCGTTGCTGGACGCCACAATTAGTTCAAAGCCAAACGCGAGATAGGATGAAGAGCATACGCGGGGCAAATACTAAATTGCTGTTTCAAAAAATTGGACATGGATGGATTCGACATGTTCTGCCAACTTGACTGGGGTTAGAAAACTGTTACGTAGTTGAGAGGTAATGCTAAAACTTCAGGTTTGACTGAAGGCTTGAAGGAAAGAATGCTGAGTTGGGTCGTGGGATTTGTATTCGGGTATTTATCATCAACACCGCCTTGCCACTCCACAACCCCCCCGGTCACTCAATGTTCAACATTATCTCGCAGGTTGGCCTGGGATGCATCTCACTCGCTAATTAAGCCATATTCTTGACGCAATTGGAGTACGAAGATCATATTCTTGAGGAATCGTGTGATGAGAACGTGTTGCACTTGCACAGTGGAAATGAAACGTGTCAGGGGGGTCACATTACCGCTTCAGGGCAGGGCTTTAGCGGCTGCATTGAAGGATACACAGCGGTGACATTACCATCGACAGCGAGCGCAACATCGCCGAACCTTTGAGATGTGAGTTCATTCAATACCCCTGCAAACAGCTAAGTATCCAGACGGTTCCGCACGGCGGACGTCAATTGATTGGATTTCGGTGGATGCATCGATGCACTATCAGATGTACCTCGACATACTGCCTCTCTTGATTTTGTTCGTTTCTTGACTTCAAGTACTAACTATCCTCTGCACAGTAAAATTTCGGCACATACATAATGGCTGACGCAGCGCGCGGACGTGGTGGTTTTGGACGTGGACGAGGTGACAGAGGCAGAGGTCGTCGTGGTCCCCGCAGAGGAGGCCGCAAGGATGAGGAGAAGGAGTGGTCTGTATTCATCTACTCTCTCCTTGCGCTCGGCCATATAACATATGGTCTCGCAGGACTCCCGTTACTAAACTCGGCCGTCTCGTGAAAGACGGTAAAATCAAGTCTATGGAAGAAATCTACCTCTTCTCCCTTCCCGTCAAGGAATACCAGATCGTCGACTTTTTCCTGCCCAAACTTAAGGACGAGGTTATGAAGATCATGCCTGTGCAGAAGCAGACCCGTGCTGGTCAGCGTACTCGCTTCAAGGCCTTCGTTGCCATCGGTGACTCTGACGGACATGTCGGATTGGGTGTAAAGTGCGCGAAAGAAGTTGCAACTGCCATCCGGGGCGCTATCATCCTTGCCAAACTCTCTGTCATTCCCGTGCGAAGAGGTTACTGGGGTGCAGCCCTTGGTGAGCCTCACACTGTGCCATCAAAGGTCAGCGGAAAGGTCGGCTCCGTTATGTGCCGACTGATCCCTGCTCCTCGTGGTACTGGTATTGTCGCTGCTCCTGCATCAAAGCGTCTGCTTCAGCTTGCTGGCGTTGAGGATTGCTACACGCAGTCGAAGGGCTCGACTGCAACAATGGGTAACTTCTTGAAGGCCACATTTGCTGCTGTATGTGTATTCTAGCCTCTTCAATTGTGTTTGGCTTACATCTATTCTAGATTACGAAAACTTACGCTTTTCTTACTCCTGACCTATGGCGAGAGATTCCTGTATCAAAAGTGCCCTATGACGAGCACAGTGCTCACCTACAGCTTACAGCTGGCAAGAAGTACTAGATTAGTAGGTTTGGTGTCTATCATGTATTTCTGAAAAATCATATGCCCCCCATGCATGTTTCAATGAACGTACACCGCCGATGCGGATGATAATTTTATGCGTGGCTGCTTATATAATTTACATGAAATTATGCAAAAAAATCTTGAATTTCGTAGGGACTTGTGCCCAGGCTTGCCACGCTTGAGCATCATCATCTCAGAGGGTCTGACTGGTATTTTGGGACGGCAGAGGTGACCTGCACCAGTATGATGTGGTCCAACTTGCAGCAGTCGATAATGGGAGACCCGACACGTCGCCAGCGTTGCCGATCGATGATCGAAGGCAACTCGGATTGATGCAAATGTTCCAAGCAATTGACCTTTAGGCTCAATTGTTCAGCCACATCAGCTCAGCAGCGCTCACTGAGTCCGCCCTATGACTACGAGTGACCACCTGCCAATTTTGAATTTGCTCCTCAATGCTCGTCCCTCCAGTGCAGTACTAGGGGTGATAATATTTTTTTTTACCTATCGGAGCTCAGTGCTCAGCCTCGTAGGCAGGCTTTCCGAACCACCGCGCGACCGGTAGAGAAAGATCTGATATAAATCATGTCCCCAAAGTTCAGACGGTGTCTCCTTTGTCCGTTGGAACTCGCCCTTGGATTGAAGACGCTGGACGATTGCTTGACGGCACGGCATCTGATTGAATTCCAATCACCCCTGTAATTCGGTGCGTCAACAAATCCGATTCGTTTCAAAGGCCACATGTTCATGTCCTCTTGCAGTGCACATGATACAAGTCTCTGTCGCAACCTAACATATCTCTATCGTAATAGTTCTGGTTCAATCTCGTGCTAAACCAGCCGTTCATACGTTCCATTGACTATGTGAGTGTCACCAATTGGTAGTGTTGGGATCTTCCTTAATGATCGCGACGATTAAAGCGCGAACACCACCACTCTACATCAACGCTTCTCGTCTGGCATGTCGCGGACTAATTTTGTTGTTCAACCGATGCAGGCAAAACCCTGCTCAATACCGTCCCGGCGAGTTTCACGCTCACATTCCTATGATCAACCTCCTTCAAACAGCCATAACATTGCGTCACGACGCCAAGGCCCTTCATCCTTCCCCATCCATACTCGCTTACCCTCAGATGCATCACATACATCGTGGTCGTCTGAACACCCTGTCCTCTCGGTACCGACTCTCTCTCCTACATCGACTTATAGGTTAGTGTATTCAGATGGCGTGTATTCAACGCTAAAAATCATGTTGTGTATTTGCAGTACGTTTTCTTCGCCTGGAAGCTCTTACACCCAAGAACGACCATCGCCTATAACCCCCGAACTCTTTTACTCGCCATCGACTGATATGACATCTCCTGAGGTGACACCTATTACTGCGTTTCTTTCCGAATTCTATGAACCAGATTCGGAACCGGGCAGCGGCACCCACACGTTGGTCCACTTATCCGATCCTCGACATGTGGATCTCTTTGGAGAGAGATACGGGAAGGGTGCGAAGAACACAAAGCTCACAAAATGTCCAGCTAGTTGCGTGGCTGATGAGGCCAGCCCACCTCTTCCAGACGGCCACATCTCATTGACAACGACAACCTGTGCGCCATTGAAGTATAGTTCAGGGCATACGCTCGACGTTCGGAAGTCTCGTCGTTTTTGTCGTGACTTTGGAGAGCAGCATGTCCCGTCAAAGGACCCCATCTATGACGAATTTCCCACATGTCTTGCAAGGGACTTGCCGGCGACACCATTGTCCACCTCTCCCCCGTCTCCGCTGAGTCATGACATCCTACCCCCACCTTCACGTTCAGAAGTCTGTAACCTTTTCTCAGAGGATGAAACCACTGCCGTCAGGGAATTTTTAAGGATATGGGGTTCAAACAAGAGGGTGACGAAATCGCCATCGAAGCTGCAGATGAGTGAAGATGATGCGCCAGGCATTCAGAGCGATGGTGATTATTCATGGGAGGCGGCAGAAGTTGAGGACGATGTTGGAGATTCCGCATCTTGCAGCATGCTTCTTCACGAAGTTAGCCAGATGGTGGGCATCCCGCTTGAAAGGTCAACGGTGGAAGGCCAGTCCTCGATCGCATCCACACCTCCGGGGCTAGATACACTGGATCAATTGATTCAGAATAGTTGTGAAAGCTCACAGATCCTGGATCTACCTTCATCTTATCAGTCTGCTGGGCTCGTGAGGAGTCCCGGTGTTCTCCTGGATGGTGCCAACGTGTGCGACAGGGCTTCGTCAGGTTCTTGTCAGCGTGTGGATCAACCACTTGACGTCGCCCCTCGACATTCACTGGCCTCCAATCCAGTCGCGGACAGCAATACTTCCATTCGTGAAGATGCGGTAGCTGCCAAGTCGATGGATGTACCTGTTATCCTAGCGCTTGCCTCGAATGAAGCCTATTTGGCGGATTCCTGCGACGACTTGGTTCTGCACCGACAACTAAGCCTTCGTAAGGCCAGATCTACCGATAGCGACCTAAGGCGCCGCGGACAGATATTCAACGTGGAGAAACAATGCATGCATGCTGCGCCTAGTGGCCTAGTTGATTTACACACGTCCTATGTACCCACGAGAGATCCGCCGCCGCTTCCACCTCTGCCACCTCTACCGCCTCTGCCACCTGCCTCTGAGCCAGTAAGACCTGTTTCGGCACTCGACAGGCTTGACGCTAGCTTGTCGATGCTCAAGGCGCACAATCCGCATTCGCATTCGCGGAAGTCCAGTAAAGCTAACGCGCGTTCGGAAGACCGAAGACCGTCTCCATTGACTGCCTCACGAGAGCGCAAGCACCACTCCAGCGTCGCCGCTCGTCTTACGGACTCTCGTTCTGGACACGGACGTCACTTCTCGAGCCCCATGGCCGGTGTGGCACCGCATCAGAATCATCGTAAGCCACCTCGGATTGAGACTGGTCCCGTCAATGCGCGCCTGCTAGAACGCGATGCAAAGCTATTTCCGTACCCACAGAACCGAGAGTTGACTGTAAAATCATTCATGGAGATGGATGTGGTGCCTCCCCCGCCGCCTCTTCCTCATCGGACATCGAGATTAGGGCGAGTTGCTGCCAGATTGAGCCGAGGTATAACGAATTGGGGGAGGAATATCACTGGATTCAGGGGTATCAAGGAATCTTCGTAGAGCTTGGCGTTGCTGGTACGCAGCCAGTGTGCGTGTCGATGTGTTCTTTCGATTTGTACTACTACTCTTACATTATTTCGCAAAATCTGGTAGCTATGTATCGGTATCGTTCAACTTTGTAACGTTATTCATGACAAACTATGAATCTATCAGCTTTTCGCGGCCACTCCCCATTGGAGTTTGATGTTAAAATAATAATTGAGCGAGTCACATACATCCTGATGCTTACTAGTTTGAAGTTCCCCTAACACCCGTACTCCTTTGGGACGTAAAGCAGCAACAACATATGGTGTCTTCGATGAAGTGAATGTCACGATGATGACTTGTGCCGAATCCTCGCACCATACGTGGAGACTGGAGGAAAAGATTATCAGCTCGATGTCGGCTCGATACCATATTGATGTCTCAGATGAATAGGCTCGTGTAATAACAATGAGTCGTCCCATGCAAATGTGCGTGCAATCGAATTGGTAAGTCTTGCGTTACCTAGGTCACATCTAGCAAGAGTTGGTGTTTGTGCATGAGAAGTCCTCGTGGTAGTAAGTCACTTCTATCAGACCTGTCTGAAACCCCGCCGCGGAAACGGCGTGGAACACTAAGCGGATCGGGCGAGATAACGGGACGAAATAATGTATTTGTTTTAAAGGTAATGTAGTGGAGCAGATGGTGGTTGATGGCAGACTTAAGTCCAGGTTCCTTCCGGAATCCCAACCGCGGTGTCGAGAGAAGAGGGCTGCATCCGAGTACATAGAAAAAAAAAAAAAAAATCACGTGCACTTTGAAATTTCCATATCCAGCCCAAACCTTATCCCTCGTTCTCTCTTCACAGCGGCTGGCAGAAAACATTAGTAAACATTGTTCAGCCACCGTAGCAAACCCTTCGGACCTTGAAAAATCAAATGGCAACTTCGAAAACTGAACTTAGGGTTTAAATATTTAATCTATACTCCATATGGAAACATACAACAGCGTCCTCGATATGTTTGATGGAGACAGAAGTCTTTCACAATTCCTCGTCACGATCCTCACAGTACCTCAATTTTCCAACCACCCTGCAGTTGTTGACCTTCTGGCCAACATAGGTAACATTATCTGCACCTTATCGCGACACCAGAATCTATACAACCCTTTAATTGGGTGGGCCAAGGATGCCATTAGTGCAGAATGTGCAAGGGAGGTTCGAGAGCTCACAAAAGTTGAGAATGGGTCGCATTTTAGTGCTGTGCATGCGAAAGCTGAGCAAATAGAGGGCTTCCAAATTGATGGTATGGCTCTACAGATTGCGGGAGAGGCACCAGTGCTATGGGCCCTGCTTGATTCCCTCTTGTCCACGAGAGCTCTTCAAGTCTCGAAAATTGAAAGCAAAGGGCACATGGAGATCAGAATTTTGGTATCGGATGCGCAAGAAGCTGAGGACTCAGAATACTGGGCTCAAGTAGATGACCTAGAAGGCGTTATAGAAGGCATCACTGGTGATTGTATATTGAGAGCTGAACACCTCGCATCTCAACGTAGTGCGACAATGATGCTGGTATGGAAAATATAAATAAAATTTGTGCTTGATCTCAACAGACCTCATCCAGTGGAAAGTAGTAATTGTTTCGCTTCTAAAGAAAAGCACAAATCAGAAAGCCAACTCGTTGTCAAGCATACTTGGAATATTTTTGCATTCAACACATGCACCGGAGAAAGTCATCGAAACGATGGCGAAGATGGGTCTCTCGATATCCATCAATGCAATTCACAATACAGTCTGTTTGCTATCTGCAGAATCAAGTCATGCGCTACAATATCTTGGACAAACACTTCTAGCGGTGTATGCATATGATAATTTCGACATCAATCTGAAGTCCACCATTCCCACTGCAGAAAAATCTACCGACACTCTGAAACATCTGACATTGGGCTTACTGTTTCCCCTACAACATGGAGTCACTCGTGATGACCTAAAATGTTCCTATGAACTGTGGCGAAAATCACGACTCAACCCTCTAAGTGATTGTTCCATTGGACAAACCTGGAAAGACTTACTGTCGCTACACCAAGATGTCTCACGTTCTTCAGGTCTCTCTCGACGCGACCAATTTAACTCCTGGAAGTTTTTGCATGACCTTTGCCATCACAGTCCGCCATATTTTGCACAGTTTCAGTCTCAAATATCAGCCCCCCAGGTGTTGGAACAAATACCAGTTGCAAAAACTCCGCTCATACCAGCCTCGGCAATGGATGTCAACAACTCAACGGTCACAGGAAACATTCAGGCAATTGAGAGATTGATGGCACAAGGTGGTGTCTTTGATCCAGCGGATGTGGAGGATGGCGAGTCGCCTGATGTTACAGAGTATGTGGTGCTTGTTCATGGAGACCTGGGCACGGGCGAACACATTTCGTCTATGCAGCAACATCAGTCCATTGAAACAACTCCATGGCGGCGATTCCAACACATAGTCTTCGTGCCTGGCTTGTTCCACTTGAAAATGGCAGCCGCAGATGCAATATGGAGGGCATTAATCCAGCCATTGTCAGTGTGTCAGGACCAGACGAGTCTGATGCACGATATTGCACAGCTACGACCACATGAAACAGGGATTTTTGGATCCAAGCCTGGGTTATGGATGATGCACCAGCTCATTGGCCATGATGGGATCTGTCGGCGTTTGGATTGTTGGCAGATAGAAGTTGAAAAAATAAACAATGCTCACAAAATGCTCAACGACTTTGCCATTGTAAAACCAAGCCTAGAGGAACTAAAGGAGATTGCCAACCAACTTGCTCGAGAGTATATCACTACCTACAAGCTAACACGAGCTCGTCGGAAGCCTAATGAACAATGAGATAAACAGTACGAGAACAACTTGTTGATTAACAAGTATTTTCTATTGTATGAGGAGCTATCCTATGCGATGAACATTGGAGACATTGCGCACATTGAAACCTGCATCATCGCATGGACATTGATCTTCAAGGCAACAGGCAAACATAAATATGCCACATGCATGACAGAGTTTTTGATAAACTTGCACTTCAATTATCCCGCGGGTTTGCAGTAGGAAGCACGCCTTTTCATTGACTCGAGTACTAATATCTTGACAGGAAAGCAATACGGTACCATTGGCTAGTCAATCCAAGCGGAAAACCTGAATGCTTCCGTGCCGTCGACTGGTGCATAGAGCTCAACAATCTATTCATCAAAGTGAAAAATGGAGGGAACGGCTCAAACTGTAGTGTCACGAGGGTCATTCTTGAGTCGCCTCTGGTTGAAGTCTATCAAAATGCCCATTCCGTCATCGAAACTAACTTCATGCACACTGGGAGAATGAGTTTGCAGGCTGCACCTGATATGAAAAAGATGTTTGAAGGACTGCTGATGAAGATGCGATCATCATCTCCACACATTCATACAGACTGTTACAAGAACATCTAGACGCTTGGGCCCCTACCATTTTTCTCCTAATACTCCTCGTATCAGCCCTCGCGTCATACCCTTACCCCGACCTTACCCTTGTCATCCTTGTCATCCTCGCATTCCCGTTCGCCCTCTACTTGTCGCTTCGGCAAAGCCAGTACATCTGGCCGGACCCTTTCGCTGACGAAGCATACCCATGCTCCGTTTCACCACCTGACTGATCCTGTGGACAGTCCCCTTGCCTTTACCGTCTGGACGGTAACCTATGATACGATGCACAATGCATCCCCTCTGCCCTGTTTCCTTTATTGATCTCTGACTCGGTGCGCAGTCACACATGCGACTTATACTTAGATCCGCAGCTGCACGATCGTGCCCCTGCGCGTTTCACCTCTTATTTTGATCTTTGACTCACTTTCTTATCTAGCACGTTCTACCTCGACCGAACGTGCCTTCCTGTTATAGTTATACCCTTTACCGATTGCCTCTCCCGGTAGTACGAGTTATCACCCACTAATACATCTCCTGTCCTCTATATAAACTCGCTACCATGTACCATATTCCTTAACTTGAATCTACTTGGTTCTTGACCTCCTACTCTCACCAGAGTGATCCTTTCTGCCTCGCCAGCAGTCTATATTCTATCTTCTTATCTGCTCATCGCGGATAAGCCTATAGTCTCGACCTTTACTCATCGACTTCGTCGACGAGCAAAGCCCCTGTTAACTAGTCGGACTTCCGTCCTTCTAATTAACGACGATCCTTACGATTAACCTTCGGGTGTCGTAAGCCTAGGCCGATATAGCTTATCGTCTCGCACCCGCGTGACATAAGCTACCCGATTTGGACATAGGCGTTAAATCATACTTGCCGAAGACCCGCCAAGTACGACCCCTAACCTTGGGCTAGCCCAAGGACGTCCTCGACTGTTGACGACACACGCTCTGTTTGAGCGTCGCCAACAGATACCATCCAAGTCGTAACACAGACGACAAAGCACGTACTTAGTCCCGGATCTTCTTGACAAGGGGCACGAGCTATTTGAGAAAGGATGGAAGGGAATAGGTACAGATGACGATGGTACAATAGTAGATGAGGGAGAGCAACCTACAACTGAAGACGTTGTAGGAGAGTTATAAACCGGTATGCAGCAGCGGCATAATAACCCAGGTTGTGCCAGCATTTTCCTTGGTGGCAGATGATTGTTTTGCAGGATGCTCTCGACAGTGGCGATTACGAGCTTGATAGATAGTGGTAGTAAGTATATATCAAGCACTAGCCACTAGTAAAGCATGCACCATTATGGCCCTCCTCCCCACAAGCACTACATTGCATCTTTCATTTCGCATTACGAGGGACTGATGCACTTGCGTTAGCATTCGACGAGATTGTACAAGGCTGTAGCGGGGCTGATGTTAAGGGCGTAGGAAGTGGGCAGACTTGGTGAATCAACGCGATAATCTCATCTCCATGTTTGTTGGCTCCTGACCAATGAGTTTCTTTGACCAAGTCAGCTGTGGATCTGATCTTGGAAAAATGTGCGCATTCAACAATGCGATCTAGAATACTATTAGGCATTATGAGCCCAGGTCCAAGATCATGCAAATGAGCATGGCCATAGAGCTTGATAGTTGTTTCCTCCTGCCAGTCATCAAGCGCATCAGTCAACTTCAAATCAAGGAGGGCCATAGAAAATTTGACAAGGCGCGAGCATGAAGGTTGTTTTTGTTGTTTTGGGATTGTGGAGATGAATGGGACAAAATACACTGGAGTGTGAATATCGCAACAGATGTTGGACTGTGTGATGAGACACCAAAAACAACCCAGGGTCTCAAGAGAGCATCACATTGGTGATGATCAGATTCTTTAACAATGAATCAGGCAGGGAATTCGAAGTAAGCCAGGTAAAGTAAGTCTCACCCACTTCCTCATTCTTGAAAAACACGTTCAGTACCTTATGACAACAACCAATCCCAGGACGCATATCAGCGTTAATGAAGTTGTCCATAGCTGGCTCAAGTCCAGTTTGTTGGGAGGTCTTCCGTTGAGGCTGGCTAATGTTTGTTTCTCTAGGCACCTCCATCTTCACCCATAATTGCCAGGTATCCATTGTATCACCAGCGTGAGTTTGCTGAATGTGAGTGCTGCTAATTTCTATCTTGTCATCAGATCCATCAGATCCATCAGATTTCTCTTCTCCTGTTGGAATGTTCACGGCGGCAACAGGACCATTTTCGCCAGTAGTAACAATGCGCTGTTTCTTTGAAGATGTAACCTTTCTTTTTGCTCGCTCCACTCTCCATTTCTCTTTCTCTGCTTTATATACATCAAAGTACTCCTTCTCAGCAAACAGTATCGCAGTCCCATCCAATGACATATTTCGAACTGCACGACCAAAGTGCTGCCATATAGTAGACAGTGAACACCACGTTGCCTGCCACTGAATCACAATGCAAATATCACTGATATCAATGCCCTGTGTTATGGTAAGCTCGTTGATCAATAATATCCCTAAATTCAACTTACCATTCCAAAGGATTCTGTCGTACAAAACCCCCATGTGATTCCTTCAATAAAATTCTTCACCTCGTCTTGTTTGAAGTGCATCGTCATGTCAGCGTTAAACCACTTGACCTTATCTTGACATTCTTGTGGCAAACATGACTGCAGGAACTTTGCAGCCTCAATAGAATTGTTTATATTGTCAAAGAAGACGAGAAACCTAGGAGGGGGTGGGTCTCCGAGTTTCCACTGGTCGGGAATGAGGAATGTGAGGTCTGCGAAGCTTTGGTATGTTCCCTGGATGGGCTTTACTCCAATATTTATATTTGGCCAATCTATACTTCGACAAATAGTGATGAGTTTGTCCCCGCTCTGTAGATGGAGAAGTCTGGTGACATCTTGCAGCATGGACGAGGAGAGAGTTGCAGACGTCACAAGAAATGGTATGTCCAGGGAGAGGATGAATCTTAGTCTACCAAGCTCCTTGTATTCTGGGCGAAATTCTCCCCATGAGCTGACACAATGAGCTTCGTCTATAACCACACCCATCAGGTGTGACACAAACAAAGGATTTTTGAGTAGCCTCTCGAATCCTCCACCATCCTCATCCTTCATAACCTGTTCAGGACTGATAACGATGACTCGATACTCGAGGTTCTCTATTGCCTAGTACATAGATGATCATTAATTACTAGGTACTATTGATACCATCCTGCTGACCTGAAAGTTATGTGCTGTAGCAGTGTCTGCATGTGTAGATATAGCTGAAATTCCCGCTCTTTTGAGGTCCATGACATTTTGTTCGCCAAGTAAATTCAAAGGAGTAATCACGACTTGTATACTGGTGGAATCAAATAGTAGAGGCATCCAGAATGTAAGAGTTTTGCCCTTCCCAGTCCCAGCAATGCAAATAATATCACGATCTCGGAGCAGAAAAGCTTCAGCAACTCTGAGCTGCCAAAGGCAAGCCCTGCGTCCAAATACCTCCTCTGTCCGCACACAAATCAAAGCAAGAGAAGGTGCCATGGATCAATTATCAACGTCACCGAGTTGGAATATGGTAATGTTACATAATCTAAAATTAAAGAGATATATCATGTATTTCTTTCGCTTTTTTCAAGGTCCGAAGGGTTTGCTACGGTGGCTGAACAATGTTTACTAATGTTTTCTGCCAGCCGCTGTGGAGAGAGAACAAGGGATAAGGTTTGGGCTGGATATGGAAATTTCAAAATGCACGTGATTTTATTATTATTTTTTTCTATGTACTCAGATGCAGCCCTCTTCTCTCGACACCGCGGTTGGGAAGGAACCTGACTTAAGTCTACCTCTATGTGACGCAAAAGCGGTGGAATATAAGGGGATGAGTCATGTGATAATGTTTTAGTAAGCGCGTAGTAAGCATCCAGCTTACACTGTCCTTGCATGAGTAACAGGCCAACAACCAGGCTCCTTCCCAGCCCCCGATTCGAGTGTGGAGGGGCGAAATCTGAGGGCACTGGTTTGATGTTTTGATAAGTCACATGATACAAGAAAAATTCAAACCCAGCATAACCTTATTCCCCTCACACTCTCACCGGGGGCTGGAAGATAACATTAGTAAACAGAGGTCAGCCACAGTGATGGTGACTGCAAACACCATACTACTTTACACCTAGCGTAGGGTTACAGTATTTTGAAATGATACATACTGTTTTCTGCCTCGGTTAATGTTACACCGCTCCGATATGGACACAGTGATTGCAGTGCTACATGATTGCAACCTAAGTGCCTCACAATTCATTATATCAATTCTGCAAAGCCAACAATATAACGGACATCATGTTGTCAAAGACCTTCTTGTCCGTTGTGATGAAATCTTCGATGCTTTCATTGACCATCCTTCTCGTGGAGCTGAAACTTTGCAATGCATGAACCAAGCCATGAGAAAACAATACATCAAAGAAATTAAATCAATCTCATCAGAAGAAGCAGACTGGCACTTTGGACCGTCACACGCAACCATGCAACAGGTAGAGGACTTTAATATCGAGGTTTCAAAGTCGCTGTTCGGTTTCATTATTTGCTCAGGACTGACTGCAATGGCACGGTACTTCAAGGCTTTGATTGCCTGCTGCCATGTGAGTGTTAAGTTTGCTGTTGATATCAAAGTAACACTGACCGAAAAATTTGCAGCGCTGGCAGTTTCTGCATTTATCGCTATGGCGCGGATTCCAGCCTTCGCAAGAGACATGGCATTTTGTTTACCAAGTAAGTTGAGTGGAGTGACAACGAGCTGAATACTATTGATGCGGAACAGTAATGGAATCCAGAAGCCCAGTGTCTTACCCATCCCAGTCCCTGCAATGCATAATACATCCTGGTTGCCTTTGAGAAGCGCCTGTGCCACTTTAAGTTGCCATAGACAAGGCCGAATGCCGAATTTTTGCTGTGTCCGCAGACGGATTTCAGATATTGGCGGAGTCTCATGGACATTAGGAGCTGTCATTCCCCATATGGAAGCGGGTGTAACATTAACCAAGGCAGAAAATGGAGTATATCATTTCGAAAAACTGTAACCCTACGCTAGGTGTAAAGTAGTATGGTGTTTGCAGTCACTGTCATTGTGGCTGACCTCTGTTTACTAATGTTATCTTCCAGCCCCCGGTGAGAGTGTGAGGGGAATAAGGTTATGCTGGGTTTGAATTTTTCTTGTATCATGTGACTTATCAAAACATCAAACCAGTGCCCTCAGATTTCGCCCCTCCACACTCGAATCGGGGGCTGGGAAGGAGCCTGGCCAACAACAGGCACTGGCAAGAAGTCTCATCACGTAAGCCTTTTCGATCCGAATGTCTCCTCGACCTCCCTTCATTATTCTCCTCATCAACAACCCCGTCCCAATTAATCTCCTAGTGGTTCATCCATACCTTGGATTAGTACCGCAGTCTTTGTCTCGAAGAAGCGTACCCGTCCTGATGATGCCAATTCCTTCTGTCGCACTTCTGTCGTTTACGCGTCGAGTGCTGTACCTAATGAGGCTTTATTTGCCCGTTTTGTCCCTTTTATCAAATATCCGTTGCCCTTTGTATCCCGTCTGTGCGTTATCTCGAGTTACATTGTAGTGCTGTATGGAGAGGTTGTTGCGGCTGCTCTGCGACGACCGACGTGTAATGACTTCCTTGCTAACCCAGATCCTATACCGAATCATGAACCAGGGCGGGGAAAAACAAGTTGAGAACGGGGCGGATTCGGAAGATGGAGCTGGCATCCACGAATGTCGGCGAAGATGTCAGTCTGGGATGAACAAAAAGGCTTGAACATTTAAGTTAGAGCTGCAGCGGCAGTAGTCAGAGTGACTAGCACTCCAGAAAAGATAATCATGACTGCTTATGTTGATACCATAGTTGACGACGCTGGCACGATATGTCATGGATGTCACTACTGACAGCACTCTCTCCATCTATTCGTGATTTCTCTCAAACTGCCAACTTCCGCAAGTGCAGTGGACTATAACTTCACATCACTCCTTACTCGCTGAATCTTCTTCCCTTGTTGGCGCCCAGCATCAATCCAAAAAGCACATGCCTCCCGCGTGCTCCCAAAATCAAAGGAGCTCGATCAAATTATGGAGAGTGCTGGCCCCAAGAGCTTACAATGGCAGTCATCGAGCCACTGCATGTTCTTATGGGTCTGTTCGGGGAGTTCGTAGGTCAGGGTTGGCCAGAAACTTTGGACGAGTGTGCATGGCTACAGGCGGTAACGCGGGGAACACTTCGTTGCAGACCGACGAGGGTGGCGGGTGAACTAAGGGATACCCTGCGAGCAAATGTCACTAGTACCTGGAGCGGGTGGGAGCAGACAAGATTCCCGAGGGTCAGGGGGTGTGGGTTGTTTGCTGCCAAGTGTGTCATCTGGAGGCCGCACCACGAGATTACGTGGTATTGAAAGTACACAGCCATATATGAGGATGCGTAGTGGATGACATAATTAAGGTTTCGTTGCCAGCTGAACGACTTACTTATAAGTATCTTGGTTTGGAAACGAATCATTCAACAGACACCAAGTCCTTTTGGATGGTACAAGTGACTCCACCAACTTTCCCGCCGACCCTCGTCGATCTTAGCAGAAATGCATCTGTCATATCATCATCCTCCGAAACTGACATCCCATCTGATTCACAAAAGTCTTCCCGCCCACGACCAGCACGTACTTTCTCTTCCCCACGTTCGCAAAGTCCACAGACCAGAACTGTTACTCCCTCCCGACCTCCAAATTATCTCACTCGTGAACTCGGAGTATCCAGCCATCAAGAATTTCCACAACTTCAACAGCAGACCAAGGAGAGGAGTAAGAGTAGGAAGAGATCACGAGAGGCAAGTCGGGCGAGGAGTGCAAATGGTAGATTGGGAGCTCAGGAATTTTCTTTTGGAGACACCCTTGGAGAAGGATCTTACTCGACGGTGTGTCCATCCCTTATAACCCGTACCTTCCTACTTATGTCCTCTCAGGTGATGCGTGCACGGTATATCAGAACTGGTCAGGAATACGCTATCAAGATCCTCGACAAGAATCATCTCATTCGAAAGGACAAGATGCTCGTTGCCCTCGCAGAGAAGAACGTCCTCGTCAAACTGGGTGCCGGTCACCCCGGTATCATACACCTACACTGGACCTTTCAGGACGAGTGGAGCCTATGTTAGTACCCCCTTCTTCTTCATATGCTGTGCACTGTGCGTATGCATCCGATCCCGGTAATTAGCCGGCTATTCGTCTTTGGCAGCTAGTGCTTCACACTGCCATGCCTGCTGTAGTGATCGGGTGCATAGGACACGCATTTGTCCGCTTTTCTCATGAACCCTCGTCGTTAATATCCCACCAGTCTTCGTCCTTGACTTGGCACCCAATGGGGAGATGCAGTCTCGCATATCACGCCTCGGCTCCTTAAGCCTCACCTCCTCCAGATATTACGCAGCACAGATCGTCGATGCACTGGAGTATATGCATGGGAAAGACGTCATCCATAGGTGCGTCACTCCATCGCCTTTTCCGGAGGACATCTCCACCTCGTCTGAAAAGGGTTTCATGTGCTAAATTGCTGACGTCACTTTCAGAGACCTTAAACCCGAAAACCTCCTTCTAGATGCCCAGTTTCGAATAAAGATTACTGATTTTGGTACCGGAAAGATATTAGAGAACGGAGGTTAGCTGATTCCTTCCGCGTATATGCGCTTCTCACAAGTCCCGAAGCGGACAGAGCCAAAACATTCGTGGGCACTGCGCAATACGTCGCGCCAGAATTGCTAGAGAGCAACGAGACAAGTAAGAGGTGCGCTTATCCTTCGAAACACGTGCATATATCAAGTGCCATTGCATTCATATTTTTCCATTCTTCGTTCCTGGCATCAGGAACATTGTGTCCAATGTCTTGAACATAACTTATCAAGGTACTGATCTTCCTTACAGCTCGGATCTCTGGGCACTCGGCTGTATAATATATCAGATGATCTCCGGTCGATTCGCATTCCAAGGCCTCAGCGAATACCTCACCTGGCAAAAGATTAAATCTCTCGACTACACCTTCCCAGACGGATTCGACGAAGATGCCAAGGACCTCGTACGGCGTCTCTTCGTACACGATCCAACACAACGGCTCGGCGCCGGCGGTCCAGACTCTGCTCATTCATACGCGGCACTTCGGGCACACCCATTTTTCGCGTCTGTATCATGGGAGACGCTGTGGACTGACCCTGTACCTCTCTTGGAGGCAGGGCTGTGGAAGAAGGAGGTACATGCGGCAGATGAGGTGGAGGAGGGGAAGTGGGATCATGTTGGGGAGATGTGGGATCGATTAGTGGGTGGTGATGCTAACGTGGGTAACGGGAATGGGGAGGACGAGGTAAATGGGGATGGTGTGGGATGGGCAGGGGACAGTGAGGGAACGATATTGCACTCATTCAAGTCAAGGTATGCGGAAGAGGGCCCGATGGGAGAGATGCCGGATTATCTTGTATGGCAATCAAGGACGAGTGAAGGGAGGATGATGCCGGGGCTGGAAGAAGATATAGATGAGACGCAGACGGTCGTTGGCGAGTACGAGCACGACACTGCAGTACCAGAAATACAGACCTCTCCTCCACCAACACAGGACGGAGCAGAACCTGTGTCACCATCAGAAGTCTCTCCTGTCGCTACTGAGATCATTCCCCCAGCTATATCTATCCACGTCCTCGGAGTGAACGGAACAGGCTCAGGTTCTAGCTCTTCTGACGGGAGTCCCATCGTTGATAGGGTGACAGCGGATCTCGACGTCAAGATGAGAATTAGCCCAGATACCAAGGCAAAGCTGGAACCAAGCCTATCGCGTGGACGGAATCGCGCGCAGACTCCGGTGCAGGGTAACGGACCATGTCCGAATGCAGATTGGTGCGTCATTGATGTACTTGAAATATAGAGACACCCTAATGAACCATCTTTGCCGTCATAGTTCAAGCCTTCTCTTACCGTCCGAATGCGTCCTATTCCATACACGCGTCGAGGCTCGGTCACCGAAGCGTCGTGGTAGTAAACTACGTCTTCCGATTAGCGCGAGTCTCACAAAGACGAAGACGCGGCAGCTGGTGCTTACGAACATGCGGCTGTTATGCGTGAAGCAGAAGGAGGGTGGTCAAGTGAGCTTGAAGAGTGAGGTTGGGTTGGGCGTGGGAGATAAGGGCAAGGAGCGCGAGAAGCCGAGAGAAGGGAAGGAGAAAGAGCGGGATGCAATCAAGGACTGCAGAAATGTGATTGAGAGTGCAGAGCCGAAAGGCGAGCGAGAGTTTGTTATTTTGACTGTCAGTCCTTTCAGCCCTGTTCTACGTGTTTCACCCTGCTGATCCTCTGCATGGCATGCAGTCTAATAGATCACAGACATATGCTGCAGAGACGAGCGCTATGTCTGCGATGTGGGTGGAGAAGATCAACGAGGCTCTCGTTCGGGGGAATGGGAATCTCCAGACACGGACTCAGGCATAGAGACCAGAATCAAGATGATATCCAAGTTTAATGCACCGTCTCCATGCGTATCTGTGAGCTTGACGACTCGGGGTTGTTATGCTTTCCATCTTGACCTCAGGGCGAATTCACGTGCGACTCGGGGTAACGATTTATGTCATAATTGGTATTGGTATAGGTATTGGTATGCATGTACAGTTTGTATTACTTACTCGGATTTGGGATTGTGTTATTGATATTTTCGTGCAGCTGTTACTCAGTACTCAAGTTGGGGAGCTCAAAGTTAAATCCCAGTGGAAATCGGACAGACGCCATCGCACGAAATGCTATGGATTCTGAAAAGTTCGCCCAATAGCGCAGAATTCAATTTCTCATAAGCGACTGTGGATTTCATCCATCTTACACTGCACTTCGTGCCACACATTGCATGACGAATCCCGATGCGTTTTCATATAGTGCATTGACTCGCTATGACGCTCTTAATGGAGGAGTCAGAACATGTTGCAAAGTTGCTCCATCTGGTGAGTACGCTGTACCGAATGACTTGGTGATAGCATGATTTGAGCTCAGTGCGTTAGGATAGATACAACGACGAGCTTGATCGTGACGCTCCCTAGTGATGTATCGGGGGGCCAGAAGATGACGTGGTTGTGATTCGGTCGGCGACTCCTCAACGGTGAGACCCACAAAATCGCAACCACGCAACTTTAGGCTGTTAATACTGAAAACGAAAAGGAGAATATGGTCGAGTCGTTTCGATTAGGATCAGTGGATAGTTGGAAAATGTTGGACTAAATCAAGTTTCATTTCCCTTCATGATCCAGCAAGGTACAAAGTCGAACTGCAACACTCCTTGACTCACGGATCATGTTGTAATAGGAGAAGTGAGGCAGTCCTCGATGTGATAACCGTGTGCAGCAGGTCGCCGCTGTACGTGAATGCCAGGTCGAAGCTTCCATGAGGACAAGCGGGGGGATCTCGTTTTGATGGGGATTGGTATGAATATGTGAAAGTCGATGGGGCGACAAGAAAGGCTGATGTAGCGTAAATAAGCGCAGTGGGATGATCAAGAGTAGATGGTGAATTGATCAAGGTTTGACTCGTCCCCCAACACGATGCTGAATATCGATCGACACGAGTCTGCCGGTTTCCTCGTTTCTGGTCCAGCTGCGTAATGCTCGTAAACGTAGTCCGTAGCAGGTACATTAAGATTGATGCCTATTGGACCTTGTAATTTCACACTAAATAGGTGGGTTTTAAGTGTTCACTGGAAACCAGGATTTGACTGGGTCGACAATAGTTAGTATCACTGCAGCTATATTTTACCCTAGAAATCGGGACAGTACCATGTAATCACGTTGAAACGATGTCTTCGAGAAGGATGTAACCGAGAGCTGGATCATATCCTGAGTTGTGATTGGTGTGCAGAGCAAAGATGGTATGATGCTGAAGTCCGAATACAATATAATTTATTTACATACAACACCGCCTCTCCACAAGTGTACCAGCGTCGACGTATGCAGGGGTATATGCGTGCTTAACGCGTGGTAAATGTTAATATAACTTATATGTTCTAAGTGGCAATCGATTCGAGTGGTGTTACAATGAGTGGACATTGGCTTCCTTTTTTGAACTGTCCCAGAAACATATGGCCGTGTAAGCACGCTGTACAAAGAGGGTGTCAGAATATATCCTGGATATGATGTGCGCGACTTACACGTTGGCTTTGTAGATTCTTTTGTCTGTTTCGGCAAAGCTGAAAGTCGTCAGAAGGATATAGAGAAATGTCTTCATCTCGATCATAGAGAAACGCATCCCGATGCATGACTGAAGGTCTAAATGAGCAACATCGACAAGGACTCGGGAGAGCTTACCCTGGGTCCAGCGGAGAAAGTCAGAAGATTAGAGTATAGTCCTGGAAGTGACAGCACATCCTCCGAAAGATGATCCCATCGATCAGGACTGTAAATTGATTTCGTGAGTCCGAGTCAATTAAGTAGGCATAAAAAGCTTACTCAAAATCCCCGGCGTTGGTCCCCACATACCCTTGTCGAGGTTGAAAGCCTCCACTGGGACATGTACGAAGCTCCCCTTTGACACACTTATAGACTTTTGCTCCGAGATCGTGCCGTCGCTCAAGTGGACAGGATATGATACAGGTATCTCGTCATCTTGAGTTGCAACACGAAGGGAAGAATGGACTGGAGGGGACCAGACGCAAGGACTCTCGACAGACATTGTTCAAGTATGGTAAGTTTCTGCAGAGTGTTGTGTAAAGACTCGATTTCTTCACATGACAACCGAGATATTGGAGTAGTCGGCATGATAGAGAGAAGTTCCTTACGAAGACGGGTTTGCAAGTCTGGATGTTTCGCAAGGAGCAGAAATGTCCACGTTAGAGCGAGAGATGTCGTATCGGACCCTGCGAACATGAAAGTATTGATGTTGTGTTAATATATCTTCGTCGGAAATTCGCTGATCTGGTGGAAGGTCTGTTGCAATATTGGATTTCACTACGAATCTGTCAGCCAACCGACTGGAGGAAATGACGTAGACTCACAAGTAAACTCAGTAAATCTTTCCCGGATAAGCTGAACCGCTCTTCTCTCCATCCATAATTCTCGATTTTTTCTGCTGCACTAGCTTTCCCGCTACGCGACGAATAGTTTTCTTGGCATCTGTAGACAGTCTTGGCCCTCTTATCAGCTGTAAAGCTCGATCAGGATCGCATTCATGAGGAAATCGATGTAAACGTACGAAAAGCCTATTTAGTATGGGAAAGTAAATCCCCATAACTGTCCTGAACGCATCTCCTTGCGAGACGGCAATCTCGAACATCTCCTTTATACGCAGCAAAAAAGCTCGTCCGACTCGTTCTGTATAGCATTGAAGTTGTAGTCAAAGCCTGTGGGTGATGCATGATTGTCAGGTAAAGGCTGAATGTAAGACTCAACATGAGTTACCTGCTAGCCCAATAACGTCGAAGGTAGCTCGGCTGATCCAGTGACAAATGTCGATCTCCACCTGGCCAGAGTTTTGCTTTTCCGAGGCTACCTTCCCTTCTTTCACTTCACTGCCTGACTCATATTCATCCACTTATCTTTGAGCTCCTCTCCCTTGCTAAAGACAAGTGGTACAAGTGCTCGCATATTCTGAATGGAAAATGCAGGGGTGGCGACGCGCCGTTGACGCTTATGGACATGACCTTCTGCAGCCAGCATACCACAACCAATAAGGCTCGTGATAAGTCTTCGAGATTGCCAAGGTTTCTCGTAGATTGTGCTGTTCTTTAGTACGTGTGCAACGGAAACAGGGTCAAGGGGAAGGAGGCGTTCGTCCCACTACGTCGATCAGTTATTCGCGGCTCTCAAATTTGACAGACCAATCACTCACAGGACCAAGCCCCCTTATACGGACATTCCTGCCGTATTTCTCCACATAGGCAGCATGAGTCCTGGGTGACCTGAATGGGCTTATGGAAAGTGTGAGCAGACAAGTCTAGCGAGAGACGCGAAAAACGTACTCGAGAACAGGCGACATATGGTTGTGCAGTGGCCCATTCAGTGGTGGTCCAGCCAACTTCCTGAGGGGATTGAACCGCGGTGCTATAATGACATGGTATGCAACATAACTTGTAAGTAATAGAGCAATAGCAGAAGAGAAACTGAAGAAAATAAATGAGACTGAAATCATGACGCGCTCTACCTTCACCCAGCTGAGGGATTTAGTGGTTCAGTGCAACGCCGAAACAACATGGATATATATCTCATGGATAGAAGACAATAGATTATGTGACACGTGGTCACACACGCATCTGTCACTTATCCATGAGTTACATTTCCGATTTCATTCTGGGGTCGCCATGAGGCTTGTTGCAGGCTTGCTAACGTCTGTCGGGCTAAGTCCAATTTCCCTTCATTAATGTCTTCAATCAGCAGCGTGCTTCCGTTCATTACGATAGAATTGGCTAATTTGTTTCTAATTCATGGACATTGCAATACAATGGAAGGAGGAAGAGGGAAGTCATCGAGGTCCACTGCACTATAACTGCTTGCCAGGGTCGCTAGGGTCAGCTGGGAACCGAGAAGGTCCCGAAGGTCGGGTGGTAGACTTGTCTCACATCCTGGTGGCAAAAGCAGATTTGCAATCGAGGGTGTTGTCATGGTGGTATCGTTGGGTGCATGTTCAGTTTCTGTATCGGATGACTCATCGTCTTCGTCGGTATCTTCCTCGTTGCATGCTGCTTTAAAACCCAGGGACAACAGAACAGGCTTGTCCATCTGCATACTCCTCGTCTGAACCCTTCGCAGTTCGAATATCTCCTCTCTCAAACTTTCACGATCTGCGCTGGCTTCAGTGTCGAGAGTCTGTAAAGATGCCGCGGGTATCAGGTCCAAGCCAGAGGGGCTCATGCTCATTCCTGTGGATACCGATCCCAAAATGCCTATATGCCGAGCGTCTCCCTGGTCTTCATTGTATCCATCCTCGGCGATAGAGCCAACTTCGACTGCTTTTTGAATGCTGGTAAATGATCTGGCTTGGGATGTCCCATGGACAGACGATGCGATAGCAATGGAATCTAGAGAACGCTGTATGGCAAGGCCCAACGTGAGGGCGATCTCGCTGCCGCTCTGGGCTTTGACAGTCATCTTCGCACTCCTCGAGTATGCAATGCAAAAGCGGCCTCGGATAGCTCAAGGATTTCATTTCTGGCGTATATGAAAACTCCGACCACGTCGTCCGCTGCGGCAACTCCACTGATCGATCTGCAGTAGTGCATGATGCATGCGATGTCTCTGTTGGGGATTCCACATTCTTGTGATGCAAGACGGCTTGAGCCTTCCGGAAGATCCACGAGAACCAGCAGGGCATTGTTCTCTGCGCGGGACGAGTTGTGTGTTTTAGATGGTGCGCCAAACTCTCCATGGAAGTGGGCGAATTCTGAAGCGACGACGTAGATGAATTCGGACTCTTCTCGTCGAAGGCCTCCTTCCCTTTGTCCTGCGTTAAGTCTGTTCCGTCCTTGTCACTCCCGTCTCTAGTCACCTGGCGACGTCTCCGCCGCTTCATGATCTCTCCTGCGGCAATCACGCCTACTAGGCTCCCCATGATCACAATGGCAGCGACAATCGCCACTAACGCATTGCCTGTCCGACCTCTCGTTTGTAATCGTAGGAGACGATTGCTGAGCAAGAATGCCCGTTGGTGCTTCCTCTGCCGTGATGAGTTGCCTGGGCAAAAAGGCACCACTCATAGTACTTTCCGCATGTGGTGCAGACGCCGATTGGACTGGAAGAATGTATGTTGGATATGTAAAGAATGAAGTGTGCTCGGCAAGTGTCGTATTGATTGGTCCTTCATAGGGAGCTCGATGCGCATGTCCGAATATGCGGTAGTGAATTCTGCGTTTATCCACGCCTGTAGCGAACGTGGCGGCGGTAGTCGGAGGCATTGCTTGTAATGCCAGGTGGGCTGATAACACGGCGGGTTGGCGGTAATACAATAAACAGGTGGTGGTGGGAGCGGTGAGGATGAAGGCAGAACAACCTCTGCAGTACATGGTCACTTACATGGTGGCTGACCCGCCCAAATACATTTCTAATTTGATGCATTTCCTCGACACCCGTGGCGATGTTCATTTCTTCACAAGTAAGCAGTTGGCGACCAGAAGCTGAAGTTTTATGTGCACTCGTTAGTCAAGGCAACATGACTCGGATGACTTCAAAATCAAGGTCACCATAAACGATTATTTTAAATTTGCATCGACAAAACAAAATACTTAGTTTATTAGCAGCAACTGGTTTCGATCCAGTGACCTCAGGGTTATGAGCCCTGCACGCTTCCACTGCGTCATGCTGCTGTTGTTTGTTCGGCAGAATTTGCCTATATACCCATAATGGCTGACCATCGGAGCTTTGAGTGAAACACTACTTGGATTCGACGACGATTTCGTGTTCGACGCCGTGCAATTGTGACGTGTGAAGATGTGAACGTATAGCACGAAGGCGGATGATGATGGAATTGAAAACGTGAATGCTTTATTCCAATGCCTCGGATGCGAAGAGTGCTAGTGAAACTCCAGGAATGGCTAGCTCGCACCTTGTTCTAAAGTACTGGATCAGCGCTTGGAGAATGTACAACCCTTACAATAATTCTGGCATCGATAATCAAAATTGTCCTAGTCGATCGCCGGAGCACTTATAGTGTATCTCCACCCAAGGAGGGATCTGCACATCGACTGACCTTCAACGAGTGTCACCGGCATAAGTTGACATTTAGCTGACAAGCAAGTATCATCCACGTCTCTTGCCCTTATGGTGCAGGGCTAGGTATATAACGACAACAAGTTATAGCGCCACAGCTCAGCCATTCTGGTTCCATGATACCCTTCGTATTATACCAGCATGCCTCTTTGAGAGAAACAGAGTTAGCCTCTTGACGTCATGACCAAGACCACACAAGTACTCACGCGATACCAGCAGTTTGAAGGGTTCTGCAAAAAAGACCATCGTTACTAAACGAAAAACAGGACAGAACAGGAACGCACGAAATAAACCCGCAAATCATAGCAGACGGCGCAAGCTTCGCAATGGTTCTGCCCTGCGATGGTGCCAAAGCGCCGAGCACGCCAATCTGTATACCTAGCGATCCGAGATTTGCAAATCCACAGAGGGAATATGATGCAATCGTGAAGGCACGCTGTGACAGGGGGTTCGAACTCGCTTGGATGCTTGATAGTTCTGCAAAAATTCAGCATCAGCTACCTGCCCGTGAATTAGGATAGCAAGAGCACCTAAGTATGCAGCAAATTCGTTTTCTATTAGCTTTGTCGCTAACAGCTGTGAGACTCGGAGGATCTCATTGCTGGGGACACCTAGCAAAATATCAGCTTGGATAGCTCAAGATCGCAGAGATGTATGCGGACCCAGGAAAAAGGCGACAGGGTACCCGATGTATCCTAAAACTAGCTGTAAAGTAAGTTGGTGGATGCCGAATCCATGGCCGACCCATGTCAAGACGGCATTGATAGCGGCGACGAGCGACAGGATCGTCAACACGTTAGTGCTGTAGGACTAAGGTGAGTGACTTGTCAATGGTTATTTCAAGGGGCTCACAGGATTTGTCCCGCGACATTCAGGCCAAACAGACCTCCCAAAGAAATGCGTGAAGAGCGTTGACTGGCTGGTTCTTTCCGGGCTCCCCACGGTCCACTATGATGCGACCACGAGTAATAGGATCATCGACTTCGGGAATCCGCATCTTGCTAATGGCAATAGAAGCAGGTATGCTCATGACGGATGAAGTGATAAGATTCTGGGGTGGAACACCCAGGGCAACGTAGGCGGTCAAAACAGATCCGGAGATAGTGGAGAAACCTTGAATTCATAAGAATTAACGTTCCGATGGCAGGATATTGCGCACAAACCAGAAGTCATGGCAAGATGAAGTTCCGATGGGGTCATGATATCAACGTAAGGCTTGACCAAACACGCAGACTCTCCCTGGCCTACCCAAGGAGAAGCAGCCGCGACGACTGCTTCAGCGCCGGACACGTTCATGAGCTTGAAGAAGAACCATGCACTTATGAAAATAATGAATCCCACTCTTCGATGAACAATGTTCATTTACTCACAATCCTTTGACCATCCATTGCATGACGCCGAGCTTTGGTATAAGTTAATATTGAGGGCGCAGAGTAGAGCATGGTCACTGACATAGTACAGCATTTGAATTGTGGCGATGAAAAAGATAACCGCGGCGAGCTGTAATCTTATGAGGTTAAGCATTCGAGCTCGGAGACATCACCAACATACCACATTCACAAAAAACCAACCCTTCGCAACGGTTGCTGCATCGAAGAAGAACGTAGCTCCGACATCGGCTTCCGATAAGAAGTCATTTGCGAGATCCGCAATGTATTTGAAGAGGGAAAAACCAGCGCCAGTCTTGAGCACAAAAAGAGCAATGGTTTGTTGAAGGAAAAGGCCAACTATCACAGTAGGCCTTGCATTCTGAATCAGCAAATGCAGGCAAACTGAGATGGAGGCACCAACCAGCAAATTGCTGATCTGTTCGTGGAACACAGGTAGAAACCGCACTGGAAAACAAACAACCCAAGTACTGAAATTGCTCGATGTCCATAATCGCTGTTCTATAACAACGTCAGCTTATCAAGAACTCATTCAGGGTAACAGGACTGACACCAGTGAGTGGTAATCCGAAAGCAGACCCAAACACTATGGCAAGAAGGCAGAGCCATCCAATTGTCAACCTCGCTGTCCGAGGAAGCTTGTACCAAGGCACCTGGACGTATGGCATCCATACAGCGGTAATGGGCTCCGTCACTACTGAATTGGGTATGAAGCGGAACGCGATAATGCTTAACAGTGCGGATAATCAGCAAGGGGGATATTGTTGCGTAGAGGTCACTGCTTACAGTAAAAAAGACCACGCGAAAACTGTCCGCACGACCCTTCGGGAAGAATAAAGGTTTGTCAATTGAAAGACTCTAGAGAACACGTCATACCATTGTCCGCGAGTTGCTGTCAAGATGATGGAAGAGATCCACCACCCGAGGATGAATGCAGCAAGAGCAATCAGGACGACAAACACGGAGTCTCTCATCAAACTTGTTACGCGCTTGCGTCCCTTCATCCTTTTCGTCCGTGCCCTCTAGATCGCCCCCATTGTCTACGACGCGTGTAGTTTCCTTGTTTCCATCAGAGCTCGTAGAGGCGGACGTCTTTCTCTGTAAGAACTGGTTCTCTGCATCAAGACCGTTTGCTGAAGCTGCCATTGTTGGGGGGCCAGAAGAAACGCAGAGAGAGATGACCGGCAATTGTACAACCTATCTTTAATATTGGTTGGGGCCCCGAGCAACCTCCGAGCATGTGGTGTCATCTTTATCAAAGGTCGGTATGCGGCTTCATGTGATAGACCGATGCTTATCCTAATCATAAGTTCCTGTGGGCATATGCGCGTGCACCATGTTTTTCAAATTCGCAGCAAATTAAAATATGTACATACGGGCAACTACGGGCAAATGCCAGACAAAAGGAAAAACTTATCGGAACCAAATTGGAGCTGTGTAGGACAAAATCACAACCGGCCCGGATTAATTGCCTTTTTGGACTTTCATAGCGGTCATTAATCATTTGAATTCAGAGACTAGAGCTGATAAATACATATTTGTAAATGATAAGTTCTCAATGCGGCTCGAATAAACGAATAAGGCTATTTACTTATGTATTTCAGCTCCGCGGGTTCAATTGGCAAAACAATATTTACACCTCAATTACATAATTTACAGAAATTATTGCCGAGTATAAGCGTTTGTGAGATAGCGAAGATAGCGGGAAGTCAGGATCATGGCCATAGATGGGGTGGACAGCTCAAAAGGCCAAGCAAACTCCCATTTTAAAGTACAACAACTACGCTAACCGTCATTCTGATCCTCAAATTCACACCTTGAGCGCCTTGATAGATTTCCCGCTCGCAATCGCTAGCCACTCTCCAGGCGCGGTCGAATGACCCGTATTCATCGTCATTCCCGGTATCTGAGGAGACCATGCGAGGTTGGTCACTTCGCTGCTTGCAGAATAGGCCATTATCGGATCGCTGACCACACGTTTCTTCACGTCTGGCCGAGGCGAATTTAAACGAGAATTTGCAGTGCGAGGAGAGGTTGCCGTTTGCGTATAGGTAGCAAGGTCCCATAGTAGAACTTGACAGTCATCCCCTGCATATATTCAGGTCGAATACAGGGCACGAGTTAATTCATTGCAGTGCTTACCTGCAGTAGCCAGTGTTGGTCTATCCGTTGTGCTCCATCCCATCGCATTTACCTGCGCGCGATGCCCTCTCAGTTCTATCACCGGTTGACCAGGACTTCGCATATCCAAAATCTGCACATCCTGTCCATCCATATGAAACGTGGACATGTAATTTGAGTCAGCGGGGTTGAATGCAATGCGGAGTAGAGGTGATGTAGGTAGACGTGATGATGCTGAGGCTGCGGGCGCACCGCTTTTGGGTGCCGGTGTTTCATACAGAATGGTAGAATGCTCCAGACTCCGTAGGTCAAACGCACGAAGACTACCATCTGCTCCGACCGACACGAATATATCTGTCGATCCTGGAAGCCATGCAACGTCGTAAACTTCTCGATCATGAGCAATGAGCTGTGTGATGGCAGTGGATGTATCGATGTTCCAGACAGTACACGTCGTGTCTATCGATGACGTGACAACTAAGCTGGGGGCTTTCTCGTTCCAAGAGAAACTGGTTAACGGTGGACCAGTGGACTGGCTTTGCATTTTGGATTGCTGGCACACACAAGGGCATCAGTACTTTTAATCAAGGCGTGGATTTGCGATCACGTACCCCAGACAGTGCTGTCTTAAGTGTCAACCGATGCCCTCCGCCCGTGGGCTGCCTTCCAACATAAGCCGATGAAGCTGGTGGTGCATCTCCAAAATACTCCCATACCCTCAGTGCATCTCCAGTTGTGGCAAGTAGCTCTGCAGCTGGTGCTTTGCCAGTCCATTGGAAACCGCTCGCACTCGCTGGTTGCCATTGCAGATTGGTTGCTGGGTATCCGTGGTTCGCCTCCACCAGTGTTACAAAGTCGGGGTAATCAGTGTAATCATCCTCGACAAGGACGCGCTCATCTTGAAGTCCTACGATAGCAATCCGATTCCGATAGTCTTCAGAGAATGATGCAATTCCAAGACGGAAAGACGATCTTGGACGAGATTGATGTCCAGGTGCAGTTGACTTGCACCAATCGAGCGCATGTACAGGCCCTGATCAAGGTTACTAATTATGTTCGAGAAGTGATGACGGTTTATCGAACTTACATGGTGCTTCATATTGAAGCAAAGTTGTTTGGGTCATGGCGTACGCTGGTAGTTACTAGAAGTGCTCAATGTGGCGTGAACGTTACGGATTAATTGTATAACTTCGATCACTTTCGATATACTTAGCAAATGAAAATTCAAAGGGATTATCACGCTTGAATATCATTTCATGTAATTGGTGTCAAAGCAACAGAGCATAGTAACTTATGTTACAACGGAGCAAGATATGTACAGCGAGAGCATATTTAGCAAACGTAGCAGTGCATCATTATTATATTTGACCGATGTTTTGATGTCGAGTGGTTGTCACAGGTTCGGAGTTTGACCGGGCGTTGATCACGAGAAGGGCGGTGAAGTCGAAGGAGAGATCATGGTAACTTTTAGCGGCAGGAGGCGAATATAGGATCGATGTCGGAAACAGACGTGACTAGTCGGGCCAGTGGGAAAGAAAAACACGGAAGGATAATCAGCAAAATAAAAAAGATAAAAAAACGGATGCCAAGTATGTCGAGAATTTCAGTCCGAATCCACCATGGAAATCGCGCCGCATTGTTCACAAAAGCTCCACATTGTCCTTGAGCCGTCGGGACCAGCGGAGCAGGCAACACGAAGCTTGGGTATTTGTGAGCAATGCGAGCTATAAAGCACGGCATTAGGGAGGCGGGAGCGAGCGACAAGTCAGAATGGTTATCAAGGACGAGGTCTCCTTGTACTTACCCATGGTGAGTGAATGAACTTGCAGGTTGTAATAGCCCAACGGCCTTGTCGGAGTTGTCCGGTTGATAGTCGGCGACCTGGGCGAGACGAGGGTAGAGAGCTGTATATGAAAACAAACGGATGCCAGTGAGTTGGCAACGTCTGAAGCCTCAGGTGTACATACGAGAATGATGGTCGATAGCATCCGAATATAGAGACGAACCACTTGACGAGCTGGCAGTAGAATGAAGACGAGTATGATAGTTTTCAGGGAAAAATGAGACAGCATCAAGTGAAGGAGATTCAGACATAAGAGCGTCGACGTCAGGTTCATAGTTGGGGAAGGGAACCATTTTGAGTTGCTTGGCGACCTAATATGAGCGAGTATTAGAGCGGGGAAGTAAAATAAGATGTACGAAATAAAATGACCTGGGGGCAGTCGTCAGTGGCATCAAAGTCGAATTTGCGCTTCATGGCCATGATATGAAAGAGCACTAGTGAGTGTTTGTATCGGCAGATGAAGCTATGAGATAGAGTTCTTGGGAAAGGAGCAAGGTTGATATAAAGCTCGAACTTATACACGATCAAATTTGTTAATATTTGGTGCATATTCGCGGAGCGAATACCTCACAGGATATGTCGGAGTAGCAATTATTGGTGGTCGGCTCTATCGGCGGATATTATGCCGATCCGATCCGATTGGTTGATTTCTATTAATTTTTTAATTTCCATTTGGTAATTCGTTTGCACGTAACAACAACACAGCCACAGAACAGTAAGCTTGACGTGTCACACAGCCTGACTTGTGCAACTTGAAACTCGAGATCCAAGCAATCCAGCTTCCATAGCATATACAGCAGCCATGGATCCGGCAGACATTCCACTACCAGCTTTTCTAAACCCCCTGCTTGACTTCCTCGCCGACCAGCTTCCCCCACCTCTGTATTCATTTCTGCTCTCATTTCTCTCGCACTCGCTTGCATTATTCACAGCACTTCTTTCACTAATCTCATCCCTAATCTCATCCAAACCGTGGCAATGGGACGCACAAACCATTCTTCCCCCTCTTATCAGCTTTTTTGCTGCATATCTCGCACTAGTCAGCCTATACAGGACCACCAGTTGGATGGTTAGAACCAGTATCTGGTTCATCAAGTGGGGAACTATCTTTGGAGCGCTCACTGCAGGGCTAGGGTGGTACATGGGGCAGAACGCGGGTGTTGGAAGCACAAGCATCGTCTCTAGCTTAGCTGGACTCGTCTCGGATGTGCTTAATGGACAACCCCAATCCAATCCCAGCACTCAGCGTTCATCGCAGTCATCTAAGACGCGTGCGCAACGCAAGTCAAATGACCGTCCCAGATCGTGGGAGTCCTTTGAGAAGCACAAGCAATGGCAGTATCAGGAACGCGACGGGAATCAGGAAGGGAATGATGCCCAGAAGATTATGTCAAACATTGCCAAGGCTGTCAATCGCTTACTAGCGGAAGGTGGATGGTGGGACGTAGCCCAGGGGATTTTTGACGGGCCGACTTCCGAGGATAAAGGCACTACTAGTAGTGACGACAGCACAGGGAAGAAGAGTAGGAGTCGGTGATACTTTTTCGAGCGCAGGCATACTTATTATATATCACGTTTATGACTTGAATTAGAGCGATTCATGGAGCTTTGACCGTTGCCAAGTGACATTGCAAGGGAAGTATGATAGATAGTAAAACTCTCAAAAAGAAACCAATCAAGCCTTGACTGCCTCGCCGCTGTACCGGTAACTTGCTCGATTGTTAGCATGAAATGTAAACTCTTGCTTGTCTTAAAACTCACTTTGCAATCCGAGCCAACTGCCCTAGACCGGTCGAACCAACAAAGAAGTTCACCTGCACAACGACTCGTGTTATATTTGTTATTGAGAAAACTCAGCGACCCTTACCGCTGCCAAACTGTAGTTTATGGGGGTAATGACCAATGAGTATCTGACCCAGATGAAACCTGTGCATGCGAGCGCTATCCGGGAACAATTTAATAGGGATCACAGTGAGTCAATGACACATCTACGCACCAACGTTTTGTGATATACTGAGCTTATCTGCTGGACGACTTAAATCCTTTACACCAGCGGCAACAAGACACCACTTCATCAATGGTGCCCAGAAGAAGACTGTCTTCGGGCCTGTCATGAGTCATGACCACGTAGGTGGGTCAGCACCGACTTCTGCATCAACTGACATCCCACGCACCGGCTGGATGATTCATAAACGCGGAAAGTTTCGACCCTGCAGCCGCAGATGCTGCACCAGACATATTGCTGATGATTTGAAGGGGGCGAGTAAGGAAATGAATGTCAGGGAGAGTAAGAGGTTGAGAAAGGTACTTAAACCTTTACAAGTGTGCGTGAACTTTCACCAGTTTATTCTCGCCGTTATTCGGGGCAAATTCGGAGTACTATGAGACCACAAATGGAGATAGGCATATCCGGGAAAATCAAATACCAACGTGACACTTATATATATATATAATTTTGATAATTTTGAGTACTGAACATATGGACACATCGTGACGCATTTACATAGAACACATACCCAACAGTGGTTTACCGAACAAGCGCCCAGTGGAAGTGTACAGACTGTGCAATGTCAATGTGGCGCATCGTGCCAGGATTTTTTAATTCGCGTGCAAAGATCCCCCCGCCCACTCAGCAACCAAATCTTTCCAGCAGTCGCCGATCTGCATATGCTCCCCCTGACATGCCACAAATTCAACCCGGCCGCTTTCGTCAAGCTGTCGAAGGCCTATCCAGTCTTCTTTGTAAAGGGTTTGTAGACGCATCGGGATGATGTCTTTGGTGTTCACTCCACCGAGCATTGGCGTCTGATCGATTCCAGATAGTTGGTCCATAGCGATATCCTCAAGAGGTTGCTCGGAGGCGAACCAAGCACTCTCCTTGGGGACTACGGTGTTGTCTTGGAGAAAGAGGACAAGGACAAGCTTATTCAGCGAGGCAAGGTTATCTGCATATGATGGATTGCGAGAAGATGGGTGTAAGACTTCATTGTTGATGTCCGGTAAAAAGCTCCCCGACGACATGTATTGCGAGAGCCGTTGCGGATCTCTGAAATATTGAGCCTGAAAATGACTGAATTAATGGTAGCATAGTACAAGAGAGAATTTTCTGACAAACCTGAATAAGATTCTCCTGTGCCCATTGGCTATACACACCCATATTTGCTGCTCGGCGTGCGGCCTGACAAAGTAGATCCCACGCGTTGCAGGCTGGCAAACCTGACACACCCATGTGCTGTGACCCAAAGGTGATCAAGTTGTGCACCGGCGGGCTGTTATTGCGTTCCACGTAGCCACGAAGGAATTGACCTCCCTGTGAGAATCCTATGGCGTCGAAACCGCGGCTTAGCTCGGGTATGTCAGCAAGCTGCTGGGCAACTTGCATAATTTGTTGATTCACATTGCCATACTGACGGACGACAGTTAGAAACTCGTATAATGGTAGTATGAACACTCACAAAGCCTGCACGTTGGTCTAAATTTGGGTCTTCGTTGATGAAGATGGAGTGAATGAATATGCCGGGGTGCATTTCCTTGACTTCATTCTGAAAACGGTCCATACCAGGAGAAGCGTAGGTGTCACCCATTCCATGCCATATCACTAGGGGTCGTATATCGTTCACGGCTGCACTAGACACGAGATTGACAAGACCTGCGAAGAGGACAATTGAGGGGAGCATGATGGTCGTTGCTTTTGAGCCGTACTAGCTGCCTGAGTGGCATACGCGGGGACAAGTTTATGTTTATGTAAAGTACCTTCTTGGGGCGACCTTCGCGGGCATTAAACTTAGGCCGCCAGATTATCGCTTGTTCTCTTCGAATTTCAATCATTTCTCTAGAATGTCACAAACATTTGGTACGAATCTTGCGCCACATTCTTCCCTGCGACCGCGAGTCATAGTTGGGCACAGCCGAGGCTACGAAATTAGGCCCAGGGCTGACCTGGAATAACACCAATCATCACGCGATGGATGGAAATTCGGAACTCACCTTTCTTCATCTATCTCACCGTGATCAAGCGTGCGCGTGAGACTTGCCATGCCAGTCATTTCCTCCACACGCGCCGCATACGGGCGTAGACATTTGCATAAAGCGGGACACTACGGGAATGTGTATATTAAACGGAATATGCCTATGATTCTGAAATTTGGTCTTCGAGAGTGGCGGGCGAGGCTGTGCTGCGATTGAGATGGGTTTCTTGTTGGCCTTTTCTCGTGGCTACGACCTAATGGGCATCACGAGCACTTGTTTACAACAATTCACTGTGATAAGCCGTGGGTCTATTTTGGGACTTCACCATCAGCCTGAGCTTGCCAGGAACTACCTCCCGTCGACTCTCGGAAGGTTTGCAGGGCAAGGGAACTCTTATTGAACGCTGCGGATATCGATTGGTTGACGTGATCGGTGCGTTCTACCTTTAGCCCTGTACTCGACAACGATGATGAACTGTTTTCAAGAGCACGAGTTCGGATCACACAAACCAAGCCCCGTGCAGAAGAAAGCTCATGAAGAGAACATGTCCAACATAGGGTCCATGACGCACATTAATATCAATCCTCTGTCCTGTTAATTGTGCTAGGCTGTGACATACGCGCGAAATACAACTAAGTCGGAGTCTCCGGCAGTGATCTTTATCTTGGTTTCAGCTCCCACGAAAATGACACTTCCAGCTTGCAATTCTAACTCGCCGCCATTCCAGCTTATCCGGCCGGAACCTTCGGTGGCGATTGCAATCGAAGGACCTGGAATAGCCTCATGAGTTTCGGTCTCGCCCATTTGGGTCTTGACTTGGAGAACTGTGAAGTCTTGAATTGGAGGATCATATTTGCGAGTGTACGGTGTGATGTCAATTGGCTTGACCATATGTTTCTGCCAAGCTGATGGCGCATAGGTCAAAACCGAAACAAGATTCGGAATGTCTTTGGGCTTAGGGGTAAGACCTGCGCGAATGACATTATCCGAATTGGCCATGCACTCCATGATATCTTCCAAATCATCATCGTTATCGAGTGAGTTGGATACCAACAGGGAAAGACGTACCGCCTTCAACATAAGCGTGGGGCTCTCCAGCTCCCAGGAAAATAGCCTGCCCAGGAGTCATTTGGACGTAATTCAGCATAAATGCACAGAATACTCCGACATCCCCGAGATACTGCTCATTCAATGTCAGAACAAGATACTTGACATCCTCTTCTAGAGGTTTTTGACCTCCGCGTTGGTAACGCGCCACGAGTGTGCGAAGTTGTGTTGCAATACTGGAAACATCAGCGGTCATGAGTGCTGCGAAGAGCTTCTTAAGGACGGCCTTCTGCTCCGACTCAGACAAATTGGTGCAGTTCAAAAATTCTGTCACGATAGACGGATCGATCAGTGAATTGAATTCAGGAACGGCTTTGAGGTATTCAGCGATCCTCGTGATTGGCATGAAACCGCACAGCGCCTTGAAATCCGTCAACGCCAAGGCCATCTCAGGCTTGTGGTTTGGATCTTCGCACAACCTATGCGTGAGGACTTTAAACCGACATCAAAAAGGACTCTCACCAGTGTAAACTGTTGGTTGCTCAGCATGAAGTTTCTCGGATGTCTTCTTATCAGGGTGGGTTTGTATGCTCAGGGCCTTGCCAATGGCCAAGACCTTGAATAGGAAGGGGAGGTTTCCGTTTGTCGTGTCGAACCGCCGAGATACCTGGTCCCCGATGAAGCTAGGGTTCTCGGACAAGATCTGGGTAAGGTTTTGCTTCCTATCAACCACTCCTGACGGTGACTTCACATGCGTGCCCATCCAAAGCTGGTCATAATACGCCCATCGGTCAGATCTGCTGCAGACCGTGGTTCTAGATCACCTACTTCTGCGTAAGGAACTGATTGGTTCAAAGTAAATCCACGTATTCCGGCTCCAGAAGCAAACTCCGCAACCTTGGAGTCCTTTCCCTTCTTCCCCCAATCGTAGTTCTGAATAGTGGGAATGATGCGGAAGACTGGCTCGATTGTACTCATCGTGAATACAGATTGATCGTTATCGATGGTGGTGGTGCGAGTTGAAATAGGTACACTGACCAGAGCCTGTGGAAGTTACGTATATAAGTTGAACGTGCGCTCATCTTGCTGGAAATTCGCATTCATGAGATTTCAAGAAGTTGTGCCTTTTCCATTCGTGCTCTGAAGTTCGGCTCTGGAGAATGGAATGACCTGATAAGACGGCGTCATTTAATCCCTCGATTACTTTGTTCTGGAGACCGTCATGGTGATGATGACAGGAAGAAGCAGCTCAGTAGAGTTGAGATCTCTTCATTCAAGTTCATTGGATCCGGGGGTGAAAACAAACTGTTGGTAACAAAATGCCATAAGCGATCCACAGGTCAATTTTTCACATCCTTGAATGTTGCCAGGACCTCCCATGGTCAGTCCTCTTACACCGTGTACACGAGTCACTGGAGACTTGAAGTTTCCTGTGGTTCGGAAGGGCCCACCCGCTCAATGTCATTGCACGATCAGTCGCCGGGCTCAGAAGAAGGTGCTCTACGACAAATGCAAGTGTCTTCTATACTATTTAGTATGCCTCGAGGCCAACTCATGACGCGATCATATCTCTTAGTATTTGCCATCATTGCCTCGTGGAGATCAGATAATGGGACAGCTGGTCAGGTCCGCCCGTCGATCTTGAAGTTTTCCCCGGATGGATGAGCAAGACAGATCCTGAAGGGATCACCCCATAATTTGTGCTCAAATCCGGGAACAGCCAAGACCTTCAAGTCCGTCTTGCTCCGTGGCACAGGTATCATTTGGAGATGGGCGTCGTCATCGGCGCAAAGCGAAAGGGATATAAGCCCACTGACGGCGACACAAACAAACCCATTCCAATTGTCAACTTTATTCAGACTCTAGCACAACATGATTGATTCCTGGCAACCTGGAACACAGTACAATTACGGTGCAAGGGTCCTTTATGAAGGTTTGTTACCATCTACCTTTTATTCCGAGTAATAAATGCGTCCATTACAGGTGTCCAGTACCAAATCATTCAGCCTCACCGATCCCAGGTAACCCGTTGTCAGTGCTACTCGTTGTCAGACTGACCAATGAGTTTCGCCCAGAGTGACTGGACTCCGCCCGCGACACCTGCCCTATGGGGACGCCTGCAAGACGGCGATTGCCACCGCAGTCCTCATCATGAGAATTCTGGTCAATGGGCTGGGGACTGCAAGTCCGATCCGTGTGCTCCATCATGCGACCAACCACCTCCACCACCTCCTCCTCAGCAGCAGCAGCAGCCTTACCACTCTCCTCAAGGCGGCGTTCAAGGGACTCACGGGGAGAGTCAGAAGCACTGGTATGACATCGATGACAAAAAGAAGCAAGAGCTGGAGGTATGTTTTCCCCCTCGTATAGACTGCTCACATCATCACACGTGTCTTGTCCATTAGATCGGAGGGGGCCTCCTGGCTGGTGTCGGTGCCCTTGCCGCTGGTGTTTATGCCTACAATCAACACAGCAAGAAAGGAGAGGAGGTAAACATAGTATTCATCATAAATTGCTACAGATCTGACGCTTCGATTTTCTCCAGCAAAGGGCGCATGCCTGGTCGCAAGGCAACTGGCTCCGTGATGCGGAGCAACGTACTCAAGCTTTCCGACGCGGAAATTACCCCGCTCCAGTAGCATGGATCCTCACTGAGGGTAAGAACATCCCACCGGATGCTATCGAAGGTGGATTTGAGCGCGGCGCGCCTTTGTACATCTGCCGCGCTTACTGTGAGGCAAGTTCAGCAGTTTTGCTTACTAGTCAGCCACTTATCATGATTCTTATAGGGTGGCCTCAGTACGTCTCGAGTGATGCTATTCGTAATTTTGACTAAATGATGTCTACTCCAGTGGTCGGAAAGGCATGCTCTGTTTTCAAAAAAGGAGGTGTGGTTCGGCTTCAAGAAGGAAGAGATCCACGTATGTGCAGACCCAATTGGGCTGTTATCATCTGCTGAACGCGTTGGAAAAGGTTGATAAATACGAAATCCTTGTTGGGAACCCTCAAGCCGTGCGCTGGGTTAACGTTTCTGGCCAATTCAACTTGGCAGCTCTCGGTGGATTACGACCTGTCGAAGGTGGCAGGGAGCCCGGAGGTGCTCCCCAGTACATTGCACAAGCTCCTTACCACGGAGCCGTGCACCCGGGGAAGGCGTGCGAGTCGTTCGGTGATGGTTGCTTCATCCCTTACGACTCCACTGAGAAGAAGGTCAAGGTGAGTACAAATGCTAGCAGGGTTGACAAGATCCAACTTAATATGGTATTGCAGGAGTACGCGGTGCTTTGCTACAACTGACATAACAAGAATATGAATTTGCGGCATTGAGTTGGTGTGTAAGACGTATGTAACAACTAGTTGTGCCAATGTCAATAAGTTTGCTTTTCGAGAACGGCTTCGAAGATTTCTCTTATAAGGAACTGAGAAGTGTGCCTACTCAACTTCTCATCAGCGACTCGGGCTGCTGTCTACACCGCTGTAATAGGCGATGTGACTAGCTCAATTCTGTCAGTGAGACTGGCTAAACGTTATTAGGTTATGTCATTGGGACCTCTTCAATCAGCAGCTGGATTCGAACAAAGTGAAATAACTAAATATATGGAAAGGAAAAGGGTACCGGTGTCTCTTGGAACAAGTAAAATCAATGTCTCGATCAATCGTATCACTCGTCGAACAAGGGTCATGCGCTCTTATGAACAACTAGCCTAGCATAGGTGAAAGTGCAGTCACCACTTTGGCCTGCGTAATGCCTTCTTTTGGTGTAGGGTATTCTTTCCTCTCGCACCCCTCACGACCTGCAGGTCCTCGAACTTCCTCTTCGCATATCGTCGTGCTTCTGCATCATCGACTAACTCATCGACCAAAGTTCTCTTGCGATGAGCACGAGGAAGGTTATCCGTACTTGCTGTGCCAAATGGCGTGTTTGTAGTCACAATGGTGCCAATCTAGATGAAAAATAAGCCTCTACGATACAATAGATTGTGTTGGAGACCTACAGCAAAATGTTTCGGGAGTCCTTTGATACCCTTCCCATCGCCGTCATCTTTACGGTAGAAGCGCTTAGGATCAAGTTGATTGCGCAGGCGAAGAGCTTCAACTTCACGGTGCAATCGAGGTAGATCGGCTTCAGCGGGCGCCGGAAGGTCAAACCAGCTTGGACCGGCGGTTTGGTTTTGCATCTAAAAAATACTCGTCCATGGGTCCTTCACTTGATAATAACATGGTGAAACTCACAGCTTTTCGGTGTTTTTTAGTCGAGGTAAGCGTTGGTTTCGGAGGAGGTGCAGGAGCAACGGATCCAGAGGTGGCTGCTTCTGCACGCTGTATGTCTGGGTCTCGTACAGTCGCAGGGGCGTGACGTCGATCTTTCGCAAATTCAAAATATGCGGGCGGAAGTTCCCCTGGATCCAATGGCGGCAATGGCCTGTAGTGAGACTCAGCAAATGATGTAGCATGTTCTTCATAACATGCAGTACCTCTCCGATTCGTCACCATCCAACTTGATAATATCTTCTCCAGCACCAAACACATTTTCCCGCAGTGCTTTTTTCATTTTAGCTGACTCTCGAGCATTTGATTTTGCTTTATCCAAAAGGGACTGTAAGTATTCTTGAGTGATTTCTTCATCGTCCGAGTCCGAAGCCGAGTCGCTATCAGAGGATGAATTTGAACTAGAGCCCGAAGAAGAGCTTTCTGACGCCAAGTCGTCGAAAGAGATGAAGTCATCTTGGGTAGCCTTCTTTTTCCCTTTATTTTTCGCTGCTCCTGAAACTACTGCAGGCGGGATCGACATAGCAGGATTTTATGTTTGCAGCCTAGCTAGTGCGAAGCTTCCCCGACTCTACGGAGTAGAGAGATCTGGGTTATGTCAAACGTCCTACAACAAGCGCGGGAACTTATTACCTCATTCGCATTCTATCTCTACCTTCGTCCTGACCTCCACAGCTTGGTAAACAAAGCGTTAAGTAGTAATTGGTGACGCTCCGGCCAGACGAGTGAATCAGATGGCATGAGAAGTTAGGATTCGAGCGGTATTGTTAAACGAAACCGAATCACGGTGTCAACAAAGAAAGGGAAACCAACACTCACATAGTGCCTAGGATGTTTTGTTTTGTTTGGCAAGAGATTTATTTCCTAATTTATCACAAGCTTAAGCACAACTATAGCGCGTGAAACACGCTGGAAACACGCTTCACGCGCCAGTAGTGGCCAACTTGAGGCGTCCGATCATGGACACGCCTTCATCAAATTCACTGTCAAGGCCTCGTCTAAGGCTTAATCGCTATACACCAAATCCTCGGTTTCAGGACAGTAGTGACATGGACTTTACTCCAGTCGCAGTCCCTTCCTCCGCGCGATCACAACTTAATGTCGTCGATGATGAGGACGACAATCAACCTACTCCTCGTATGCCACTCAGGAACATTGCTTCTCTTTCAAATACCTATGGTCCAAATTCTGATTTTGGTCTATTGACTTCGTTTGCGACACCCTCCGATACTCCTGCGGCACGCCTCCGCGCCTTGTTAGCACGTTCATCTGATTCGCCCAATGGAAAATCTCCCCCTGCAAGACCATTTTCACAACTGTCAGAAGATGGCGCTGGCTCTGTATCATCTCGCTTTACATCTGCAACTCCAAGCGTTACTCGGGACAGCCTGAAAGATTTGTTTTCTCGTGCCAGACGTGAGCCTGGGGACACACCGCAGAAATCGAAACCGCGTAGAAAGAGTTTTGACACCAGTGAGATGGACATTACCCCTGTTATCGACCGTGAAAGGGAACAGCATAAGGGTAAAAGAAAAAGTCTCAGTGATGATGAAGTTGATAAACCAAGTACGTCAATTCCCTTACTTCATCACTTTTGGTATCTCATCACAATATGTATCAAAGAATCCAGCAAGAGTTCCGAATCGTCATTTCGGTCTTCTCATGCAGCAACGTTTGATACCCTTCGTGCACGTCTAATGTCTTCTCACTCGCGGCTCCTCGATCAAAACTTACCCACAGCGGTGTATGACGGTCAGTTCATCTATATGATCGTGACCAGTGCATCCAATTGAAGTGTATCAGTCACTTCTCAACCCTCCGAAACAGGTTCATTACTTGCAGATGACCATCGTTTGGAAGGACATGTTAATGATAATTCGACGACAACTTCCTTACGACCGCTTGATTCCACTTGGTCATCGCCTCCAAGAACCTTCCAATTGCCTTCCCAGCTAGCGTCACACTCTAGTAAGGTCATGCGTTTATAATGTTTGCACCCCCTGACCATGTAATCAGATCTCCTGGATCAAGATTCGGATATGCAGCATGCTATGGGGGATCTCGATACATCCGAAGATGGTGAGCAACCATTTTCAAGATGACTTACCATACGTTTCTCATTGTTGTTTCATTGGTACCAGCACCGATGCCTGGGCCAAGCACCAGCCGCCCGTCAACCACTCCGTTGCGGCCCCATTCCTCTATTTCCTTACGCGGAAGTTCGCGACATCATGATCAGTCTCGGCGTACCAGTCTTGAATTGCCAGGTAGGTGCCTTTTTGCTTTTACGCTACTCCACCTACAGTATGCACAGGACCAAGGGCGAGCTCATCACTTTCTGATGCTGATTGTGAGATTACCACTTGATATTCTTTTGGAGGCGAGCTTATGATAGCAATCTAGTCAAAGAACAACACCAGTCTCGTGAAGAACATCGGATGCACCAACGTGAACGCGAGTGGAACCGTCCAAAAGCACCATCACGTTCTGCCACCCCTGAGCTGCATCACCAACATTCATTGGAGTTCCACCGACGCCACTCTCAAGAAATCCCTTGGACGTCGCCCTCTCACATCAAGTCCCTTTCGAATGGAGCGACTTCACCGCTCAGCAGCAGGATTCTGCACAGAAAGGGTAGCGTTGCGTCGCTTCGCAGTTTTGATGATGGCCGGAGCTCAAGGTCAAGTTCCATAAGCTCACATGCAGATCGTAAGCGAAAATCTTATTTCATTTCACATCACTTCGATGACCTCTAGATCGTGATCGGATGGCTGAGCTTGACGGAGATCGTTACCTCGAGCGTGAACGAGAATGGAATAAACGGCACCCACCGCCTCGACCGTCTTCAAGTCTTAGCTCACATTCAAATCACTCACACACTCACCCCAGTCGACCTCCATCAGTCACAGCGTATGCGACACCAACGCTTGCATCCCTTCAACGACAAGGTTCCAGTTCTCGATTATCTGGTGCCAGCTCACCTGCTAGCTCACATGCTAGTCATGACTCATTACAAGATCCGGAAGAAGTGGAAGAAGAACGAAAGGTCACGCATGAACGGGAGCGAAATTGGAACTCGCCACAGCCCAGATGGAATACGGCGAGGCATCATAGTCACGGCAGCAGTGGTAATGAAGTTACATCTGCGAGTGACCATCTTTCTCAAAGCAAGAGTGGAAGGAGTTTGCGTACATCGTCTAGTTTACCTCGCCTTACTCTAGAGGCTCAACGCAAAGGCTCACCGACAGCTGTGAAGTTGCGTTCTCACAAAGGCAAAGTAGATTCAGTACTCGATGAACCAACATCCGTTCATCCGCCTCAGGGTTCAGATCCGCTGTCTCCTTCCAATAATGGCGAAGCTTCACCCCGTACTACACCACTCAAGCCTGCGGTCGCTTCAAGATTTGGCTGGGGGTTTTCACGGGGTCATCAGCTTCCTCCTTTTGATCTAGAGAGTTCGCCTAAACGAGGTGAACGAAGCAATAAGGAGCCTGATTCCTCGCATCACCACACGCCAACCATCTCTTCACCATCGCCGACTCCAGGCTCGCGCCCATCCAGCCGGGCATCGGTCGTCAATAGGTCGAGCTTGATTCCAGTACTGTCGCCATCTAAGAGGGATGGTCTTTTCAATAGCGGCAGTTTTGCTTCTTCCACTCCTAAAGCCAACGATGAGGAGAAGTTCAAGATGGGTCATCGCAAACGGTTGACGGAGTTTACTGAGTCAGTGGGGAGTATTCACCCTCATACTAGCATACATGGTGAATTTGGGGATGAGGATATGGTTTTAGGTAAGATCCATATTTCCCTTAGCTCGTCAATAAACCTTACCTGAGAATTTACAGCGAGTGATGAGGAATCTGTGTCGGAGTTTGCCCTGCAATTGACTACTCCAGATACACGACCTTCGAATTCTTTCCCAGAAGATCCTCCCAGCGAGCCAGAGACAGAGGTTTTGGTGTCTCCACCTCCCTCGCCACCAAGACAACGCTCACCCGTTCAAACACCTGGTGTTTCTTCCAATGATGAAGCACGTCTTCACAGAGCTCTTTCCTCAGCTTCAGCGAACTCGTTCCGACCTCCTACTCCAGACTCTCCATTAGATGACTCGCAGTCCCAAGAGCAGGCGATGCCATCATCTTTCACTCCTCCGGGAACGCCGCCAATGACCAGTTCCACTCCTCAGGACGAATCTTCTGAAGTTATTCCTACCTTTGCGCTCACAACTCCGCCGCGCCCTCTTGCGTCAAGCACTTCCATCCTTGACGTCCGCACCCCATCTCCGCCCCATGATCTCTCCAATCTTTCTGTTCTCCCTTCTTCTGAAGATGAAGCAGAGATACGCGAGGCTGATGTCACACCCGTGCGAGTGGATGAGGATGGCCTTGCCAATCCGAACTATACCGCGATGAAAACTCCGAGGCCTCCTGGAGCGTGGGCTGCTACACCCGTACCGCCCAAGCACCTGAGGGACGCATCACCACCTCCTACTTCATCTGAGTTGGCTCCGATTGCATCAACGTCGTCGACGTCGACGTCTCGGGCTAATTCTAAATCCGAGCGGAGCTCAAAGAAGGAGGCCCCGGCAGGCAATGGACTGCTCACGCCAATACCTTCTCTGTCACGTGCTAGCACTCTTCCTATACGCACCCCGGCACCCCCTGGTGCATGGATGCTCACTCCAAATCAACCCACAGCTCAGAATGGACAAAATGGTTCTGCCGATCAGTCCCAGTTTGGTTCTATCGGAAGGAGAAAGAGCATTCTCAAAGTACGCTTTGACGTCACGGAATCCGAGGCTTCAACTGCTGAAGTTGAACACCAAAAAACACCTTTACCTTCCGGACGCGTACATATGTCAGACTTTCCACCTGATGACCACGCACGACGGACAGAGAGCATTCCTTCAAAAATGACCAATGGCTCTGCTCACGTTGTACATGATTCAGTGCCAGCAAGGCCCGTTACTCCTGAACAGTCTACAACGTCCGCGTCTCGTGCCAATATACCATCGCCACGTTCGCTAAGAAAATCCCCCACCGTCAAAGTTGTGGATGCATTCGGCCGGGAAAGGATTGATGACCTTCCAACGCCGGATGAAGCCCGGGATATTGCGAACGGGCATGTAGATGCGAAAGACGCAATTTGTTCACCATCATCAGCCGAAACTCCTCACACTTCCCGTGCCCAACACAAGAGTAATATTCGTATTGTCGATGCAATGGGAAGAGAAATTGAAGAAGTCCCTGTGATTGAGCCCCTATTCGAAGAAGAGTTGTTGGTCCTACATGATGATCCACCCGTTGGTCGCACCAAAACGCTGGCTCAGATGCGGCAAACACTTCGGGAGTGGGCCGATGGGCTAAGTGATGGGGACAGGTGATGTCGCCAGCGTGCGTTTTAAGACAAATGCTAACTGATAGGAACTGCAACAGGTCTGTTGATGACCTCGCTTTGAACACAAGCCACCTTGAAGAGCTGGAAGAAGTTTCGAGGGCAGCACGGCATGCTCGGAATCAGTTGGCTCAGACCCTTCGCGTTGAATCTGTGAAAGAGCGTGACCTGATTAACAAACATGCGAAGGACGCTGTGACCCGAAGTAAGCTTTTGGTAAGATAGTGCATATGCATTTGGCGTGGTCGCATCTGAACAGTTCCCTTAACTAGCTGGCTATCGCTGGCGACAATAGTTCTTTCCATCGTGGTATGGTTTTGCTCGGAGTTGTGGTCCAAATAGTCTTCGTCCTTGCAATGTGGCGGTAGATTTCTTCACTTCGTATGGAAGTTTTCTCACTAATCTGTCGACTGTTTGCCTAGATTCGCACACACTCAAGCTCGCCGACTTTTTTACACCGTCTATTATGATCCTCTATACCCAGAGTTGAATCCCCTACCTGGACATCGCCCATCAATTTTCGCCCCCATACCCCTCATTTCCATGGTCGCTTTCGAGCGCGTACGAGATTGTAAGGCATGAAGGATGGTCAGCTTTGAAAGCGGAGCTACAGGGCACTGTGCGCCGCATTGGTGAACATGCTTGGGAGAAGTGGGGAGAACGCCCTTACACCGGAACATGGCCCCCTACGTGACCATTATGATGCTGCACGCTATCTATTTTTCATGATATTTTTTTCTTCTTTTTATGGTATCGTCAAAAGCTTGGTTGAGTGCTGTTTAGCTAGCATTAATATGATATTATGAAGTATTCCATGAGGGCAAGATCCGTGATGAAATGACTCGGGAGCCGAGTAGCTAGGCTAAAGTCCGAGTCGTGCGTGTCTTCGATGGTAACAGTACTTGATTATGGATTTATCTGATGCACACATAGTACAGAGTCCTCGAGCAGAATCATGTCAAGCCTACTGTGCAACTACACAAGTCAAAACTTCAAGTCGTAGCAGGCGGTGCCACGTACGTTACAAGTCATGGACCTTGATGTGTTTGTTATGAACCTTTCATTGGCCGCCCTTCATCTCTTTGTCTTCATTCGCCTCATCGGGCCCGGGGCTCCTTCCACTGAGCCACTCACGAATGTATGAAGTCTGCGCATTTACCATCGAGATCGATGCTAGACTCAACTATGTGATTCTTCGCTCCCATTCAGGTAGAGGACTGCCGAAGTATGATTCAACTATCCCTGCCCCGACCTCTGCCCTGAGTCGGAGCGGACTCAGCGGAGGAGCATGTAGAGTTAAAGTTATGGTGAGAATACTCGCAGAAGATTTGCGCGATCGCTGGTGGAGAGTACGAAAAAAGGAACGCAGAGAAGGAGAGAATATTCTCAAGTCAAGTCCTTTTGACTCGGACGTCACTGCTTCAATAGAATACTATGGGTGTGACCAGAGTCACCAGACAGCCTACAGGATGTGACTGTAAACGCTCACATGATCATGATTCCGAGATCGATTGAGGATTGCTGTGTTGCCACCCATCGCAATTGATATGGACGGCTACTACCAGCTGCAGTATCCAGCGCTGTATTTGTACGAGGAGGTCTCTCGACTGATTCACCTTAATCCAGTCTGTCGACTGACTCACCTAAATTCAGTCTGACAATGACTCTCCCTACCAGCAGTCAGTGCAGAAATTCCTCGAGGAGATCCGTCGATACGCCGCCTCATTCGAGTCTGACGTCGACTTTTCATTTGACAACCGTTTTCGCCCGCCAGAACGCAGCAGGAGGGTAGCGCAGCGATTTTAGCACTCGCCAGCGCAGTGCAACAAATGCATCTTACTACCCCCTCACCTCCACCTGTGGCTCTCAGTGCACTCCCTGAGGCTGCGCCACCCTCTGACTTCGCACGCGCTATTGAAGTCCTCAGTGCGGCCACCAACATATCAGATGAAGATAAGTTGGAGATGATGTCGTTGTTCTTGAAGAACAAAGACGAGGCTACTGTGTATCTCTACATGAACGATCGGCTGAGAGGCCCTTGGGTACAGAGGAGGCTGGATGAAATGAGGGTGCATGGTGCATGATATGCACAGACCGTCCCATTTATATTTCCGTTTTCACGCCTTCCTATTCCCGTGTTTTTTCCCCCTTTGGCAGACAGATCTTCAAAGCTTCAGACATATTGATCAATGCAAGTCGAGTGCTATGTAGTACCTACGTCATCTCAAATAACGAATTTTTCAAACTTTCGACATGCGCAACTTTTGTCAATCAAGCCGTAACTTCGCAGTAGTAAACGTTACAGTAGGTTGACCTAGTAGGTCACTAAACTGGTACATGCATGGCAGGTTCTAATAAATGATACAACACTGTGACATATGACGAGAGGTTGAAAGACAAGACAACAAGACAAGAACAACATCGGGACAACACGACTTACAAATACAATACTGATCAAGTGACAGGATAACTATTGCGACTTCACTTCGTACCACTCGCCCCCGGCAGTGTCAAATTTACTAAAAAGGCATGAAGCATGGCATGTGCATAAGGCCTTTGTCCTCGGGAAACACTTTCAAGAAACTGCTTTAGACGACCTGATACTTCAGGTGCGCTGCGGAACTCCATTAGGAATTCTAGTTCCATTTTTTGGATATCAGGGTACCTGTGATAACCGAGGATCAACGGGAGCTAAGGTGTGGAAAAGAAAGGCGTACTGAGCTGTAAACCACGAGAACGCCTCATCCAAGATATTGTTCTTGGATAGATTAGATTTAATTGCCTGGAACGCCAGAGCTTTCAAACGTTCATTCTTGAGCTTCGAGGTTCTTGTTAATCTGTGTGCCACCAGGATGCGAGACATACCAACCTTAAAGGCGAGTCGGTACATTGACTTGGGAGAACAGCGCAAAGTTTCAGTTCCGTTGTTGCGCCGACTGAGCGGATCTTTGGACTTCAGGGGGTAGAAAGAAACCTGGCCAGTGTAGCGATAGTATACGTAGGATGCCCAGCTACACGAACAGTTTAAGTCGTTTTGAGCTAGTTAGAGCAAATGTAGCTTACGTCGCAAATGCCGTGTTCCGAACCAACACGATTTGCTGGGTCGGAGAGTAGGGTGGAGGCATCGGCTCAGCCCTCAACGTATCTGTCGAGCGGAAACCTGGATGCGAGGCCGCCCAATCGCTCAAGCTGGAGTCTAAGTAGCAGGCTCAGCACGAGGGATCCCCCCCAGATGCAGGGAGAAGGAGACAGACTCACTGCCACTATCCGAAGTTAAATCACTGATATCAGAAATGGTATCAGTGGATGCATCGGACTCAGGAGATGCCGCCCGAAGGGAATAGCTCTCGCTATAACGACAACGCGGAGACTGGCTCATACTAGGTGCTCCTTGTGCCTTTCCCTTCGGTTTCGGTCTCCATTTTGTTTTCTGTTTTGTGCTCGTGCTCGTGCTTGTTTTCTCTTTCACTTCTTCTTCCTCTGAATCCGAAATGTCGCTATCAAGGTGATAATCATATTGCTTGGCGTCCATCATCAGCCCATATTCGTGGTTGTATTGAACGAATAAAGAATTTCCTTTGGCAAATGCTAAAAGATAAATCCATTGTTATTCGTCCGAGTCCACCAGGCAAGATGAGAAACCACTCACAAGATGACATGACAGCAGTGTCATGGTCTAAAATTGCACTATTCGCATATACGAAACGAGTTTCCTCTGAAGACCCCCGAGTTCTACGCCTGGACATGGCATAGTACTTGGTGTCCGTGAATTTACCATCGTTCATAGACTGCCTGAGAGCAGTCGCAGTCTTGGTGAGGGGGTCAGCGACAACTGGAGCGAAATTTGCTTTCGTAGTGACCGTAAACCACATGTAAGGGTGTGCACTGATAGTGGACGGCGAAAACGAGCCAATAAGCGCGGGGGACCCATGGCCAAAGTTAGCAATCGAGACCGTCCTGGTGTCAAACGAAGGAACCTCTGAAGTAGACCCATCTTTAAGGCAGACAGTCACCGTGGCGGCGTCTGTCGCTGACGAGCAATGGGTATGATCAAGGTAAACCTTCACTTTGGCAAAAGACCAGCCTTCTTGTGCGTACTGCAACCCAAAACGCCACCCCAATCCAAACTTTTCGCTGTAAACTATGGTTGAACCTCCTTGCAGGCAGGCGGCAAGGCGTTCGTCCTTAGTTTCCAGCTGGAAGATTGTTGTAACTGAATCAGACACCCTTTGCATGGTGGATAAAGACAACGAGAGGATGCTTAGGCGCCTCTCTGAACAGTCTCTTATCTGGGAGGCAGTGCAACCATATTTAGGAGCAACGTCAATCCCATCCCCAGCCGAACGCTAACAAATGATGAACTGGATTCCAATGAACCAATTTCAATGGGCACGAACTCGACAACACGCGTCAAACAAGCCATCAATAACAGCAAAAGTTACAAGTTGGTAGTACAATGTGAAGTCCACGAAATGAACAGACCCAAGCGACGGACGTCATCAGGTTCAATTTTGGCCAGGTACCTGCATAATTAACGCAGTGAGGACCTGTCCAGCGTTGGGTATGTTACCCCTGGCCACAGCTTCCATTTTAGCTGGGAGACCCTGCATAACTTCCGAAGCATTCCTATATTTCAGCAGGAGGGCGATTTCCATTACTCTGACGGCGTCATGCCTTGGAGGAGCGGCAGTAAGCAACAAACAGATGTATAACGAGGCCATATATACCTGGAAGTAAAATTGGAGAATGCCTCATCCAGTATGTTGGCCGCAGACAACCTGGTTTCAATGGCCTTTAAAGCAAGCTGAGATAATGATTCATCGTTAAGCTGTAGTTTTGAGTTCATATAGGTACATCAACACGAGTTTTATGGAGTTACCTTTCTAGCTAGTTGATACATCGACTTCGGGGAGCAATGTGGTGGTCCATCTTCTGAGCGACCCTGCTTGTCAGGTTCATTTTGAGACTGCAAATTTCCAAAGTTGACGAAGCCGGTGTAACAGTAATAAATAAAGGCGTGCCACCTGTAGACTCCATTCAGTGGCACCTGCAATACGAAAAAAAATCATACCTACGTCTTCCAGGCAACACCCTTTACGAGGACGACTCGAGACCCGCGCTTCAAGTTCTCGCGGCTCAAAACTGGTGCAGTCCTAACATCTTTAACAAACAATGGCCGATTGTTCAGCTGCTCTTGAAGATCAGCTGTAAGATTGACAGTGTCAATCTGACATATGTATGAAGTTCCAAGTTCCAGTACCTTCAATGCTTGAGAAAGATGAGATTGAGCCAGTATCAGTCGTGTCTAAGAAATAGTGATCAACAGGCCATGAGATCAAAGCTTCGATCCTGGAAATGAACAAACAAACCTTCGTGTAATTCATTGTTGACTGGTGTAGGATTGTTGTTATCCGTGACGAATTCATCGTCATCCAGATCACTGTCAGAATCGTATTCATAGCTCCCCAGGGAAGTGACAGGGAGGGTATCGCCTTCAGACAGTTCAAAGAGGGAGGTCATATCAAGGTCCCCTCCGGCTGCCAGCGGTACTCAGCAGCCGTGAATAAGAATAAGTATATCACGTACAAAAGCCTGGCAAAGTCGTTTGCAGCACAGCGGTGCTTGCATAAATCGGAGTTGGTTTGGTGACTTTGCCGAGAGACAACCGACGAGTATAAGCTTGGAATACTATGTCAAATGATGTTCCCGTCTTGAGCGATTGCTCGAGGGCACGAAGGGCAGAGCAAGCCTGAGACACTCTAGGCGCTTCAGCACTGGTAGGTGCGTCTGGTACAGACTCCACTGGTGCAGGGACATCGAATGGATTGCATGTCAGTGTTTTGGCTAAGGTGACCTCCAACGAGACAAGGACATTTCCAAGCTTCTCATCGACACAAGTGATCAGCAGATGATCATCACACGAGTCTGAACCGCAAAGTCCTAGGATCACGGCGATGGATGTGGTACGAAGAGATGGATCACCGTTATGATGTGATGGAAAAGAGACCGTGACCTTGGCTAGTGTACCACGCCATGCATCCGGACAACTACGGGAATTGAAGCATAGCTGGTGACTCTTCTTTCCCTGTTTACGAATAGTCAGGCACCAGCTAGAGCCCGCAACCTGAGGAGAGTGAAAGGGAATTTTTTTTGGAACAGCAGAAATAGCGGCTACAGGGCCCAACCGAAACAATGTCGTGATGGAGCCTGAAGCCGAGGTTTCTTGTAACTTTTGGATGATGATGGACATTGATTAGGCGCACCAGGACCTGAGACCACTTGTACTGAGGTTATAAGTGTGGGCATCCAGAGACCCCTGGAACTGTATCTTACTAGTACTGGGCCGCATGTTCCGACCTACAGTCCATTATGATCGTGGGTTGATCAAGGAAAATTCGAAATTCTTGTTGAGCAGGCAAACTAGCATCCACACAACAAGGTTTAAGGAACGTATAGAAATCCAGAAGACAGGCCCCGGGCCTGCGATAAATCACAAGTGCCATATCCTAATAATCGTATTCAAGAGTATTCACGTACCATGGCAAGATAGCCCGTTCATGAGCATCTCCACTATCCTCAGGAGATAGACAAAGAAGAAAAAAAGTATTCCTTCTAAGTGACATTGAGAGAAAAAAACGCACCAGAAATAATTGGAAGCTTGCAGCGTGTTGACCGGTAACTTCCGCTCTACTCTTCTGACCAGATGAAGTTCAAATTCTTGAAGAAGCTGCATGTCCCATCCATCTTTGTTGACCGCCGTACACGATGTGCTCGTGGAGTCCGCGTTGCCTGTCCAAGCGACCGAGTCTGCTCATCCTCTCAGCACTGAATATACTACAGTAACTGCGCAACTTGGTGCAATCATCAATACAACTCAGCGCCTAAATCATGCGTTGAATCAGCTTAATGAACTGCCCCTTGGCGAAAACGCCACCAAACTCGTGGCCCTTATGAAGGAGCACACGGCTTTGACATCCTCAATCAACCAGTCAGCTGCTGCCTCTGCTTCCCTCTCGTCTCTACTGCGAGAAGACAACAGAGCAATCTATCCGGACGCAAGTCCTCCACACCCTGCAAAGATCGCAGAATGGGGCCGTAATCTTGGCATGGAGGTTTTCGTAGATGGGTCGACGACTGTCCTCGCAGGCAAAGTACTTGTACTTGATATTGATGTCAACGACCATGTCGCTGTCAAGACGTCCTTCGCCAATAATGCAAACAGTAATGGGAATTCATCGGCAGCACCAGAGCTCGACGCCTTTCTCGCGCGGGAAGTGACCCGCTGGATCAATGCAGCAAGACGCGCTGCTGGCATGGATATGGCTGTCGGACACTCAAGAGAGGATCCTGCGATTGAAGCTGCACGCCGTAGCCGTGCAATACAAGAACACTTGCGATATCTCATGATGCTCGACGGGCTCGCGGCCGCTGAGAACGAGAAAGGACTTCGTTGGTTCATGGAGCCAACTGTAGTCTCAGATCACATCAGAAAGCAGGTTGCGTACGTTTGTTCTTTTGTCGTGCTTGTTTTATACTGATGCGTGATTATTCACAGTTCACCGCAGATGCAAAATCTTGACAAAATCTTGACACAGCATGCCCTTCCCCTACCCTATCTCGTTACTCCTTCGCTATCGTTTATAGTCTGGCTTTCACCCCGTGGATATCTTCAACTCCTTCGCAGCTCCCCGCCATCCAAACAATCGTCAATGTGGAACATTGACATCCCTATAGCACATCTCAAGACATCGCTGCTTGATACTCTAGAAGATGTCACTATCGCTACGCTAAGATTGGTCCCTTGCACTGCAGCAACAAGCTCCAAAATAAACTCGAGTGATGTCCCTGGAGATCACATGCTTCTGACTGCTCCCTCGCAGATGTGGGTACTTGACTTCACCACTAAGCTACCACAGCATGGCGTGGTGATGTCCCAGAATCGTATGCGTGTAATTCAAGGAATCGTCGAGTCTCGACCCATCGACCTGATCTCAATGGGGAGCATGTCTAGTATGGGCTCAATATCCAGTCTAGGTAACATGAGCAATATGAACTTTGGGGAATTCGGCATGGCGTCTTCACATGGAAGCGGAGGAACTGGTAGAAGTTGGTTTGACTTATTGGTCAGTCACTTTTCTCTACAGCCATGGGCATGTGCGTGCGCTGATACTTGCACCTGATCTAGGTCAATAAAAATTCATCAGCGGAATACTACACTGCAACTTATGTGTGTGGAACACGCGCAGGCACAAACACGCACTAATCATTGATCTAGAAATCACCGAATGACATCCATCCACCGCTACATCTTCGCCTTCTAGCACCTCCGGAACCAGGATTTCTCCTCCAGAGAGTTCCAGTGAGGAACGTTAAACAAGTCTTGCGAGTATTGGAGGCAAGTTTCATCTCGACCAAATCGTCAAGTCATACTTAGAGCATGTTTTTCCAGGTTGTTAGAGAACAATGCTGGCTCAACGAATCACTGAGTATACTCCAATGGTCGCCCGAAAATGCAGTGCTGAGATCATCCCAACAACCGTCAAATGAGGAACAAGGAATGCAACCAGAAGACGCGGCATCAGCCACTCTGCTCGCCTCGGTCCTTGCAGGAACAGTTGCGCCACAATCTATACCAGTGAATGTCTATCTCCCCTCCAGTGCTTTATCGGCATTGTCCCAACCAGTGGGTCCGTTTACATCACAACACAGCGGGCTTGGCATGGGTCCTCCTGCAAGCGCAGGCTCCAGCAGTGGTGCAAGCTTGTTCGGTCCGAGCGACTTGGAGATGGAGATGGACATTCCAGGACTGAGCATGAGCATGGGTGGGAGTATGGACATGGATCTTGGCATGGATCTTTCAACCCCTGCTGATCCTATGCAGCAGCCACATGGTCCCGAAATATGCCCTCCCCCGATGATCGTACTCACCTCTCCGAGGCCTGTGCCTAGGAATGGGCTGGTCGAAATCAGGATTACGTCGGGTGAAGGGCATGGGAGTGTGGTTGGGGAAAATGGTGTTTGGGTCGAAGCCTCTCCAGGTGTTGAGACAGGATATATGTCAGAAGTTGTGAGGCGGGGAGGGGTGTGGAGTCTTCCTGGGCGAGTGTGGAACAAAAGGTGATTGGCTGTTGTCTGAGATGAAAGGTTCAGCAAGAAAGTTGTACGATTATCTATGATTTCAAATGAAGCTTGAGGAGCACTACGTCCCATCGCTGATAATTTGGATCAACGGGATGTTAGGGGCTAATAAATAATATTGTTTTGATAAGTCATTTATGGTAATAGCTAATATTAATCTATTTGAACAAAATCATTTGGTACGAGCGCATAGTCCTCAATTCAATTTCAGACTTACTATCGAGCTTGCACTAATAGCTTCAGGAGACTGCTGTCTAAACATTAAGGATGGAGAGGGTACAATTTCAGCAGGAGCAGGTTCGTAACCCCTTCAAAGGCTTGACTTTTGACTGATGGAACCTAGATGCTCGCAGAGCTCAAGGATCTCGTGCAAAAAAGTTTGTTCAATCAAGTGCGTGCGCCTCATACTATATCCCTCCAATCTTATGCAACTTTGCTTCTAGTCTGAGGTTAAGCAGATTGTGAAAAAACGTACACAATTCGAAACCGCACTTGTCCGCCGCATCCCAAAAAAGAGTGACTTTCTGCGATACGCGGCATATGAGATGAATTTGGAGCACCTGAGACGGAAGCGCGTGGAGAGACTGAGTATGTGTTAACCATGTCCATATATCAAGGCTCCCGACTAGCTGACTGTTCCATGCTTTATTATCAGAACTGCCAAAGACCGCGCCGTCAGTATCAGATTACGCTCTTGTTCGCAGACAATTCCAGATATTTGAACGTGCGCTCAAGAAATTCAAGTCGGACGTGGGATTGTGGATACAATATATCCAAGTTGCAAAACGTGAGGGGGCCCGTTCGCTAGTGGGGCGCATAACAGCAAGGTGCGTTCAGCTTAAAATTTGGTTAGTCTGTCTATAACTGTGGATGTAGGGCCCTCCAGCTCCACCCAAGAACCCCTGCGTTATATATTATCGCCGCCTCTCACGAACTTAACCATATGTCCCCTGCCGCGGCACGCGCTCTTCTTCAGCGTGGTCTTCGACTAAATGCAGATAGCGTCGATATGTGGAAAGAGTACGTGCGAATGGAATTGGGTTTTGTTGAAGGGATGAGACGAAGGTGGAATGTGCTTGGAATTCATGAGGAAGATCACCCTATTGCTGAGGCAGAGACAGCTGCTGAGGAAGATATGGCATCACTAGCCCCAGAAGAGATAGCAGCTAAGAAGGGAGGTGAAGAAGGCGAGAGGGCACGGCAAGCCATCATGGATGGTGCTATCGTCAAGTCCGTGATTTCGAGCGCTGCAAAAGGTCCGTTTGTCATTCCTCTATAAAGATTCAAATTGAGTTAGATCACAGCTCTGCCTAGTATAAAGTTATTTTCAGCTCTCGAGGTCCTGATTCGTTCGTACCCCAGCCAAGAGCGCCTTCGCACGGCCCTCCTTGATCATCTATATAGTGTTCTTAAAGACACACTACAGGACGACCCTCACGCGGTGAAAATGCTGGCGACAAGAAAACTTCGAGAACTTACATCTAAGGAGAATGGTGATGATTCTGTCATGGCCGAAGATGAAGAATTCATCGATGCCCTTCAAGCTGCAAATGAGTCTTTCTCCGTGGCTGTTGGGGGCACGAACGCCCCTGGCATGGCTGATGTTTATGTTGAATTTATAGAGGAATGGTGTAACTTGCCCTCTCTGGATCCGAATTTAGTGAGTCTCGTCGTGCAGCTCTTGTGGATTTCAGCTTAGCCGGCAAAACTAGCGTGCTTATCTTGTAGCTTCCCTGCGGAAACTTGCCCGACAGCCGAACGCGCCGCCTTTGTTGCAGGCTGCACACATGCGACTGACATCGTGTTCCAAGACTCCATAGTTTTGCACGTAGCTATACCGCAACATAAAATAACTTTGATACACTATGGTCCAAGTGGCACCGGATTTACGGAGAGTATGGCCGAGATCAGGACACTATTGAAAGTGGGAGAATCAGTCCATCGAAATGATCATAGGTATTTGTTTGGCTAGTTCTCTCCTCATGACGAGATGTACGCTTGGTAATCGATGTTACATAGCACTGTGTACCCACCATCCATCATGTCATGAACATTAATAGTGGGACGACAGCGCCTTCTTGTGCTCCTACGGCGGACAAGCACTGGATTTGCCTCGAGATCAGGAAACTGGTACAGGAAAAATTATTAGAAGTGATCCCGGAAGGTCTTTACTTCCCGACGATCTCACCCTGCTTGATGCAATCTCATCCCAATACCATCGGATGCACTGCCGGATGCTATGGAACCCTTGTAAGCCCTCTTTATATGAAGGCCTGCACCATACGTGTTGCCAGAATAGCTTTCCTTTGTCCCCTCAATAATGCCAAGATTCAGGAGGACCTTGTTTGCCTTAATGTCTTTGGCTGCCCTCCCTCTGACTTGGGCTACAGTCAATGGTCCTGTCATTTCTGCCAACTTTCCTGATCCTGCCATCCTTGTGACTAGCGGGGGTACTTACGCATTTGCAACTAACTCTGGCAATATCAACATTCAGGTTGCAACGTCAACTGATGATGGTGTAACTTGGGAGTTGGAGTCTGGTGTTGATGCACTCCCGAATGTAGGATCTTGGGCAACTGCAAACAGTACTTGGGCGCCTGATGTCATTGATAGAGGGGATGGAACTTTTGTAATGTGTAGGTCTCGATCTCACACGCCTCAGATGACATTGAACTAAGGTGTGATCTACAGATTATGCCGCATGGTCGACCTTATACAGTACTCATTGCGTAGCAGCTGCTACTTCCATCACCGCTGTCGGACCGTACACTCCCGAGTCGCATCCCATTGCCTGTCAAACTCAAGGTGGTGGTGCAATTGACCCTGCGGGGTTCCAGGATACCAACGGTACACGCTACATCGTGTATAAGGTGGATGGGAGCAGTCTTGGAGGAGGTGGACCTTGCGGGAATGCTAACGGAGAATATTCTACTCCCATCATGCTTCAGCAGATGGAAGCTGATGGTGTCACGCCCACTGGGGAACCGGTGCAAATTTTGGATAGAGGGCAATTTGATGGACCCCTTATCGAAGCCCCAGTGCTTATCTTGCATAACGGAACGTAAGTCGAGATAACTTGAACATGTACTACGTGGATCCCGGACTGACCACAAATATCATAGCTACGTGCTTTTCTTCTCCTCGAATTGCTATAATACCGATCTCTATGACATTTCATATGCAACTGCACCATCCATTTCCGGCCCATACACCAAGGCTTCGTCGCCGTTACTTATAACTGGTGATGATGACCTTACGGCACCTGGAGGTGCGACACCACGCCTTGATGGCGAGTTCATGGTGTTTCATGCAACCGTCAACACAAGTCCGTTGACTCGTTATATGTACACGGCGACTGTGACGTGGAATGGGACTATTGTGAGCACATAATCAAATTACGATGGCTTTGAGAAAATGTACGGATTTTTATACACGATTGACTATTTTATACTTGCTTGCTTATGCCGAATCTAAGCTGAGCAACATAATGACGGTGGAGCACACCATGCCTCATCTGGTAGTTACTTATCACTCCTGTTCATTGATCTGACTACAACAAACGCTTCTCCCTGTAGATACTCAATGAACACGCGTGTGCCACCTCTCAAGATCTCAGGCCTCCGAAGTCGGACTGAAAACCTCACCCAGCACGAATACCAACTGCATCAGTAAAACCGCTGAAATGAACGCTTAGCTTAAGCGCGTTACGAACACTTACGAATGCTTACGACTTCAGTAGCGCACTCGTCTGATTGGTGGAGAGCTCAGACGATGATTATGTTCTACGGAAATGAATGCGATCAGGCTAGATTGTGCTATCTTACTTATCAACACGATTAGAGCGCAGATAATCAATTGTATTGTAGGCAAATGCAGATCTACATCAAACCACTGTGCATTGTATTGAAAACCTCCTTGTCCGAAAATGTATTCAAGTAGTATTCATCACAGATCTCCATTGCGTTCGTAGCATTTATCGTGCGATCCATCTTCGAACCATACATAGGGATCAGCTCAACAGCACAGGTAACGGCTGTCAGTGGAATGATGCCGCCAGGTCGGAAGATCCGACCTGTTCGATCCTGATGGTAGATGCGTTTCACGCGGTACATGCCAGCGCTTGCATCCTCAGTAGGCGTCGCTGTGATCTGAAAGTACTGAACGTATAGAAGGGGCGAGTCTTTAAGATAGTGGGGCAGGGTGTAACCTTTCCTAGCAATAGCTTGAAAAACACAACGCACTTGCGCAATGTATGTATCTGCACAGGCTTGTAAGCACATGGATGACGCCAGCAGTTGTATACTTACCATCATTGCCAGGCAATTGCACGAGAACTGCGTCGCAATTGCCCATAGGGAAGGTCTCTGATGGTGGAAACGCTTGGACGATTTGACTCGGCATCACAACTCGCGACTGGAAGGTAGAGTGTAGCTGTAAACGAAACTTGTTCCACGTCCTGACTGAATCTCGCGCACACGTCCAGGCTGTTGTTGGGGTGTTCTGGGACGAGTCATTGATATATTCCATGAGCACTGCGCCGAAATTTGGGAGAGAGTAGATAGATTGCAGATCAGTGATAGGAAGTGACTTTCGATCAGGAGAGATGGTGACATGAAATGCGGCATTGGCTTCAACAGAAAGTATTCCCTTCAAGAAATGGTTGCGGACAGGTCGCGGGCCATGGAAGCGATTCTGCTCGCCGGGAAGCACACGCGCTATCCAGGCCAAAGTAGGATCTGTCTCCGTGACGATGTTGTCTTCGATTGCGATGGCATTCACGAGCGGTGTACCATGCGAATGCAAAAGGGTATAAAGATTGAAGCGCCGCATGGTTTCGTCGCGATTGAGAATTTGGACGACCTGTAAGGTAAAATTCCTGGCTTGCCGACTAGTCCTTTCGAATGGAAATTTGCAGTGTGTGATCAGGAGTCGCTCACTAACATCCGCTGAGTACTGTATCAAACCTCCGAGATCTCTGATGGACCCCGCAAAGCTGTGAAACAACTCCATTTTTGGGATGAGGAAGTTGTCAATCGTTCCACTCTTCCCTCTCCGAGCACCGGCATCGAGTATCGCTTGCTTCAGCGTATGAAACATGTGGAGGGAGTGCACCATAGCATCAATGGACGAGTCAGTGTGCACGGGGCTCTGTGCCTGGTAAATGAATTCGGTGAGGAAACGAATGGCATGGACGAAATCGGGAGTTGTGTTTGCTGCACCAGCGACTGTGGCGACAATGGTCCGTTCAATGTCACAATGCTCCCGGCACGTCATCTGGTTGATGTGGGAGACACCAGACCCAAAATGACGTGTTCCGACTCGTTTATGATGAGCCTTGTAGCGAGCATCAAGTTCATCCTCCCCGACAACTTCCTTGCACCATTTTAAAGGATGGTCACCAAAATATTTGTGACAGGTGTGAAGCAGTTCGCCGGGCAAAAAATGACTTGGATCTGCATGCGGCCAATCTCTCCAATATGGCTGATGAACGCCGCTAAGCAGCAATGCTTTAGCTTCGCGTTGGAAGAGTGGTACATTCCATGGATCAACACGTTTGCATAGGTCGTAGATGAGCTTGAGCGTATGGTCGCCTGTTCGACGGGGGAAAAGTTGAGCACTACCAAAGTCGCTTTGGGTTGCCATCGTAAGTGGTGAAGCATTTTTTGAGACACAAGCGATGAGCTGTGCCTCAGGGAGATCAGCTGTATATGCGACGAGCGGAGTGAAGCAATGCCGGATATAACCCATGGAGTCCGACATGTATTCACCGATCCTCGCAGCCACCTTGCATTTGGCGAATATCATGTCCATGCACTTGTGGAACAGGCGAGCATGGAGGAGCGTTTGGAAATCCGCGTGAACATCGAACTTCGGAATCGGAATGAATGCAACACAGCGCCATGCATGAGCGGTGGCCTTCATACGAACTTCAGATTGAATATTGGCAATCGTAAGGAACACCGGGTGCATTTCTAATCCTCCCGACATCCTGGTTACGGGCGTCTTGTCGGATGCGAGGATGATTGGTACCATAGTGGCACCTTCTGGAAGGTTGTTCTGGCATAGAACACTGAGTGATACCACTTTACTGCTAATAAGGAGCCCTACCTGAATATCGAAAGCCATGTTAGCTGTAAAAAACTCAGCCATATTCGCGTTCTGAGCCAGTGATAACAATGTGAGGATCATACATCATATGATTGGAAAAGATCGGGTTTGCAAAGAGATCTTTGACGACTTCGAGACCGTCACGCCAGATTAGCTCGATTGGCCTCGCAGTTGTGTAGTTGGTAAACTCGAGTGTCGTTGATCGCCACTCTGGGCCGCTTGGTAGTGCATCAATCCAGCCAAATAGTTGATCTGCACTCTTGAAGGATGGCCTGGGTCTATCTTTGAACTTGTGCGAAGCTCAGAGTTAGTACAGTCAAAACTGCAGAAACAGATAATGCTACTCACCCAGTCTAGTTTCAGAAATTTGTTGATATCGGTTTGTGTCAGCCGTTGAACGAGGAACTCTGCTAGCTGCCATTCAGCCTGATCAACAAAAGGGTACGATGGATTTATTGCTCTGCGGCGCTTTTGATCTAAGTCGTGATCCTCCATTTCCTGCAAGATATTTCGTCCCCGTCCAAAAATGTAGCCTGACTTTGAATGGTACTGGCCAGTGACTTCTTCTCGGTCGTTGTCTCCCCGTTGGAAAGCTGGAGGGATTGGCAAGCGGTAAGTGGGCTCTCTGTTCCAACAAGATTGCGTCTGATCATTGAGATGATCTACAACAGCAAGATTTGACGCAAATTCTAGTCCGCAATTCGGGCATATTGTAGATGTCGGACCACTGACAAAGTTGGTCAGTTACTGCTGTACCATTTGATGCAACTCACCTGTGACAATTGCGTATTTCCAGACCAGTTGCAGTGCACCCCTCAAGTTCCGAGTCCATTGCGGTGCGTTTGGAGTGAGGAAATTCACCAAGTTCTTCAAACTCCGCCAGCTTGTATTTTTGCTGTACTACACTCACCACTGCAGAGATAACAGATTATATGTCTATGATTCCAAGTTCTTTCAATAATGTTCTTTCATCGTCTGCGTCTACAACATCAGGTTCCAGCGGTCGAACTCGAGTTGACTCCCTCCAAACTCCTGACCCTTCCAAAATAACTGAAGGGAAGGTCATAACTTTGACCACAGGTCTCACGTCTCTCGAGCCCCCCCCCCCTGCGCTCAGAGACCTCCTCTCCGGTTTCAAACCATTCTGATGCCAATTCACTTATTGGCAGCACTCGCAGTTCCCGGCGTGGAATGCGACCTGCAAGCAGGAATCACCCATACCTGCATCGTGGTGCTCCTAGTACCCAACTGGAGCTGCGCTTTGCCCTGAAGGGCATCCGAGGAAGCCCTGACATCAAACTTACTGATGCCATAAAGGTAAGAAGGCCCTTGTTTTCAGGAACTAATGATTTTTATTCAACTATTGCAGGGGCGGGACGTTTTCTTGCGTGGTCTCTCGTCTTTGTCAAGTGACACGATAACGTTGGCAGCACACGCCAAACATGCTGCGCGAGAAAACCACCGTCACAAGGTCAAGCAACTCGGTTGGGAGATTCAAGAGGTAGAATACAACAAACTACTCCTCAAAGCATTTGAGCGGAAGGAGAAGAAGCAACTGAAAATGGCAGAGTCGGATTATCACCTCTTCAAGAAGCTCTTAGTGGGACGAGATCTTCCGGCTCTCCAGCAGGATGCTGAATACCTGGAGGAATCGCACGATTCTGAGCTCGATTCCCTAGCTACGGCTGACGAGCAGCTCTATCAAATTTCATCTCTATCGCCACTTGTAACAAAATATGTCTCTCACAGGCTACCAAACAGTAGTGACACGGAGTATGAGCAAGGTGAGGAGGAGGCTGACAACGGGGAACGATCCGACGATTCCGATTATTCTGACGCTGAATTGGAAGGTACAAAGCTCTATTTTCCTAGATTATAAAAATAACTTACAAGCTTACCCTCTCAGATTGATCATTGCTCACAAGTGCCGTCAGACACGCAGCCATCGATAATCCTTTCTTGGTACCATTCTATTCGCGAAATTTCCCATCTGTTTCCCATCTGTACATTGTACTATATCGGATTGAATAGTAGGAGTTATATTTCATCGATCGACGATATGATAAAGTTTGCGCTCGCTGACAAGTTGTGACTAACTAACTGTAAGCAACACTTGACTAGCACCACGACATCGATGGACCCCCCTCCGCCATCAGCAAGATCTACTGGCAGGCGAAAGCCCAACGCTGCAAGGGTACGTGTTTGCAATCCTGTCGCCGATGGCCTTACTGATCAATCTATAGAAGGGTTTTCGGCCAGGGATTCACTCGGACCTTAATCCCAGTGGCCAGTCGGTTGCCAATCAACTCGGCTTACCTGGTGATCGCGCAACGACACCCGCAGAACATCGCGTTCAAATGCCCATCTCGCAGCAGCATCATGCACAACCTGAGCCCCAGTACCATCAACCCCCGCCGCCGCAATATTCCCAGCCTCGACACCAAGCTCCGCTCATGCACCATCAGCAACCCCCGCTCGTGCACCATCAGCAATTCCCGCCCATGCACCATCAGCAACCCCCGCCCATGCATCATCAGCAACCCCCGCCCATGCATCATCAGCAATTCCCGCCCATGCACCATCAGCAACCCCCGCCCATGCATCATCAGCAACCCCCCAGCCCCCCCATGCATCATCAGCAACCCCCGCCCATGCACCATCAGCAACCCCCGCCCATGCACCATCGGGACGAGGATAGAGCACTGGCCGACGCATATGCTGGCGCATTTGCCCTCCTCCGCGCACCATCGTCAAGGCAGCCATCACAACCAGATTTGGTCGGAAATGGGTCTTTGGCCCCATGGGGGGCCGCGCGGCTTGTCGCTCTGGCCCCCCTTCACTTGGGAGAGAACACCCGTGGAGAGAGAACCCAGGGTGTTATTCGAGTAAGTTATTTTTGAGTGTTCGTTTTTGAGTGTTTACCTATGATATACAGACTCAAAAGCATGTCTCCGACAGCGGGAGACGACGACGTAATGCGAGACTTCCTCCCACGCCAGAGCTACCATCAGCTGATCCTGCCGCTGCACCTGATTTGCCCGAGGGGTCTGGGTCAATTGTGGACCCGCCCATTTCGACCCGCATAACGCTCTCGACGAAATCAGCCCGAAAGTTGAAAGAAATCGCGAAGAATAGGCTTCGGGTGCTTCTACTGAACGTGGATGCGGAAACAGATGGTGCCCCGAATGATGAGCTTCGCGACAAGATGATACGCAATGCGTTGCAAGCCGCGAAAATTGAACAATTTGGTCAAGGTGTGTTTCATTGCTTTCCGAATCTCAAATGTACTGATACTGAGGTCATAGCGGAAATCGAGGACATCAAGGGTATCAACAATTTTATGGTGGCCGCAATAGCAGATATGCGACGCGGGTTCAAAGCTCACGCGATGAAAACAGTTCCAGTTGGCTATGGTCTGCGCCTGCCATTGTTTTCGGAACAGGACGAGTCAGCACATAGGCAAGATAGAGTCAGTGTTCTATTAGAGGATTCAAGATACCTTCACCATATTGAGGTAACAGTCTCTGTCAATTCAGTATGGTGTCCAGCTCACTCGGCCACAGACCGTGGGTGACACGGAGGTTCGACACTTACTGGAGAACGAAGTCCTCGTCAACATGGTCATTGACCTTTTGAAAGATGGCCTAGCGGACATTGTAAAGGGCCCACTCGATCGTTTATTCGCAGTATGTGCCGCAACAATACGCTGTGTGCTATATGCCCATCGAACTGGTCATTTCGTTGATTTCTCTGTAAATTCCTCTATTTTTGATGATGCTTACCACGAGATTATGGACTACATTACTACAACTATTCATCCTTCAGATACTTTGCGTGCAAGATTCGAGGCTGTACAGCAGGAGGTTCGCAAACGAGTTTCTGATTAGTAGTAGATTTGTGCCATACCCACTGCCCGCATCTAATCAATGATAATCCGGACTGATTTCACGCTGATAGTGACAATTGTTTCCTCGCTTCCTCGCTTGTTGCATTTGTTCTCCGTTGCACACATTTTTGGTCTAGTTACATGCTAAATACAGCTCGTCCGAGACTATACTAAATAGGGATCATAAAACGATGCTTGAACGACGATTTAAACTCTTGATGTGAGCTCACAGTTTAAGGTCTTGCATTCGAGTTGCTTGACTGCCTCCGAACTTTGTTAATACATGTGACTTGTGTGAATGCTGACTGCTGTGAGCCGATTGCACCGGAGGGATAGTACTAGTGTATGAAATGTGGACAACTTGGTCTCTTACTCGTGCAATCGTGTACGAGGAAATTACATACATAATTCCTAACTGATCACCTGCACAGATGACGAACACCAGAGTCATAGTAGTGGGTGCTGGCATCGCTGGTCCCGTTCTTGCGATCTTCCTGAAAACCAGAGGCTATGACCCCATCATATATGAAAGACTCCCGAGTCCAGGAGAGGGTGGACTCAGCTTCATGTGAGTACGCATGCCTCTTCCTTATGATTGTCGTACTAAACGTGACAATGTACGCAGACTGCAGCCCAACGGTCTCCGTGTCCTGTCACTCATCCCAGGCCTCCTTGAACAGATCCCCGGGCATTCTCCAGATAGAATGATTCACTGTTCCTCCTTGGAAGGAAAGGAGGATATCCTTGTCGACCTTGATATCTCGCCAGATACAATGCGAGAACGTTTTGGCTTCCCTCTGATCGGAGTCCGGCGTGCGGAGTTTCAAAGGCTCTTGATCAACACGGCCGAGAAACATGGTATTGAGATCAAATGGGGCCACCAGGCAACTGAATTTGAACAAAGCGAGAACGCAGTACAAGTCACGTTCGCGAATGGCATCAAGGACATAGCGAGCTTTGTCGTAGGCTGCGATGGGCTGCATAGCAATACCCGAATTGCACTCTTTGGGAAAGAGAAGGCAAACTTCACTGGATTGGCACAGGTGCGCTCGTTTTGGTGACGGTCCTGAGGCGCAGGCTGATATGGAAGTGATTTTCAGTGCGGCGGACTATCTCCAACACCACCTGCTCTTCGGGGAAAGTTTGCGATGATCAATAATTACGGTAATGGTCGCCATATGATTTCGTATCCTGTTGCGGAGGACCAGTGGGCATGGGCGTAAGTGACATCCTACTTACTGTCTATGGGTTTGATTATCCTGGGATTCAGTATCACTACTCGGGAAACTGAGGTAAAGGAGGACTGGAAAACACAACACGTAGAACAACAGAACGAAATCCGAAGAGGACCCCTCTCTGATTGGGCTTTCGGGGCCGGAGACTTGGTAAAGACTGGCCAAAATATCGTAAAGGTCGGTTCACTCTCGCGACCAACCTTTAGTTCTCTGAAATGGATGGCTTGCTGGCAGTATGGTCTCTACGACCGACCTGAGCTCAAGTCGTGGTTTAAAGGAAGAATCGTTCTTTTGGGTGATGCAGCTCACCCTACGAGTCCAGTATGTAATTTTATCATCGAGTTTCATGGCACTTATCGATATCATCGTTACCTAGCATCTGGGACAAGGCGCTAATCAAGCGTTCGAAGACATTTACCATATCATGCGGCTCTTGAAGAAATACAACCCTTCTGCTAGCCAGCCTTCAACAGAGTTGTTGTCGCAGGTCTTCATAGATTATCAAGATCTTCGGCTACCACGTACATCCGAGCTCGTGAGGGGGGCTAGACAGCAAGGGGAGGCTCGGGTTGTCGAAGGCATCGATGCATGTAGGGTGAGAGATGAAAAAATTCGGATAGTGTTCCATGATGATGCGGCGAAGATGGCACAATCTAACTTGTTATCTGGACCGTTCAAGGACAGCGAATTGTAGTTAACTTATGTATGTCCTTCACTAGTACAGAATTCGAACGGGATTTGCTGCGTTGTGTTCGACTGTGCCATAATAACGCGACAACAACAAATAACTTGTGTCTGAGCGTGTTAATCTGGTTTCATCAAGAAAATGTTACTCCGAGTCGCGTGCTTTGGCAAAAAAATATGTATCCCATCGATGAGTGGTGAGAAGGGTTGCGCTATTAAAATTATGTAATTTTAGAAGTTTCCTCCATGACTTGAGGCATGCACATGGTGAGTCGCCATGATACAATCTACCACTGAGCGCAAGTCTGTGCCCCAGGCTTCTACCCTATACAACGCTCAAAACTCAAATTTACCAAGATCAAACTCTGGAAAATTTCAAAATCGAGTTGAATCATCCAGTCCTTGAACGACGAATTGCGATTGTTACTGCCAATACTTAGGTTCACGCTGGAAACTGTATCGCTAGTTTTAATGTTCCGTCTCAGGTGCGTGCGTATATATAGCATGCTTGCTTGGAACTCATGATATAGAATTAGTAATGTCTTCCTCCATTCCATCATCAAGGTTTGACCGGGAGACCTCACCCTGAACCCACTTTGCAACGAGGTGTTTGATCCTCCAGCTAACTGGTTCCTACCTTCCGTAACCATCTACGTTCCGACTGTCTTTACCAGTCTAGCAGTCCATCTTCCACCTCTTAAAGTGAAACGTGTCTCATCACCGGCTGGTCGGGCGTAATGCAACAACCTGTGATATACAACATCTCTAACGATCTGATTTAGTGTTTACACCGTGACGGAGCTTAAGTCACATTTCACTTTAAAATGTTCAACACGAAATAAATCCATATCAACTCGCATTTCCAAAGTTATTTTTCATTACATCCGTTCGAAATCCGTTCGAAATGTTGCATCCATATCGTGATGTTTTCCAGACTTTTCCCGCCTATCGGAAGGGATCGCGTCCAGTTACGCCTGATGCTGACCGTTCTTCTGAGTCCCATCGCAGACCTGGCTCGCAGCACAGACCGAAGTTGAAATACCAGCTGGTATCCCAAACAACCAGTGTCAGATCGGATAGTGATGAGGAAGCTTCATCACTGCCTTTAGTTTGGGTGAGTGATCCTCTACGTTCTATCTGGCGGACAAAATCAAACAGTAGTACAGGTTGAAGTCCGGGACAACATTATCCCGCCTCACGCTGTTCCATTCACCTCGGATAGTCATGGCCCTCTTTTTATTGCCCGAGCTTATCTAGAAGTAAGTCTCATGCAATTACACTACAATTTGCGACTCATGAATGCAGGGAACATTTTGTAAGTCTGTTCCATCAGGCATCATCTTGCTCATTTGATGTCGCCCGCAACAGGTCTAGGCAAGGCTGGTCCTCAACTTACTAGCGGTGCCATCATTAGCTATGGAAGTCAGGATATAACGGTAATAATCACAATCTCTGAGGTCCTCGTCCTGCTGAGCGTATATGACCTAGGTGGCCCGGTATGATGTACTCGTGTGCGCCGGACGGCTGAGTTGGGGGATTCCACATTCTTCCGGGGCAGGCTTTATGCGCCAGGACACCATGATTACAAGACATGACATCAACTCCGATATTGAACGAACCCTCATGTATCGTCAGGATATTTCTGAAAACGCCCACAATCTCGCAGATAATCACGACAGGGTGGATCACGGCCAGCGTGCGGCAACTCCCGATCCCAACCCCGCCATTATCGCATCCCATACTAGAACCCAGCGCAGCAACTCTACATATGGCCTCTCGTCAAAAACTTTAGACGTTAACATGTTGAAAGCCTGCGATACCTCCATTTCTCTGAAATCTCCTCTCGAACTAACGCAGCGGTCACGATCACTCCCTCCCCGGGCTAGAACTTCAGCCGAGTCAAGCCTTGATGCCAGGGCGGAACTGGGTACTTTTCAGCGCGACATTGCGCAAAGCGCTAGTGTCACTACGGTCATTACGTCTGCCACTCGTAGACCTGAGTATGCGCCGGTGTCCCGCCCAAATGCGGTAGCGTCATCAAAACCTCGAGTTCGCCTCGATTGCGCCATTCAAGAATCTCACAGGCTCTCCACGTAAGTTGACAGTATTAACTGAGGGATTCTTTTTAATTAACGAGGAATTTTCACAGCGTGGTTAGTGCTGCTGAATACTCTGCAAGTGAGCAACGCACTCCAGTCCGTTCGTTTGGTGGATCCAAAATCACAGGGTTCCGCGAGGCGATGAATGTCGATGACTGGAGTGAATATAGCAGTCCACCGCCTGAACCTCCAGCTCAATCGGCACATGCCGGTTTTGTCCAGGATGTCTTACCGCTTCGAAGATATCCAAACACTGGTATCACTGCTTCCACGCCTGTGGATCACCACACCACACAGTTCTTGTCGACTTCGGCAACGAACTACTCGTTGGCAAGCAATACCATTAATCCTCGGTTCATTAATAGTTCTAATCCCTCGCTGAAGGACGACTCTCAGGTTACCTCCACGCATCGCTCATTTTCCTCTCACAAAATGTCGAGTGATTCGCCACTGCCTCGAACATCTACAGCTTTCTCTCGTGGTACTTGGGCAGGCACCCAAGGAAGCCCCGTTTTAGGTCTCTGCACCCTCGATGACGTCAAAGGCACGAGCATATATGAGTCAAAGCCAGCCAACTATCCCGTACACCCTCCCGCAGACAATATCGGCACCTCTGCCGATTTAGGCGATTTTGGGCATGTCGACCAGTATGATCAATGGGCATATCCCGTTGCCAAGGCGCATGTATGGCAAAGTGATGTGCAGGACACGAAATATCAACCAAAGGATAGCTCAAGTCATGTTTCACGACCCCCTACATTTCCATCTACCGAACCACCCTCAGCACAGATCTCTCTCGTTAGCGATCGTACAGACGTTGATCTACGTTCGACTCATTATTCAAATCATGGCATGTCAAAGAGTCCTACCGAGACGTCCTCTGAGGACGGAAGCATGACCACCTTGGAGGAGCAGGTGTGTGGTTGTGGCTTGGAGCGTGTATGTGACTCCGAGCATTGGCAGCTTGTCTCACGAACAACTTTTGGCATCGAGGCGCAAACTTGTGATGGTGCCGAAAGTGATGTAGTCACCAGCGAGCTTCCCGCGCCAATCGCCATCAATCCGTCGAACGCTGGGATCGTGACGGGCGAAGTCGATGTTCTGCCTGACCCTGTGCCACACGTCACTTCTATGTCTCAAATAGCTAGAGACAGCAGACAGGGGCACAGTCATGTCGTAGTGCAGGAATACGCCCTCGAACGAGAGCTCATTCGAGAAAATCGGGTCGCAGTTACTGCACTATCCCAAACTACAAGCACGGCAGAGTTAACATCGGATGTTGCCTGTCGTGAAAACTTAGTAGCTGAAAAATCTGCACCGTTGTCGACTATTACGTGTACTCCGAGCTTGCCTCCTTCACAACGGCAGTCTGCCCAGACAATCTCATGTAGCGACGACTCAGTTACGGACGACAAGCTCCGTAGGCATCGTGAGTACGCAGACTCATCTGTCCTTGCCTGCGTGTCTCTGGCACACGAGGAAAACAATACTTCAACCAGAATCATTGCGGTCGAGAGCACACAGAAGCCAAGTCCAGCATCAAATGACTGTCCAAACACATTTTTCACTGAAAGTACATTGACGACAGTTAAGAGTCCCTCTCTGACTGTTGACAGACACGAGGAACCCTATAGTCAAGATGCAACCAAGGACAAACCTAGTCAAGTCTCCTCGTACGTCTTTCCCGCGCCGTGTTTACCCTCGACTGAGATTGTCTAGCACTTTGAAACTTGATGAAGATGTATCCATAGATAATATGCGCCAAACTGTGGAGGGCAGAGAAGACTATCGTGAAAAAGGGACGGAAAGTGAGGTTAAGTCAAACCTAACATCCTGTTCCCGGACTGTCGGGATGGTCGAAGGATACATGTCGAAGTCTGTGGTATTGGACAATGATAGGGGGGTGAATAAGGGCGCCGATGGTGCCGCGTTGTCCCTGTCCTCTGTCAATCCTGAGTCAAAAGTGTTGTCTCCCTCGTACGTGATACCCTCCGAGTTTTTTTACCTTTTAATAAATCTCTTTTAGCGGACCGAGTGTCCCGCAGGACTCCGGAACGGAAACTGATCGTATTGAATCTGGATACGGACACCGGTCTTTAGGCGTTGAGACAGTGTCAAAGATTTCCGTCCAGATATCTAGCCATGATTTGACTGAGAGCAGTGAAGGATACGTACAAAGACAGTCAGCCCTAAACGTATCCTTTGGCGACGAGCGAGTTACTGACGATAAGCTCAACAGGGGTCATGAAGAGGTAGACTCCTCTGTGCTCGTCCGATCGCCCTTGGTACCTGCAGAGAATATTGGAACACCAGCATCAGCCACACGAAGAGCTGTCGAGAACACGCAGAAGTCGAGTCAAGCATCCAATGATCTTACGGACTCGTCTTTGCCTGAAGGCACGTGGATGATGGGTTAGATTTCTTCCTCAGTAATTGATCTGAAAGGCTGATCATATGGTCAAATTATAGGTACTACTCAAGGTTCCTCGTACGTACTTCCTACACCGTGTTTGCCCCATTAACATTATCCAGTACTCCAAATGTTCACGTCGAGCACGAACGAGTGCTTGAATCATCAGATTATATGCACCAGGATTTGGATGGCAGAGGAGAGTATCACGCACGGCAGGCGAACAGTGAGGTCACGCTTCGAACGAAGTCTTATTCTAGTGCCGTCGAGAGTCTCGGGCAATCCGAGAGTGCGATGGTATTGAACGCTAGTGGCCGATCAGATGAGCAACCTAATCAATACTTTCCGTGTGTAGTCCCTATTCTGCTTATTTTGTTTTCAACTAAGGCTTTCCAGCGCCCCGAAATCCGACAGCAACGAACAGGCAGACTGTGTGCACCAGACTTCAGAGAGTAGAGGCCTTCATGAACTGGAGACGGAAAGCGAGCTTATGATATCGCATTCCCATTCTGTCGAGCGATCCACGTCAAAGACTGCAGTATCGAAAAATACTACGCAAATGGATGAGGACACCAATGTTCCTGCATTGCCTCCGTCCCAGATGACCACGCTGGCTCCTTCGTAAGTGATACACCATCTAAGCATCTTATATTGGAATGAACCATTTTCAGTAATCCGGGTATCCTACAGAGTATGGGAGTCGATTTTATACAGTCCGGGGTTGAAACAGGTTCAATTCATCTTGTGCAGACCTCGAACCATGATTGCTCGACTGAGAGCAAAGGGTATCGATCACCCCAGTCATTCTCTTGTAGTGAAGAGCCTGAAGCAACCTCATCAGTCCACGTCTGTCCGTCCTTGGCACCAAATACTTCAGATTTACCGTCATCCATGGACAAAGCAGTCGACAACTTGCAGAAGTCGAGTTTGGTCTCTAATGAAATTTCGAGATCATCTATCACATCAACATGTCACAATCAGTCTCTTGTCGCTAGCACGCATGAAGAATCCTGTGGCCGAGATATGACCAATGGCCAGCTTCAAAGTTCATCGTAAGCACTTCCTATTATGCTTTTACCCTCGACTAAAATTGTCCAGCTCTCCAACACGTGAGACCGACAAAGAGGGTGGATTGGCGGATCACGTGCACCAGGCTGTCATAGAGTTGAGATGCGAGCCCCAGTCTTTAGACATCAACAAGGTTTCAAATACTTTCGAATCGGAGCACACCTCGAGTCATCACTCGCTTGAGAGCAGTGAATGGCACACCCAACGACAGTCAGTGTAGACATTCTCTTCTAGCGATAAGTCGGTTGCTAATTTGGAGGGCAGACGAGACTATCATGCAGAGGTTACGTTCAAATCGAAGTTCGATTCCAACACTGTCGAGAGCGTCAGGCAATCAGAGAGTGCCATGGTATCAAACGCTGGTAGCCAATCAGATAAGGACACTTACAGCAATATCTCATCACTGTCATCAACTTACGCCGAGCGCCAGCTGTCTCTTTCGTAAGTTGACAACCTCGTTCAAGTTTAACTTCCTAACAATACACCCTTTACAGTGAACCGGACATTCCACAGGGTGCAGGAATCAATCGCACTCAGTCTGTACACGAGCACCGGTCCTCAGATATCAACGTAGCTTTAACAACTTTTGCGCAAACCTCAAGCCAACACTCGATCGAGAACGGAGTTCAGAGTCCTCTAGCCACTATACAAGAAGGACTTTGCTGCCAATATGTGGCGGTAGACCAGCCTTGTCAACGCTCTTCGTATGTGATCCTCCTGCTGTTTATCTTGTGCTCGACTGATGAGATCCAGCGCTTCGAAACTTGACGGCAACGAACCAGCAGAGTATGTGCACCAGACTGTAGAACGCAGAGCAAGCCGTTATGAACTGGAGACAGAAAGTGATGTTATGACATCACATTCCGATTCTGTCAGAACTGTCGAACGATCCACATTGGAGACTTCGGGCTGGACATCGAAAATTCAAAGTCAAGTGGACGAGGACACCAACGTCCCTACATTGCTTTCATCCCGGATGTCTACACTATCTCCTTCGTAAGTAATACACTATTTGAGCGCCTGATACTGAGATAAACATCCTCCAGTGATCTGGGTATCCCTCAGGATGCCGGGGTCTATTTTATACAGTGTGGACGCGAAAACCAGTCTTCCGGGGTCAAAACAGCTTCGACTGATCATGTGCAGACCTCAAACTATAGCTGCTCAATTAAGAGCGAAAAGTATCGATCAGCTCAGTCATCCTCTCATAGTTTCGAGCATCGATCAATCTCCCCTGTCCACGTCTCTCCTTCCTTGGCACAAAACGATTCAAATTCACCGCCATATATGTACAAAGCAGTTGAGAACACGCAGAAGTCAAGTTCTATCTCAAATGAAATTTCGGTGTCATCTTTTACATCGACGACATGTCAGAGCCATTCTCTTGTTGCTAGCACACAAGAAGAATATCATGACCAAGATATGATCAAGGACCAGCCCAACAAATGTTCATCGTACGTAGTTCCTATTATGCTACGTCCACTCTCCACTAAAACTGTACAGCTCTCCGAAAAATGAGGCCCACGAAGATGGAGTAACAGCAGAGGATGTGGCGGCTAATTTTGTCCGATCCGAATGCGGACACCACTTTACAGAGGACATCAATATCTCAGCGATGTCTAAGTACGCTTCGAGCAATTACTCGACTGACAACAGCGATGGATGCGTATATTTGTCCAACTCTTCACAACAATCGAACAACCCTCCTGGCATGATGAGTGTACCGCCGATGCACGAGGGTCCCTCCCCAGCTCCTCCTGCGTTCTACCCGGTGCTACATGACTCTTTGAATTGTTCTTGCGTGTCACATGTCATAATGTACGAACAAAAATTTGCTATGTGCAAAAACGTCCTGATTTTTTTGCAGTGCATCCCCTGTCTCGATCAAGGATGACTCCAAGGCGGTGGGAGTCAGTGACGTCGTCGAAAAATCGGTTTCGAGCGATGATAACCATCCTACACCATGTGCTGAAGGAATCCCATGTGTCGAACCGCAAGAGAACGATTGCATGAAGGCAGGACAAACAGTCGCATCTGCGACTTGTCATTCCAACATCGCTCAAACCTCGTGCCGGATGGAGAATCAAGACAATACTTCATCTGCTGCTGGCACGACATGTTGTACGCGGGAGTCTTGTGACACTACCTCAAAACATTCAGATGATCGTGGGGCGTGTACAGCTACCATGGCGCCCAATGATTCTCCTTTGGCCGATGAACAGTTGAAGAAAACTGGTGCAACTGATTGCGCAAGTGAATGTTGCGCAACCGCGGAATCCTTACCAGTTGACTCATGCTGTCCCGGACCCAATGGACCTGCTTCGTACGTGTCGTCCATTTTGAAGCTCACATTGTAATAAACTTGTTGCAGGGAGTCTTGTGTCTCGCTGAACACTGCAACCGATCATGTCCAGTGCAACAGCGAGTCCATCAAAATATCGGTTTCAAGCAATGGTGACCCGTGCGCTGAAGGAACCACAGGTGTGATAGTGCAAGACGAATGCATGAAAGCAGAACAAACGATCACATCTGGGACTTGTCATTCAAACATCGCCCAGACCCCATGTCAGACGGAGAATCAAGACAAAATCTCATCTGCTGCTGGCACGACATGTTGTACGCGGGAGTCTTGTGACCCTAGCTCAAAACCGTCACATGATTGTGGGGCATGTTCAGCTACCACTGGGCCCAATGACTGTCTTTCGGCCGATGAACACTTGAAAACTGCTGCAACCGACTGCGTACATAAATGTTGCTCAACCACGGATTCTTCATCAGTCGAATCATGTTGTCCTGAACCCAAGGAAACGTGTCCTTCGTACGTGTCGTACATTTTGAAGCTTACATTGGGATCAACTTCTTGCAGAGAGCCCTGTGTCCCACTGAATGCGGCAAACGGTCATGTCCAGTCCGACACTGACGTTGCCGAAAAATCGGTTTCATGCAATGGTGAACATTCTGCACCATGTGCTGAGGGAACCCCATGTGCAATACTGCGAAAAGACGATTGCATGAAGGCAGAAACAACAGTCACATCTACGATTTGTCATTCCAACATCACCCAAACTTCATGTCGAACGGAGAATCAAGACAATACTTCATCTGCTGCTGGCACGAAGCGATGTTGTACGCAGGAGTCTGTGTGTGACACTAGCTCAAAACTAATAGACGATTGTGGGGCATGTACAGCTACCACGGCGCCCAATGATTGTCTCTCAACCGATGAACAGTTGAAGAAAACTGCTGCAACCGATTGCGCTCATGAATGTTGCTCAACCACGGTCGAAACATCTTGTACTGAACCCAAGGAACCGTGTACGTCGTACGTATTTTACATTTCAAGGCTTTACACTGTAATAAAGTTCTTGCAGAGAGCCCTGTGTCTCGCAGGATACAGCAACCGGTGAACAGTTGAGAAAAACTGCTGCAACCGATTGCGCTCATGAATGTTGCTCAACCACGGACTCCTCACCGGTCGAAACATCTTGTACTGAACCCAAGGAACCGTGTACTTCGTACGTGTTTTACATTTTAAGGCTTTACATTGTAATAAAGTTCTTGCAGAGAGCCCTGTGTCTCGCAGGATACAGCAACCGGTCATGTCCAGTCCGACACTGACATCGCCCGAACCTCATGTCAGACGGAGAGCCAAGACAACACTTCATCTACTGCTGACATGAGGCGATGTTGTACGCAGGAGTCTGCGTGTGATATTGGCTCAGAATTGTCAGATGATTGTGTGGCATGTACAGCTACCACTACGCCCAAAGATTGTTTCTCGGACGATGTAAGGAAAACTGCTGCAACTGATTGCGCACATAAATGTTGCTCAACCACGGATTCACCAGTCAAGTCATGCTGAAATATTCCTTACATGTGCGTGCACAAAAAATCGCGTTTTGATGCTCATTATAATTCTGTTTCTCAGAGAAAGGAACGCAAACTACTCTTTCAAGATCTTTGGATGTGTTGAGGAAAACGAGAATGAACATGAGAAGTTTGGTATTGCGCTCAAGGAGAACTCCACTGATGGACGGGGCCGATGATCGTGAATCGAACCTTCAAGTTTCTTGCTTGCTGGTGCTGAGACGAGCACCGACGTAATTTAGAAAGACGTATTGTGTTTGTGGGGAGTCGGCGTGTATTTACTTTTCAATGACGTGCCCGTGTTTCATAGCAAGACTCCTAGGGGGGTACAATTAAATTTACTGCCCGCAAGTGAGAATTGGGATGATAGGGCGCTGAATGGGGTGGCTGTGCTTCTTTTTACTAGAGTACCAGCTTGCAAATAACACAATCTCCTGTGCCGTGATTCCTACAACGTTTAAAAACATTGCAGCCATGCATGACCCATTCGAAGTGAGAATGCAGTTCCTCGGGCTCATTCGCAAACTGAATGCGTAAGTCGTCGAATCTTCTTCGTTCGTCACCTGCTCATGTATGTCTGATGTACTTGCATCGATGATGGCGAGCAGCTCACAACAATCGATACAGAAAGTCGTTGGATTTGCCTTGAAGTACTTCTCGAAATGCGGGGAAGATCTGTGGGAGTGCATTATTGAGGAGTGTCAGAAGGTAAGTGTGATTTTTGATATCATCTCCTTGCCGATCCAATGTGCCTCTTTCGCCCATTGTCACTTTGTTATGGGATAACGTCTGACAGCCAAGTACAGGGTTCCATCAATCACCGCATAAATATACTCTATTTTCTTGACTCCCTTTGCGAAACGTCACTACTAGCGAAGGCACATCAAGTCCCAGAACAGTCATCTTCATCGTGAGTTTCATAACGCTTGGTAACTCGACCTTAAACGACGGCACTGTACTAGAAGTAAACAAGTCAACAACGCGTTGTATGTCGACTACGTCTCCCGGGATCTGACGCAGATAGTGGAATGCGTTGTGCCTGTGGGTAGGCAAGGGCTACCTAATCTACCGAGTACCAAACAGGTGCGCCCATACTAATCTCTGCGTTGGTTCTTGCTCAATCCACAAACTTAAAGATCCTAGAAAACTGGCGCACAAAACGAATAATAGAGCCACAAAAAGTTGACGAAGTCCTCTTGTTGCTCTCTTCTAGAGACTCAGCACCCGATACAACTGTGGCACCTTCAGCAGCAAAATCCGAGCCTCATCTCTCTCGCGGCGAAATATTCAAGCGTATTGAAGAGGACCGAGAGCGACATAAACGCCTTCGAGAACGACGGTGGGTTCAGGCGCAGCCTCACTCTGGCTCTGCAGTCCCGTCTTATTCAACGTTCACGCTTGCGAGTTTCTTGCCGCTGAGCGACACTGAAAACGCCGAGTTAGCGCTGGATATAGAGTTTGAGAATGAGTGGGAGGCAACGAGCGATTGGAATGAGGACGACGTGGAAGCGACCGCAGATGAGAGGGAGCTTTGTCATCCGCATCTGAAACGCAAAGGATTTACAAATGACGAAGACGAAGGAGAGCAGGAGATGGACATAGATCTGTCGTGATATAGTACTGTGTTGCGCCATGCGGAACGTGAGCGATGTTTCTAGATTCTGAGATTAGATTCTGAAACATCACTCCCGTTGCGTCATGCGTGTTTGTTGCCAGATGAGTTTACAGTGATTGATGTCATGTCTTGTATGGCTGTGAAACGATAAGCGTCAATGCGTTTCGAAAATGCTAGACGAAGAACCGGCACGTGTGTCCCTCAGCTCTCGGATGAGAAACTAATATTGACATCCTTTTCAACTACGCACAAGCAAACACTTATGTACGCCTGCCTGCTCATTCCAGAGATCGTAAGACTGATTTTCACCGACATTCGTGTCTACAGCATCCAAGATGATTCTTTTGTAAATTTTGAAGACCGTTACTTTCAACGAGTCGTTCGACGTTCTCTAGCCGCACTCTCTCGAATCTGCTGTTACACAAAGAATATAGCTTTTGATGCGTTATGGGCCGAGCTTGATAATTTGGATCCGCTTCTCGCTTATCCTCCGCGAGATTTGTGGATCATGATTGGTGATCAGAAGCTTGTATGTGCTGTACGCCGTCATTCTAACCCATCGTGCCAACCTCTTCTATAATATCACTGTTGGAAGTTCAGTAGCAGGGTGGGTTGTTTCATGCAGACAGCTGCAACTCATTCCCCGTCCTGCGCATGTTGGACACACGTCTACTTTTGATGTTCCGGAGCATATCCTACTGGATATAACATACCTGGCTTACAATCTCGACGATGCATTCGCCCTCTAAACATTCACTCCCCTGATGCGCTTCTCCGGCCTTAATTTCTACCTGCCCCAATCTCAGAAACCTCGGTTTTAGTGTTCGACGCTATGAAGGGATTTCGTTTACAGTTGAGAGATTAGGACGCGGGGTTTGCAAGACATATATCACCAGCTTTCATATTGGTTACTCTCCAATAGAACAAGGTGACTGCAGGTCGCAGTTCTCGCTTTCGACAGCCTTGTGTAAGCACGCCGGCTTATACTGAAAGCTAAGCCTTTTTGGTGTAACGGTTATGCGCGGGTGGCGGTCTGACCAAGTTATACATTGCCGTGGAGTCTGGCTAGTGAAGCCCGGCACCGGTCCTGACCGAGTGGCACGAGCGGTTAAGTGTAGAAAGGTATCGTACATTTGCCATACTGTGATCAAGCAAGAGAGTAATACCGCGGGCTTGGAGACCAGGGAGGTGACGAGGTAGTCCACGCGAAAAGTAGCTCGTAGCGACGATGTTAAAAAGTGTTCTTTTAGTGGTTTAGTATGACCATTTATGCGCAGTGTCCATATAGATGGCATATCATTGGTACTTCTTTCTTTGAAACTTAGGATCTACGCCGACATAAGGCCTCGAGGTGTTGACAACTTGCACTGAACTTTGAACTGGATGGTGGAGAACAAGAAGCACGATGATGCAATCGACAACCCGCTAATAATAACATTACATACATATGCCAGACAACCACAGGGTTTTTGGAAGAGGCTATGAGAAAACGAAAGTATCAATAAGGAATAAGCGCAAATAAAATCACGACGTCACTGGAGAAAAAAGTAACATAAGTTCAGAGTCAAAGAAACACAAACGCCAGGCACTTACTATAACTAGCAGGGTCGATGTGATCAGGAAGCTCGGGCACTGCGACCTCAAACCGTAGCTGGATGGCAGACATGACTTGCTGGTCTGCCTCACTGGATTGGAACGTGATAGCTAGACCCTTCGTTCCGAAACGACCTGCACGGCCGACACGGTGGAGATAACTGTCGGCGTCTGGTGGGCAGTCGTAGTTGATTACAATATTAACACGTTCGACATCTATGCCACGACCAAAGATGTCGGTTGCGACGAGGATACGCTTTTCGAAGGCCTTGAAGGCAGTGTAACGATTTATGCTACAACAAGGATTTAGCACAGAGCGCCCATAACCATTGGTAATTACTCACCGCTCCTCTTGAGCCAAGCCAGAATGAATGCTGATACTGGGGAAATTACATGAAACTAGGAGTTTGTCCAGCTCGACAGCTCTTGCGACAGATTTGACAAAGATGACCACCTGAAAATCGTCAGTAAACACACCTCTTGTCAGGGAAGATGGATCGCACTTGGTTAAACTCTAGGACATCTAGAAGCTCATTTAACTTCCGATTCTTCGCATTCTCATCAAGCTTCACGTAGTGTTGCTGTAATCCGTGCAGCGTCAACTTCGTCTCGTCATCAACGAAGATCTCTAAGGGCTGTGACAAGAATGAGTAAGAGGTCCATAAGGAAGGATGCATAACATACGTTTGCCATGAATTTCTTGCACGTAATCCGAATTTCTTTTGCTAGCGTAGCGCTGAACATCATCACCTGTTTGTGGTGAGGTGTTGCACGGAAGATTTCTTGGACGTCTCGACGCATGTCTACGAATCAAACAAAGAACAGCGGGGAGGCGCGGTTGGAATCGTAGCCGAAATCGAATTGCAGGATAGACTAACCGAGCTGTTCGAGCATTTTATCGCACTCGTCCAAAGTGAAGTGCTTGACGTTCTTCGCATCCAAAACTTTTTCTCTTGTGAGGGCATTGAGTCGCCCGGGAGTGGCCACAACAATGTGGGGACACCGCGTCTTGTCACGGAGAATCTCTGCATCTTTTTGAACAGGGGTGCCGCCATAGAACGTGCCGATCCGCACATCGGGCATGTATTTGGCAAAGCGCGTGTACTCGTTCTTTATCTGGAACGCGAGCTCGCGAGTATGGCAAAGCACAATGACGGAAACTTCGCCGTTAACTGGCTCCAGTTGTTGTAGAGTCGCGAGTACGAAGACCGCTGTCTTGCCATGCCCTGATTTTGCTTGGCAGAGGACATCCATTCCCAGAACAGCCTGAGGTATACATTCTTGTTGAACTATTGAAAAAAGAGTTTGGTGAGTTAAAAGCACGGGTTTGAACGTCACTAAAAATACCTTCTGAAGGGTGTTCAAAACCCAAATCACTAATAGCTCTGAGAAGTTCGGGTTTCAACAAAAAGTCCCTGTGAGAAAGACAATTCGCAAGATAAGCATGGTGTGTGACCACACAGAGAAGAAACAGACCTAAAACCTGTTGAATGTATTCCAGAGAAGTTTTTCTTGTCTTTGTCGCCCTCGCCGTCCGCTGCTGAAGCTGCTCCATTGGTAGAAGTAGCTGGAACTGCGCCATTAGGGATAACGTCGTGCTCATCCTCATAATCAATAAGTTCTTCGTTGTCGTGAGAGCTCATCGTTGTGCAAAAGGAATGTAGGTTGTCAGCTCTAGAAGTCGTCGATAGAATTCAAGAGGCTAGCGTCCGGCGAATTCCGAACACTGAACTCCTTTTACAGTCTTCCGGGGTCCTTGTTGAAGGAAATGTTGGTGACTCAAATTTCTTAGGTATGAAAATAGTACATGTGCAACAATCCTCAGTACTCATCAGTCTTTATCTTACAACGCGTCATGTGCGCAGGAGCCTATCAAGGGAGAATTTTAAACCGTGCGATCAGTCGTGGAAATTTTCATGCATGCTAGTTTTAATAGCATTATGCGTCCATGTTGTCTGCCCTGGTTGAATTCGATGGCATTAATCGGTGCCATCATTATTAGATGGCAGGATTGAACGTGCTGGTTCACGAGTAAGACGTACTGCGCAATACGAGACAATGAACTATTCAGATCGAGAAGACGATTAAGTATGTCGAATGATGATCGTATAAACCACAAAATGCCGATAAAGGTGGTGCAACAATAGACGTAGGGTTCCAGTCTTTCGTGATTGGTTGATACTGAGTGCATCAGGTATCAACGTGTCACCCGGATCGAGAGAAGTTATCTTGCTTCAAGAAAAGTGATTGGAAAACTTGTGGGGATCGCGCATGTCCTTCTGGAAGACTTCATGGGCCTTCAAAACCTTGGAGCACTAACTTGAAGACCTTCGATTGTGAAGAGGCTTTGTGGGCCTCACGAAAGATCCCGGTGCAGCTATCAGTTTAGCATGTGAAGGAATCGAAAGCAGCTAATAATATGGCCGACCTGTACAGTATCGCACGACTGGTCAAACCTTCACCTGTTTCAGGTAGACACCCTACAACAGGGAGTTAAGCAGCGACGAATGTTTTGACCCTTTCTGATAATCGAGAATAGGGAGCTCTCAGCTAATGAAACAAGGCCCACGAAGACGCACCTCTGTCTTTATACTAGAAACAGCGTACCCGTGTTGTATTAGTCCATGTCCCAACAGAATCGTCGACGCCAGCGAGCATAGGACATTTAGACCTTTCCGCACAAGTCACAGGTATAGTTGGACCAAGCTAGCCATTTATGGGAAGTAAATTTGTTTGGTCGTGTGGATCTGATTTCATCTTCTCACTGGCAGGGCAGTCTCTGTCTTAGAGCTACTCAGACACGATAATTCTTTGATTCTATTCCATTTGGAGCGGCAATGGGTGCACGGCATGCATTCACAGACGAGGGTCATGTTGCCCGCTGCATTTGAGGTCGCTGAAATAGATAATCTTGCTCTTCTCATAGGTAATTCGAATCCAACTTTGATTACTATGTGATTCGTTCAGATCTAATTGTCATCTAAAGCTAATATGCTTGAACGATTGATCGCTCATAATGACAAGATACCACTTCTACCGTACGTCCATCTCAGAAACGTTTCATCTCATCCCCCCTTCTCATCGTTCTCATTCCTAGCGAGAGCCTCACCCGATTTCACTCGAGAACCGTACCAAACATCAGCGTCCTCGATTATCTCCGGCGTATAATCAAATGGACAAAAGTCGAGGTCCATATCCATTTTTAATATCAAAAAATCATCCATCTCACCACACATCCCAGAAATCATGCCTTCTCCTCACCCTGCACTACGTCGACCAAATCTGCGCCCGCATGCCCCTCTTCACCCTCTCCTCCCTCACCTGCCACCGCTTCATAATCGCATCCATCACAGTCTGCAGCAAAGGCCTCTGCGACTCTTTTTGCACAAACGCTCTCTACGCCCGCGTAGGCGGCATACCCGTCCCAGAACTAAACATCCTCGAACGCGAATTCCTTCACGCAATAGACTGGCGCTTAATGGTTCGCACAGATCCCACATCTTCCCCTCTCGTTTTTCCTCTCTCACATTTTCGCAGTGCACTCGCGAAGTCCTTCAGGAATATTACACAAACCTCGTCAGGACGGATAGCTCGGGCCGCTTTGGGCTTGAAGGCGCACCGGAGGAGGTGGAGGATAGCGATATGGACAGCGTGTCTTCTCGCTCAGCGTCTCCTATGGACGCACACTGGCAAGTCCGCCATCGTCCGTCGTTTAACCTCCTGAACAATCTCGAGTCTTCGAACGTTTTGGGAGATACTGCTACGCTTCCTACTATCGAACAGAACATGGCGTTTGCTGCTTTGCAGCATTCGTTGAAGAAGCCACCATAGGCGCAGGAGTTCGGTTTATTGCACCGACGGCATCGTACGTACGTACGGACGGACGGACGCACTTACCGGTGACATTTCTCGTCACCGGCTTATCACCTCGCGCCACAAGATTGACGTTTAGTCATCCTGGCGCTATGCATCAACTTTCACCCTCCAAGTTCTTTCCCTGTCCTCATACATACGTGATTTGCTTTCACGAGAACAACTCCCTACGTATATGTTAGACATATACACGCGGCGCGCAAAAATCATCAAATTGTAATCACCACAAAACATAACTTACAAAGATGACCAAAATTCAGTGAATGACATGGTACCTAGTAACTGTAACGAACGACAAGGCCAAAACCTGTGAATTTACGTTTTTTCTCGACTTCTCAAAAAAAAAACGAATCTATAGTATGTATGCGTATCAAATAATTGGTGTAGTACAGTCCGAGAGCGAATTCGAACGAGCGTGTTGATTGGGTTTTTGCAACGAAGGTAATGAAAAAATGCGATGGTTTGATTGTGTTTTTTGAGACTTGAGGTTTGAATTGGGTTTGGTTGAAGATTATTATGCACAGATAAGAAGCAGCAGCACAATATATGCACAACGGCATGTGAGCCTGCACACAAAACCAGCATGAGCGGATGGATTACAACAGTAAAAATGACTGGTGTTCGTACCGTAAGTAGTTGGGTACCATACAATACATCGACCACCTCCTTCACCACAACAACAGCACCTACAGGCCATAAGCCATCTAACAAGAACAACAAAAATACACACACTTCCGACTGTCACAACGTACATCCACATCAAAGCCTCAAAGCAGAGAGCATCTTCGCCAGCGCATTGATCTGGCCCTTCTGCACCTTCTTTGGCGTCTCCTCCTCACCACCCCCCAAATCAGTCGTGCTAGTAGCCGCATCCCTCACCGGCGCAGGTTTCTCGCTGATTGTATCCAGTTTCGATTTCCTCGTCCGCGCTTTCCGTTGGGGAGGCTGTCCGAATATATCACCTACGGGATTGAAATGAAGCTGCCGTGGAAGCTCGTCGAGTTCCCAAGGAACGCCATTTAGGACTGTTTCGACGTCAATAACTTCGCACAAATGTCAAGGATAGGAACGTACTCTTGACATTCTTTGGTATCTGCGCCGTAGCCTGGCCCCCATTCCTCCAACTCCCACTTCCACTACTCATACTCGTAGCAGTGGTCGACACGCTCCTCACGCTAGAATTGCTGTACCTCGTGAATGCAGATGTGCTCGTGCTTGCACTGCTCATCGAGCTTCGCCAGTTGGTGCTGCGGACGCTGCCTGGGGGTGAATGTCCTCTCACGCTCCCGTTTGCGTTGATGTTGGAGTTTCCGCTACTGACGGAAGGAGCAGCGGTGCTGAAAGCAGTGCTAAATGTAGATGTTGAACCAGGTCTCCGCCCACGCGCCCACGTGCGCGCTTCATCCGCCGGACTCCGCTGTCTCGTAAGTGGGTTATGCGCACCATCACCATTCACACTCGCGCTCGAGTTGCCATTTATAGAGTTGTGCGTATTGTACGGAGAAGGTTTGAGATTGCCACCTGGATTCGGTGCAGGCTGAGAGAGCCCCATGATGAGATTGGTGACATTGCTCGCGGTACCTGTCGTCGGTGTCTCTTCCGTGGGCGCAACAATAGTCTTGCCGCTCCCGAAACCCAACTTCCACTTGCTTGGCTTCTTCACAACCACAGGCCTCGATGCTTCCGTCTCCGCAGTGGCATGCCTCGCAAGACTCGAAGCATGACTCGCATTCCTGTCTAAATCGACCATACCAAGCGATGAGCGGCTCGCACCCCGACTTGCAAGACTGATCTCCCGTGCCAAGCTCTGCGAAGCAACAGCAAGCGTCTGGAGTGTCTCGTCCGTTGTCGTTTTCTGAGCTGCTTTTCGTGACCCGCGTTTTCCCCGCTTCTTCGTCGACCGTGAACGACCGTCATCGTCTTCGTTGTGCTCGTCTTGGCGCTCGCGGGAGAGGTCTTCGGGCTCTTCAACGAGGACACCACCGACGCTTGGAGCTCTGCTCAATGACCTGCTGCATACGAGTGGGGTACGCAGTGCTGCGCGGGATGAAGGGCGACGAGAGGGCGGGCACGAGGAGAGAGGGTGGCCGAGTGTTGATGAGGCTGTGCTTAGGACACGCTTGTGGCCTCTGTGGGAGGGTTCACGGTCGCACAGGAGGGTAGGGAGGTCCTTGATCCATGCACCGAATTGGCGGGCGGTGACGGGCATGTGACCAGCGTCGAATGGGGGGAGGACAAAGACGCGCTGGGTGAGGAACTCGGCGACGGGCCATGTCATGCCGGTAAAGCGCTGCATGAAAAAGTGGGCTCCGTGTGCGCGGAAAAGAGAAAACGAAGAACAAGCGCCGTCAGAGGTGTCTGTCCATGGATTATAGTGGTACAACCTGACAGGAACATCAGAAATTATTTGAGAACAATAAAGTAACATACATGTTGATCAAGACAATACCAAGACTCCAGACGTCGCTTCTCTCGGGGCTGTAGGTCGGGGCTACGTTATTACGGCACTCGAAGCTCATGTAGGGCGCGCTCCCACAGTCCATGTCAGCGCTTTCTACCTCGTTTGTGCTGAGGCCAAAGTCTGTGAGTTTGACCAAGACTTTGCGCTCCATGTTGTTTGAAGAGGAAGAAGGTGCGTAGCCGTCTGTGACGATAAAGTTTTCTGGCTTGATATCGCGGTGGAAGACACCCTGGTCATGGCATGCGGCGACCGCATCACACATTTGGGCAAACATGCTTGCGATAAGCCTGAGGCGGGTGTGGCTTAGCAGTGCAGAGGGGTGTAGAGAGGCGAGAAGGGAAGGAGTAGGGGGAGTCTTGCTTTCTGCGCTCTCGTCTGGGGCATAGTGATCGCGCGCTTGCTCGAGAAAATAAAAGAGATCTTCGCCAGGGACAAACTCCAGGACAAGGAGTAAGAAGGCGTCGGTCTCGAGGGTACGGTGGAGAGTGACTATGTTTGGATGCGGGAAGAGGGATTGGTGTATGGTGACTTCTGTGAGCTGTGCTGTGAGAGCGTCGGAGTCGAGGTTCGCCTTTGAGAGGACTTTGAGAGCAAAGTCTCTGCCATAGACGATAGGTGGAGGGGTTAGGTCGAGGTCGAGGACGCCGACGTGGCCGTCGTCGCTGATGGGGGCGCGGGAGATGACCTCACGGACACGATAGACGACTGCATAGCTGCCTGTTCCTAGTCTACGAACGACTTGAAATTCTTTTGCAGTGTTCATATCTATTGGGGCGAGGACGCAAGGACGAACTGGTTCGCCTTGGAGAAGCAAGTCTTCGCCGACGATGTCTCCTGGAGCCAAGACATCCTCTATGAGAGATGATGCTGATGGAAGAGTTGGGCTTGGTGGTAAAGGTGGAGATGGAATAGAAATTGGGGACGGAATAGAAATTGGGGATGGAATAGAGATTGGTAAAACAGGTGGGGAAAGAACCGAAGAAGAGGGTTGTTTGCGAATTTGATCTTTAGCGAAACGCCTGTTGAAGAGACGAGAATGTGCATGTGGGTAGTCATTATGGGGAATATCTTTAGTACGATTCTGTTTGTAGGGAAGAGGAAGAGGAATGGGTTGAGCGGAATATTGCAACATGAGCTCGTTTAGCGGGAGATATAGATGAAATGCTTTATTTGAACGACGGGGTGACGTGAATGGGGACGATGATGACTGCTTGTTGTTGCTGTCGTTGTCGTCGTCGCCTGTGTCGACGTTGTCGTCAGACTGCTCAGAGTCTTCAGAAACCTGCTGGACGGACTTCTGAGAGTATAATATTAGATGTGATGCATTCAACGTATCTGTTGAAAAGTGAGAAACGGAGAATTTAAGTGTTATGAAACTTACGAGGGATGGAGGGAAGAGCTCAAGTTACTTTTGCAACGCGGCTAGGTTTAATAACCATGTGCTACACTATTACCATAAATGGTTAACTCATTTAGTATTTGGATCTTTTAAAAACAATTTAAAAGGTTGTGAAAGTAATACGAGCTTTGCGAGAGTGACTCGATTGTTGAAATCAGCTTTGCGCGTCGTGTCCTACGACGTCGAGCTACATGATATTTTACGTGGGGTTACTAGCACCGTAGTTGATCCACATGCTCGCATACCATAATTAGTTTGAGACCATGTGTATACGATTTCATTTCCTGCCTCGTTGCCCTTTGCTCCAACTCGCTTCCGTGATCCCCCGGGAATACTAACCCCGCATACTGCGCTCTGCATCGAGCGCATCAACCGCTAGGAGATTGTCGACGTGGCAAAATGAAATACTCATGCAATGCTACGTGGTGAACGTTAACCGACCCGCAGTGAAAAGGCATGTCCGCAGCAGTCCAAGATATATCTTACACGGTATCATACGCCGATAAACTCAGTTTCATGTCATTGTTCACTACGTTTGCCGTCATTGATTTATTGTATCGACCGATCTGTGAGACGATTTCGTAATTGCATCATGGCACAATCAAATGAGCACGTATGGCAATTCTAGAAATACAACCTTGTTCAAGTCATATAAAATCGAATTCGCATGCTGAAATATCATGTCTTCTCTGGAAGGCCCACGAAGAGCTGCAATGACAAAACGTTTGGTCTGAATCGTCTCTTTGCATGGTTTTTGCCGCGGATCGACTCTTCTGTATCGCGGAGTTCAAGAAGCCTCGGTACTACGCTTTGCCCATGCCAACGCAACAGCCCTGACCTTGAGAAGTTCTCGCAAACCCACAATAGAGGACCAAAAGCACAGAGTCCGACCACTCTTAACGCAACTGTGACTCATTCCAAGCACCTGATGGAATGCTGAAGCTGCGTGCAAGTACGTGAGCTTCATTTAGAAGAAAAAAAGATTTATGCAACTGAACCGTAAAGTTATCATTGACTCGTTCTCGCAGGTCGGACCGCTCACGGATCTCTACACGTTCCAGGCTGTCTGATGTGCCGGTCGAGCCTGAGCGTTGCGAGCTTAAATTCAAGCTATCCGTTTCTACGTACCGACTGTGGCACTGCCGGAATAAACTAGCAGTGTCGGTCTCGGATAACAAAGATGCCTGCTACAATCCACTCCAACGGGTATTATACAACAAAGCGTCCACTAGAGGAACACCTCGTACGTGAGCTTCTTTCAAATGGAAGACGCCAAGCAACGTACAACTTTGAATGACCGCTCACGGCCCCGGATCTCCCAGAAATTTTTAGGAAACTGTCACTTTCACCCTGACGTCGATGCAAACCATGTAGATGAAGCCTTGTTGAGATGCTGGCATGTCTGAGCAAA